CCTGAAAGTAACATAGCACTTGACCAGTAAACAAATTCTAATGCATCTATACTGCTCATAAACTGAATTCCAGTCTCATTTGCCTAATAGTATTTACCAGTTCATACGCTATGGAAAATACCGGCGCATTTTTTCATACGGGTACACTGATTTCTACGGTTCTATAATAATAACAGTTGTTTATATAGCTTACATCGATCTATAGCATTCTATGCCGGTCTACAGATGCACCGGTGACCTTTAAGAATCGGTGACCGGTGGACCAGTGACCGTTAAGAACCGGTGACCGGTTACCAATAAGACCGGTTATTGTCACCGTTGCATCCCTAATTTCAATAATATTTATCAACACATGTTAGACTTTGAATGAGTTTTGTTCTATTCATAAATAAAAAGAAAAAAGAAATTAGAGTTAGAATAAATGAATAGTATGAAGGTTTATATTGTATAATTTAATGTTGAAAATGATTGAGAAAATGTTGATGTTTTTCTTTTCAACATTGATTTAAGCAAAAAAACACATAGAAATAGTCAGAATAATGCATTCGTTCTCTTACCAGTTACTAATGTCTGTTATTTCAAATGTTTTTTTACTATGTAAATTTCATTTGAGCTTATTTGTAAAAAATAAAGCACACCTTCGTGAAGTTAGATAAATAGCAATAACATGTTGCTGTGTACGTGATATTCTGAATTATAAAATGCTTGAACTTTTTATGAAAATTAACTGACAACAAATAAATATCTTTTTGCGTTTTCTTTTTGTATCTTAAATAATTATTTTATCAGATTAGTGTTTATCATCCGAAGGTTTGGGACTATTTTCATCCACGCTGACAAGTAAATTCGGTTTATCGTTAATTAAATCTATTTGTTTTGTTCCGATGTATTGAATAGTCTTTTGTAATCCAGTTATTCTTTGGTATGTTTCATAATCTAGAGCACGTCTATTTATTTGATAGATTCGTTTACGTGTTTCAAATATTAAATTTAAATCTGAAGCATTTTTTCTTGGCCGACGTACACTACGCATATCGACTAGATCATTACGAGTATATTTTCCTAATGATTGTGTATTTATAATTAGAGGTTCAATACTATCAGATAGTTCGGAATGATTTTGTTTAAATTGAGCAGATAATCGTGGAGATTGCTGAACTTTTTCATCGGACAAAGAATTAATTGATCGTGACGTCTTCATACCAGGCGAATTCGATATAATACTAACTCTTGATGGAATAGTTGTTTTTGCTGAAGTTCTATTTCTCTGAATTCCAGTCATCGTCAATGACCGATGAATTGCGGGTAAACTATTATTTAGTTTTCCTCTTGGAGCTCTAGCAGATTGAGCATGAATATGTTTCCAAGTTTGTTCTAAACTATGAGTATGATCTACTTCTTTTATATTATTATCGTGTTTATCTTCGTTTTCTTCATGTGTGTTAATTGTATTTTGATCTAAAGAAATATTTGCTGATTTACTAACACGAACTGCTGATGACGATAGTTGGATAGGATTCTTCTTAAGAAATTGATCATATTTTTCATGTATATTTAAACGACGTTTTTCTTCACTTGGCGGTATAACAAGAGTTTGTTCACCAGTAATAACACTATCTAAGTTTTTAACTTGACTTCTATAATAATCATCTCTGATACCAAAACATTTACGTTCATATTCTTCTAAACGTTTTTTCAATTTTCTGATATAAATTTCTTTTTTCCATGAATATAATAATTCTCGATTATATTTTTCTTTTAAATTATAATTTTGAAGTTCTTTTAATAATTGAATATAATATAAATGTTGACATTCAGTTAATTTATCTTGAATAACTTTATTTTTTTGTAATGCTTGTAAAAGATTTGTTTGGAAAGTACCATCATCCCCTGGATGTTTCATAGAACTGATCAATTGTATATTTTAAATTATTACTTTCTATGTCTGTCAATGTTGCTTGTGTCTTTTAATATTTGTAAATGTGTAGCATTGATTTTAAATGGAATTAACATGAGAGAAAGAAAAGTTCGTTCGGTTCTTTTGTTTTCTTTCGTTTTTTAGGTTTAGTAGAAAATACAATGATAAAAAGAAAATATTTTTCATCGTAAAAATTTCTCAGTTGTATTGTTAGCAATTTTTTTTTGTATTTTTGTTATGGAAAAATTATTCAATAGGCTTCCCTTTTTGTTTTCATTTCGATATGGAAATTTTTCAAAATGAAACTGTTCGTTTTCTTCTTGTTTATGCCTGAGGAAGAAAGCAAAGGTACACGATTATTGTAGATTTAATAGAGAACAACGAAACTACTAATTCATTTTCATTCATATATGTTTTAGTGAGAAAAATTTTCAGCTTGTTTTTCATTCTCGCATTGAAACATTTGAATCAAACGCTTTCAATCACAATTTCTATTTAGATTTGTAATAAATAAACATGAGAGTGTATAAAAATAACAGTAAAATTATTTTAAAACGGAAACTTAACAAAATTGAGTAGAAAGAAAAAGTCAGTTTCGTCGAAATACATCTTTTACTATTATGATTTTATCTAAAAATTAGTGTACTTAAAAGTTATGCTTAAAGTTTAACTTTAGTTAATTTAATAATTAGTTGTAATCGACAACCGAGGTGTAATAAAGAAAGAACGAATTCCGTTTATTTGTTTAACAAGTGAAATTATCTAAATAAGTTAAGAATATTCGATTACAATATTTGATTTCAAATTACTAAAGATTTTTCTTTCGCAAAAATCTTTTTATAGCTCTGTATCTTTTCAAATACATCGTCTTAAGTTAAATTCATCTGATTTAGTAGCACGCTAATCCTGAATGAAACATGAGATTTACGTGAACGTCTTCAATTATTTATTAATCATAAATTAATTTTATCAGTAAATATCTCAAAAGAAATTCCAGCTTGTGTGCACATAATCCTATCTTTATATATATATATGCAGAGAGAAAGATGAACGCTGTATATATCAAGTTACTGGATTTTCAATAAATCGATATAAATATTAATATAAATATATATCATTTCTTTTTACTGCAGATAGACAATTATTAGCATTGAAAGAATCTCTAAATTTAATCATAGCGACACACACACATCGACGCAATTGATTAGGCCTCTCGTGTATTGTAGTAAACATAAAATCAAGACGATTAATATGTTTAAGCTTGCTAAAAAAGAAAAAAATCATCGATCGATCATTATACAACGTCACATGAAGCAAAAACAAAATGTAAATATATAGAAGCGGTTCTAGTGATCACGACACATACTCGATTCTTTATCTCATTCGGTTGCTTTTTATACAAAATTATTCTTGAACTAAATTAATTTGATCTCGAACTTTCGGAAAATTCTTGCCTCTTTCGGGCCATCCATGGCACTCAGTTAGCATGTATATATAGGAAATAGCTTTCTTCTCGAATTTATTTTTTGTCAATGCCATTTATTTGAAGATCTGCGGTGTAGTGGTGACCATCATCATCAGCGCTTTTTTCTTGGCTATTTTTCTTTTCTTTATCAAAAAATCCTTTTCTGATAAGTTTTATACATTCTGATGATGTCAAGATGTCATTTAAGAGGAAACTCTTTGACATGACTACTCTTTTTTCTGATTACCGTATACGACAATAACTATATAGTCGTGCTTATTTCGTTTGTCATATTCATTCGATTGTAATTGATCTGCTTGTTGTTTTTTTTAGGATGCGGCAATCAGCAATAATAAGTATAGAGAGCCAAATTGAAGGCTCGTGCTTTTTTCAATAACGGAGTACAGTGAGGCGAGCTGACTAGAGAAGGAATGCGGGTATGAAAAAAAAATCACATAAGAGATGAAGAGAAAAGCAATCAACTAGAAAAAAAAGAGACGACAACGACAAAGATAGAGCGAGTGAAAGAAAGGAAAAGTTTTCCTTCGAAAAGAAAATATCATCATCCGATTGTCAGCAATAAGAAGATAATTTACATAACTGCTGGTAAGGACAAAGAAAATCTTTAGTATCAACAATGAGAAAAAGAAACTAGAAATTATGATGATGTTGATAGAGTAATTACAGTCTTTTCCGACTGATTTTATAGTTGACAGTTTATCAGAAGACAACCAAAACTAAAAACACAAATCACTTAGTCAAGATTTTTCTCGTTTTCTTATTCTTTTCCTTATATTGAAAAAATGTTTGCTTTAATTCTTTATATCATATATCCCAAAGTTGGAAATGTAGATGTCGAGGTGCATAATTGAACATAAGTAGGAACGCTTAAAGAAAAAAAGATAAAGGGTAAGAAACGAAGTCTCTTGTTATTTGCTCTTACCAACAGCGGAAAGAGCCACTCTCATTCAATTCCGTTCTCTCTCGTCCGTATTTTTTTCTACTATTGTTGCCACTACCGTCGTAACATTGACTTTCTCTCTCTCCTCGCCGACCGCTTTCTATCACTAGATTGAACACACACATATTCGAAAATTTTCCGCTAGAATAATCTTTTGCGCATTACTAAGATATCTGCTTTTTTCTCATTTTTTTTACTCTAGATTTACATGTGTGGTATAATTGAAAGAAATAAATTAGTCAATTTCACGTTTACTTAGATACATTATAAAGAAAAGAGCTTTTCATTTTCTCTTTAGGATAAAGTGCCTATACTGGTTAAAATTATCAGAATTTCTGAAGCACGCTAAGACAAAATCGTTGGTTTAAATTTTTTATTTTTATTTTTATTTTTAATATCTGATGTTTATCGGCCATACATTTTCAACATACTAACATATTGTTAATGTGTGCTCATTACTCTCAGTAGCATTGTATAACAAATTTTGTTATATTACTTGTTTATTAGACAAAAAGTAAAAACATTTTCGACTAAACAATATTACGAGCACTATTGTTTGACTTTGGTATTCCATTATAAGTAATTTTACTATCATGCTCAATTATCTTTATTATCTATAATTACTATTAAGATAGACGTAAACTAAAGTATTGTCGATGTTATTATCGTTCAATGGTTCGTTTTCGAATAGAACAACGGCAATCGTCAACTAACGATATGCTCAGAAATATCAATAATGATGTTTCTTCGAATTATAATCGTATTAATAATGTATATTTTTAATTCATCCTTGTCCCGTTCAACAACCAACGATCCACTTATTCGTTCAACAAATTCAGGTCGCGTACGTGGCTTCGATTCATATTTTCGTACATCGGATTCACCACGTCTTCACCATGTCCGTACTTGGCTTGGGATCCCGTTTGCTAAACCACCCATAGGTACACGTCGTTTTAAAATTGCCGAACGTATTGAACCATGGCCTGGAGTTTTTAATGCAACACATTCGCCAACAACATGTTGGCAAACTGAACAAATTGTTTACAATCTTGACGCAGAAAAGATCTGGTCGCCAAATACAAATTGTAGTGAAGATTGTTTATATTTAAATATTTGGGTACCAGTGACTGATACCCATTTAACATCGATGGCTGTAATGGTTTGGATTTATGGCGGAGCATTTGTAACTGGTTCAAGTACACTAGATATCTATGATGGTAGAATACTAGCAGCAACAAATGATGTTATTGTTGTTTCGATGCAATATCGTTTACAAAGTTTTGGATTTTTATTTCTTGATCGACCAGAGGCACCTGGTTAGTGCAAATTTTTTGATATTAAAATAAAACAATTTTCATCATCAAGTTTCAACTTGTCTTTTCCTTTTAAGGTAATCAAGGTTTGTACGATCAAGTTCTTGCTTTAGAATGGATTCATCAAAACATCGGCTATTTTGGTGGCGATAGTCAGCGAATAACATTATTTGGTGAATCAGCTGGTGCTGTATCCGTTGGTTTTCATTTATTATCACCGCGTAGTCGATCATTATTTTCTAGTGCTATTTTACAAAGTGGTGGACCAACATGTAATTGGGCATTTATAACAATACAAGAAGCACGCCGACGTTCACATAAGTATCTATTTGAATTTTATTCTCTTGTTACAAAACGTTTAGTCGATGAACAGTATCGGCATGAACGTGAGAAAATACCTGAAGTATGTAAACGTGGTACAAATGTTGATGATATTGAAATCATGTTTGAATGTGCATTAAATTATCCAATTATGAATGAAGAGCATTATGCTTATTTAACAAATGCTGAATATACAATTCAAGATGGTGGTCCAATATTTTTTCTCCTTATGCCAGTTATTGATGGAACATTTTTACCTGATAATCCTATAACAATGCTTAAAACAGGAAATTTTAAGGTTATATCTATATATTCTCTAGTATACCGTTATCAATACATATTTATTTTATGAAATTTTTAGAAATGTCCTCTTCTATTAGGTGCCAACCGTGATGAAGGTTCCTACTTTATGGTTTATGCTCAAGGTAATGAGAAAACACCTGGTAATGCTATGCCAAATGTTAATTATGCAACATTTTTAAAACATCTTGAACTTTATTATACATATATTCCATCATATCCATTTAAAACTCCTCATGTTATTTATCAATCTTTAATTCATAAATATACAGATTGGTCTGATTGGTCAAATAATATTCAAAATGCAGTTATGCTAAGTCATGCTGTTGGTGATGCTCATTTTACATGTCCAACAGTTGCTGTTGCTAATACATATGCGAGTCATAATATGACAGTTTATTTTTATCATTTCATTGTAAGACCATCAACAAGTGATTGGCATGCATGGACAGGGGTTATGCATGCGTAAGATGTTGAATATTTTTGAAAATATTTCACTCGCTTTTATTTTGTTTTATTAGGGATGAAATTATGTTTGTCTTCGGGGAACCTCTGAATTCAACTGACAGTAAATTATATAAATATGAAGAGATACAATTTGCAAGAAGAATAATGAGATATTGGACAAATTTTGCTAAATATATGTAAGAAAATAGTTTACTTTCTTTCTCTCTCTCTAGATATATATATATATATATATATCTTCATAGTCAATTATTTATTTTTTATAAATAGAAATCCAAATGGTTTATCAAATACAATTATTGACGATTGGCCTCTTTATACTTATCCCGAACGTAAACATATTGTACTTGATCTATTCAATAAATCAATTGGCATTGCTCATCGTGCAGAGTTTTGCGCATTTTGGGAATATCATATACCAATTTTATTGGAAGAATTCGGTAAGAGACTTGATTTCAGTAAAAATAAAAGAATAATGATTCATTTAATTTTCATTTAGAGCGATGCGTTCTTCATGGTCGTTCATCATCCATAGCACTACTAACTGAAAAGTCGTCATGCTCATTTAAATCAAATTCCTTACTTATCATTTTAATTTTTTTCTTAATTATCATAGAAATGAAATAATTAATTTAATAATTCAAGTAATTAGAAAAAAAAACAAAGCAAAAAAAGAAGTGAATAGATCAAAAGAACCGTAACAACGAGAAAAAAGCACATCCACATATCATTTTTGTCTGTGTTGCTTTTTCCTTTTCATTTTTTCTTGCGTCTACGATTCTTTAATAAATCAAAATATGTTTTCAAAAGTAAATATTGTAAAACAAAAGACATAGATTCAACAAATATTAAATTAACAAAGACTTTATCATGATTGAGTGATTTCATCATCATCACTTGATATAGAAAGAACATCATCATCTTCTTCAAATACTTCTTCTTCTTCATATTCAACTTCTTGTGGATCATCTAAAAAGGATAATAAACATTTTAATTGATTTAACCATTAAGATATAAGTTAATACAGTTATCGAGTGCTCAATATATTTTTTCTATTTGGATATCTGTGACCAGGAAAGTAGTCCATAAGCTTTCTTAACGATAGCCACGTGACATGTTTTTCAATCATTTCTTTTTGCTTCAAGTATTAACTTACATTCAAAATAGTGTTCAATGCAAATTCAAACAAATATTTGCAGAAAATCATAAAGAAAAGAAAACAGAAGAGAGCATCGATAAAACTGCTCCTACGCTTCGTAAATCTAGTATCTATTTTCATGCACGACCGACGGACTCTGCTGGTCTGCTTGCAACTCTAGATTGATGAAATCTCTTATGGTGTCAATTTTTTTCCCATCAGTTTAAATTAATATTAGAAAGGACTCAAGGAAAAAGTCTTTCAAAAATTTATAGCAGATAAAATATGGGCCATTGTTCTTCTCTGACGATTGATAAACCAGAACAACCATGTTTTTAAGACTTACCATCGACTTTGAAAAAAGAAGGTGGAACAAATACAACAGGTGTTTTTATAGTCGTTGATGTTCGAGTTTTTCTATTTGATGATGTTCGAGTTTCGAAAAGTGTTTTTAATGAACCAGACATAGCCATTTCTATGAGAAATCAACAAAATTTGTGATAAATACAAAAGAAAATCTTACCGGTAGCGAAATCCCAAAATGCTTCTGGTAAAAGTGCTCGCGCTTGCTCAATATTATGTTGAGATTTTACACCCCCACGAAGTTCTTTTGAAAAGCCAAGCTTATGTAAACATTCGGTTTCATTGAAAATTTTTACTCGACGATCAAATGTTACAATTGTGTCACGACTAATATAGAACCTTATTTATTTTATATGCACATCTTTTGCTGCTTACCCATCTCTTGAAAATGAACTTTCAATGGCAGCACCATTTGATGTACCAAATGCAAAAAAAGGTAATAAACACATATTATTCATATGCACCCGTTGTCGACGTTGTTCATTGCATCGTATTAAATTACGCAGAGCTACTAACTATCAAAAATAATAAAAATAAAAGTGAACTCTATTTTTTCAAGTTGAATCCATCGAGCACTACGATAAATGAGAACTTCTAAACCTGTATTCGTGAGAAATAAGCGATTTATTAGTGTGAGATTAGAAAATGCAAGAGTCCGTTGATAGGTCTTGATTGATCAAGCATGACGATTTTTTTGTTCGGAGAAAAAATTACTTCTGAATTTTCTTTATCTTTACTATGGATTCAAATTATTAAATTTAAGAATTACTAAAACATAGTTATTTTAAGATTGATTAATATCTTCAAAATTTTAATTTGTATTGAAAAAATTGAAAGCATGATCAAGCAATACTGTTTTTACATCAATATTACTGACCACTAAAAAATAATCTTAAATAATTTTCACAAATTATAACAATCATAGAATGTATCAATTGACGAAATTATCTGAAATCAACACTCATTGTTGACATATCTATGAACAGTTAAGGATGAGCAACGAATTATCATTTATTTTGCTAGATCTACTATACTCTTATGAAAAAGATTATTCATTAATTCTCACTTGTGATGTACAAACACGAACATTTAAGGTTATTCAACCCAGCATTCTTACACTTAAAAGTTATTCAAAAACTTGAAAAACAATATACATAAAGATATAGATTTCTATAAGAGCGGATTCAAAGCTTTCAAATAATTTAAGTTTTATCAACTTACTTTTAATAAAGCATCTTCGACTAATCGCACTTTATCTCGAATAGTTTCTTTGATTTCAATAGTTTTTTTCTATAAAAGACAGAATAATATTTATCAATTAGAACATTAATCTAAATAGGAACTTACATCAATAAGTTCACATTCAAAAAGTGCATTAACTGGAAAACCAACCCATCGTATATCTTTTTTATCTTTTGTAATAATATTCATGGCTAGAAGAACGTTAATTGCATCATAAACACGTCGTCGAATATTTTTTTGTTCATAAGCCTGATGATACGAATAAATTTACAACATTATGCTTCTTTCCTTTTATTGACTTACTAATTCATTTTCTGGTAATTGTAAATTACGTTTTTCTTCAATTGTATATTCACCAACAAGTTCCGTGGCGACCTCATTGTAAGATGTAATTTTTTTTGCTTGCACTTTATTGCAAACTTTTTTCGAAAAATATCTTAAACCTTTAGATAAACGTTCACGATGACGATGAGCAGCTAATGTTGATAGACTAGCAACAAAATTTATGAGAAACATTAGAAATTTACTCTTGAGAAATTTTACTAAGCATTCGTATCAGCTTCTTGAGTAAATGGATAGACACGTTTACGTGTGCTAGAAAGTTGGCCGACTGAAGAACGATTCTATAGTAGCAAAAACATATAATACATCAAGAGAGAACAAGAAAATAAATATAATTGAATGTACTATTCTTTGAGCAGCTTGAATGAGTACTGGTGCATGATTAGGCGAAGAAGTTGTATCAGTAGTGATAATTGTTGCTTTTGAACCCGTTAAGGGTGAAACAATGTGAAAAACTAAACAGACAGAGCGTTTCATAGGCAAATCGATAATATGATTTTTTTTGTTTTATACCTCGAGGTCGAATGGGAATAGTGGGCAAACGCTCCTGAAAATAAATAAAATGCATGCATCTATGTTCTATGACAAATATAGAAGTAGCAAAACAGACTATGATAGAAGTAGATGCCACTGCAGGAGGAACTTCGGTGAATGACATTGCGACAAACAACGGTAAACAGGTAAATTTGGTGGGTTCCCTTAAGATGCCCGTTTAAATGTCATAAATTAAGCTAGCCATCTTTTCTTTGGAGCCAAAACAACCTCTTCGATCATTCAAGAGAACCATCTTTTTTTTTGACTAATTTTATTTTAATTATTAGATGATACTTGAAAAGCTAAAAAAGTATATTTAATTGCTTCTGGTGTATATTCTAGCGAGAACTAGCGAAAAAAGATGTCGCTGGTTAACAATGTTACTGTTTTATATAATCATACGGTTTTTTTAACACATGCCAATTCAAGTTAGATGATGATTACTGTTATATAGCTTGTTCTAAATACACGAAAAGCTAGTTATGTATTAGATTTTACTTTCTTAATAAGTCGATGCTCAATACACAAGCCGTCCGTATAAAGGAACAGCTTCTCATTTACCTATGTTTAAAAATTTCTTGTATATCAATACAGATTTGACCAAGATCTTGAGATAAACATATACCAGATAAGAAAAAAATCTGCGGAAATCAATTACTATTCTTTAAAGGTTTTGCTTACAAGATGTTAAATTACACAGGATATATATTACAAGATATTTATGCACATCTATTAATGACATATGTTGATCAAATTTAAAAAAAATTGAAGATGCGAAGGAAAACAGCAGAGCGAAATGTCGAAAGTTATACGACTTCCAAAAATTTGATAACAATTTTAGTTTAAATAGTATGAAAGATGATAACATTAACAATGTACCACGATAAATTATTGATGCTATAAAGTAGATAGATTCTTTCATGAATCAAATACTTCTATGAAACCGATGAATTTCTGTAGAAATTCGAATCGTGGACCGATATCTAGATTCTTACTATTGTGGCTCGATCATATCTTCCTGTGGGATCTCATAGAACCCATATTAGGGCCATGTCTTTGGAAATTAATCTGCATCACTATTACGCATTGTCAAGCTGATATTGCAACGTGAATTGTAGAAAATCAAAAAAGGAACATCATTTTTCTTTATGAATTTTTAGTATGTTTTTATTTAGAAGAGGAATTATATGAGATTCGTCAACAAACGATGTAAAAGCGACTCTTTTACTGTGGTATATTACCAATATTTTCTCGTAATACTTGACGTAGTAATGCAACTCCGCATACGGAATGTATTTTTTTTTCAACCTGAGAAGTTCTTGTCGTGTTTGAGACAAGATGTTGATATTAAATACAATTCTTGAAAACAAACCCAGGAGAATGATTCCAATAGTAGGATTCTGTCGGAATCTTATAGGATATAGTATATGGACTTCATTAAATCGACGAAATCCTATCGGTATCCGGGCGTGGAACCGATAATCGGAACCCTAGTGTTGGAATCCAATGCGTTCCAGCGTCGGAATTTAACGGAATCCAACATAAGCATTTGACTCATATGTTCTGTTGACACCATATGTAGAGGTGTCAGCCGAAGGGTTGAACGGCGGCGGCTGCTACAAATTCTTAAAATTTTTTCCACAGCGGCGGCTGAGTTAAAAACTCACTGGTGAAAATTAAAAGAAAAATAATCGACTCGATCGTATATGTATTGATATCAGCGGGGGCTCTGCAAAAATTCTTAAAATTACCAGTAATTTGGTGGCGGCGGCGGCTCAGCCGTACGATTGACACCTCTAATCATATGCTTATTCATTGGTGATTAAGAAAATGTTTTTTTTTTCTGTCGGATCCATTAGTAGGTCCGTGACCAGGAATCTGATTGGATTTTGTCGTCTTGTCGGACCCCATGAGATCCGATAGGATTCACTGTCGGATTCATTCACCTGGAAAGTTGCTAATTTTTTAAATTTATTCCTAATATATTTCGTGGAAGTTTTAAGTAAATCATACTTAATTAAAAACGAAAGTCCATATCTTGTAATTGCATAGATTGGAATACTTGAACATGAATCAATTATACGTCAATGTTACACAGCAACCCTTAAAAATCATAGAGCTGTAGCTGTAATTTAATTTTAAAAAGTAGTATCATGAATCGATCATATAATTAGTGCAACAACGAAAGGTCATCGAAGAGTTTTAAAACAAGATGAAGTAGCTACAGCAAAATTTGAATTAAGCACAGTCTGGAAAGTCATATGTATGAAGTTAGTTGAACGTTTTCCTTAACTTAGTCAATTTACATTACAGCATGAATGCTGAAATGTTGCTGTTGAAAAAGTTCTTAAAATTTATGAGCGAATACCCAGAACGAGCATTACGACGACCTGATACGGTTGTAAACGGTCGCATACGGCAACGTATACTATCGTTTTATAACGTTTCCAACCGTAAATCGCCGTAATTTGAGGTTTTGGCATGCACTGTATTACCGTCGTATTTCGCCGTGTCGTAAACGGTTACTAACGGCCGTAATGTGGCCGAATATTTCAGTATCCGACCGTATACGATCGTTTTTGGTACGATGCAAAACACCCGTAATACAGTGCATACCAAACGGTCGAGTGCCACCCAAGTTGATCTACCTAGAAACTTTGTTGTTATTTTAATCTTACCCAGGTCGAGCATTCGGGCTACCGGATCCCGTAGGATACTCTAAGACATATGCGGGAATATCACCATATCCTGGCCCGGTGCTTTCCAGCAGGAATTGATCGGAAATCGCCGGAAAAAATCCGAAAATTTCCCAACAGAAATACTGCTTTCATAAAATCAACGGAACTAACCGTAACCGACCTTTTTCAGGCCGGACTGTTCGACCTGGGTATTGTTCAAGTCAAGGGGGGAAAAGCTGATTTAAATCACAGTAAAACTCAACTTACAATCAATATAAATTAACTGTATTGGAATGAGTTTGCGTGAGTTTCGGTGTCTTTGAAAGATTTTCAGTAATAATTTATGATTTGGAATAGTTTTTAGTTAGTTTAGCAAATTTTTCGTTTTCTCAAACTCATTTTAAATCAGCTAAACTCAGAAAAATCATGAAACTCATAAATCGCTTTTCCCCCTTGGTTCAAGTTATATTTCTTTTCACAAAGAAATCAAAAGATCTCAAAGCAGAATTTTTCATATGCAGTCAACTTCAAGTAAAAACCGACGAGAAATAAAACCTTTTATCTACTTGAATATAATGTCTATTTTTGAACAACCCGAATTCATAATATATGGTCTTGTTGAAATCATATATTTTCTAAATTAATCCGTATATAGACTATTTTGAGAATGTGAAGTCTAGTACTGCTATAAAAATCATTTTATTAATGTAATTGAAATTTTACGAGTATCAAAGTAAAATGAAAAATTAAGAACAATCACAAACTTTCGGCCTCTCAATCTCAAGTCGGCGATTACGAACTTCGTATGCTGTCATTTATATGATAATTTCTGTTCGACCTGAGCTTGTATACAAGTCATCATCAGTTGAGTGACTTTTTTAAGTTTTATCTATAATTGTTCTGTTTATGATCTAATTTAATAGAAGTAGAAGCGTATATTAAAATATTATGAAAATATTTAAATTACTCAAATAATGTAGGTTATAACAAAAATTTTGTGTTCTCGGAAAATGAACTTAAAAAAAGTGTATATATTGTTGTTGAAGAGCTTTGCAGATATCTCTCAAAGACTTTGAAAACTAGCTTTAGACGACTGATAAACAGGATTTTTCTAACCTATACATGTCTCTTAGCAAAATATGCTAAAAGTTATCGGATACGGTAATTTTATAGAATAGACACTCCTTTATAAAATATGCTACTGAATTAACTTGTAGAACGAGTAAATCTCTATGACATAATAGTAAACAACGATGATTACGTTTTTTGGCATTTTCTCCTTAGACCTGAAAATATAGTCACTAGTCAATGGATTCATTTTATGTCTACATCGTCCAGCAAATGGGTGGGCGTCTTTTAAATAGGTGATCATTAACTAGGCAACCATCCAGTTCTATGGTTAGGAATAAATTCAGATATTTATCAACTAGTAGATTAGCTATTCAATGCATAAATTTTATTTTCTTAACATAAAAATTTAAATAGGCAATAAAAGCATTTTACGATAATGTATCGAAAAAATATTCATTCTGCATGATTGCGTTAGTTTTGAATTTTGACCGAGTTCATGAAGCGTATATGTATAGTTAGTCATCGACGCGTTAATCTGTACCTAAATAATTTCTTTTCACATCCTTTACATCATTGCAACAATAATTGTATCTATCTACGCACGCTTTATATTCTTTTAGACTCGCTAGTAGTAATAAGTTTGTAATTTAATAGCATTTTCTTTCATGCATTCGTATCGCTCTATCTCGTTGTAATTTTTTCAAACTCCACCAATCATTCATGAGTACTAGCCAATGATAAATAAAATTAGATATTTTTATCTTATATATTGATTTATCCAAATTGAGATTTATATTTTTGAGCCGAACGGCTTGGCACACATGCGCGCACAGATCGAACAGGGTAAAACAATTGTGAGGAGAATAACTTCGAACAGAAGAAAGCACACAGGGTAAGAGAAAAAGAAACAATTTATAGATTTTCCAAAAACAAAAAATCTAAAAACAACATGGTTTTGTACAGATATACGAAAGAAAGATAGACAACTCGATTCGGAAGTAAAGTCTTTTCAAATGTCGTCATCATCGTTTTATAAGTACGCGACTTAACGTACATACTGAGATTCGTCTTTCAATTGGCCACAAAAACAAAGAACTAAGCAAACAGCTAGTCTAGTAGCACAATGAAACAAGCGGCACTGTAGGATACATTTAAACAAACCAGCATCTGTATGTTTGTTTACATTGGAAAGAAAAACAAACAAAGGGAGACTAGCACGCAAGCTCTTTGAGTTTAAACAAGACTAAAAAAGTGATATATCAAGACAAACATGAGAAAAAGAAACAAAATGATCAGAAATACTTTTAACAAATGCGTGATAACCAGATAGAATATCTCAACTGTACAAAACACTCACATTGTCATCGTTGTGAAAGAAAAAAAACAACTGAATACATCCCGAACAAAAAATATTTTCTTTTTATATCAAGTATTAATAAGACAAAAGAATAATACCAAGAGATCAACAAAAATTTCACGTCTGCTACGTAATACAAAAAAAAACAAATGCGAAGAATGAGAAAAAAGAATAATGAGAAACACATTAGTCTTCTTTTTGCTATTAAAGGCTTTAGTTCGTTGTGGTCAGCAAAAAAAGAATATTAATTCGTTATGGATACTTACACAAATGTATCGAAAGAGAGGAAAAACAAAAGAAAGAACAGTCACTGGAATTCAAATACAATAACAATTATCTGCGTAAATCGATTGTCAAGTCGATAATTTGCTTTTGAAAAGTTGAAGAAAATAAAATGCGAATAAAGAATATGCTACCTGTCGAATGAATGATGATCACGAGAAGCTAAAAATAAGAAGGAACAGAATTTAATTAGGAAATGACTGAAAATAGTAAAGCATGATTTATTCAGTGACATCTCGAAAGGTAATAGTGAATTTTTCTAACTGTTTAAATAAAATTTTAAGCAAAGGATTTCAATTCGTAATAATTTCTAGTATTATCCCAAAATTCGACGATGTCTACGGTGACATTTTTCATGAACCAATCATATTGTTTGTCTATAGATTAGTGTAAAGAAGACTTAGAAAAAAACGTATCGGTTGTATAATTAAACGTTTAAGACAATTATTTCGTAGTCTAATACTCCTTAACGACAACAAAGAATATCGATGTTTGTTTCCAGTTATACTCTAATGCAGACTAATATTGAAGCTTTTAAATATGTATAACGATTTGAATGAACCTGCATGAATCATACAAACAATGACAAAATTTGACATGCAACATGAAGCGTTCTTCGCTTTATTATTTTTTCTTCTAGCAATATTGGTACAGAAAGGCGTTTTCGTAAATTTTTAATCATTTTTTGCTTTCTTTCAAGAACGGAATGTTTAGTGACTTGCATTCTAATGTACTTCATAAAATGTAGCTTTACTAAGTTTCTGAATTTATTGATGCAAATTTATCTGTTAAATTCGAGTATGTTCTTAGTTTTACTTGATAATGTATGTTAAGTAATACTAACCATAAAAAAATACGGTTACAAAGCTGATTTCAGTATTTTCTTAAGTTCATTTTTGTTTATTTTTCGAGAAGAACTTCAAAAATGATTCACGATCATGAACTAATACTAGCTTAGCAAATATTAAGATTTAACACCTCAAATCAGTATGGTAGCTGAAAGAAAGTAAGTAATCATTTTTGCTACCTCGAGAAATGTTTCATCTTTTTTTTTATAACAAGCATTATTTGAATTTTCTAGCAAAGAGAAACAAATATTAATGTCTCGTGAAATATATCAGATAGGAAAAAATCTTAGTTTTTATTAGTGATCTGCATTCAGTAACAATAATAGTTACATAGATTTTAAAGTTCTTAATCTCTAATGATCGAACAGCAATATTCAATGAGTGCATGAAACTGTAAACTTACACATATAATTGGAATTATTATACTGTTGTTGTCTTTGTAAATGTGCATGATAGGGATATTGCTGCGAATGTGTTGGATATACATGAGATGGATGAAGAGGGTGATGATGACGATCATGATATTTCAAAGCATGAGGATGAAAATGTGCTGTTGATGTTGTTGGGTGTGGATTAAGAAATGGATGCGGAAAAGGAAAATTAAAAAATGGTGGTGGCCCTGCTCGCGGAACAAATGAATGATAAGGCTGTGCATATGGATCCATATGTATTGGTGGTGGTGCTACCGGTAGTGTAGGAGATATTAATGATGATTCTTGCGATGTTCGATAGCTATGATTTGATATAGAACGTGATTGTGGATGCATTTGTGAAGATGCTATTCTTGATGATCGATTTGATGAAGATTTTCTTGAATAATAATCTTTAGTATGTTTTTGTTGGTGTTGCTCATAATAGGGCGGTGATGAACCATTATTATTTGGCGACGAATGATTATAATTTGACGATGAATGATTTTGCGAATGATGTTTTTTCGATGTTGGTAATGGTGTTGGTGAAACAGGTTCAAGTTCTTGTGTATCAAGAGCATAATCAAGATTATTTAATGATTTACTGCTTGTACTACTTGTTACACTAGATTTTCTATGATGACGTTTTTTCTTATTTGGACTATTTGAAAATTGGGAAAAATTTTCATATGTATTTGATTTTTGTTGCGAAATATTATTATCGGATTCAGGTGGTGGTGTTATAAATGTGTTATTATTTTGATGATCATTAGTATTATTATCAGTATTAGTATTATTATTATTATTATTGTCATAGTTAAATAAATGTGAATAATTCATGTTTAATTTTTCAGTTTTTGTTTGATTGATTAATAATGGTGGTGGACTTTGTTTATGTCCCATTGATGTTATACTTGATGGTGGTGTTTGTTCATTAATCATAAAACCAGAATGAATATGTGTAGATAATGATTCTAATTCTGATTGTTGTGTTGCTGGTAATGGTGATGTCGAAATTTCATCTTTTGCTATTGTTTCAGCTGGTGTTAGTGGAGATGGCTGACTATATAATTGTAATAATGGTTGTTCGACACTTGTGGTACCAGCACATTCTGATTGTTCATTGGTTGACTTTCTCTTTTGATGATGATGATGATGATGATGATGAGATTTTTGCTTTTTTGCTTTACGAATTTTTTTATCTTGAATCTTATCTTCAACTGAAATCGGTGATGGTTCTTTTGTTTGAATTTTTATGTTTAATGCCGGATGTTCAATTGATTCTTGATCAGTTATTTTTGATGATAAAGGAGAATTGGGTTCATTTTCTTTAATGGAAATTTGTTCTGAAAATAGTTTTAATTCAACTGTTGATATTATTGGTTGTTGCTTAAATTTTCTTGATGATAAATTTTGTTCATGTTTCAATTTTAAATAATGTTTCTCTTGATAACGTGAAAATAGGTCTTCAAATGATTGCACACGTTTCGGATTGGTTGCTTGTGATATTTCAATTTGTTCAATTAATTCATCAAAATTATCCACACTCTCAAGATTTCTTACAAATGTTTGTCCTTGGTTTTCCATAATTTCATATGGATTATCTGTTGTATCACGTAATAATTCTTCAATGGCATAATCATTATTATTTAGGTAATTAAATTTATCATAATTAGATTCATCTAAACGACCTGAATCAATAATCATTTCTTGATAAGAGCATTTCAATGGTGACGAAGGATTTGATGGCAAAGATTTGGAATCAAATGTTATGCTTGATTTTGTTAATGGTTCTATTGTTTGCAATTGTTGCTGTAAAGAATTTGATGATATTGTTAATGGTTCTATTGTTTGCAATTGTTGCTGTAAAGAATTTGATGATATTGCTAATGTATCTGAGATTGGCGAATAAGATATTGTTGGATTATTATCGAATGTATTCGATAATATTAGATGAGAATCGATATTAATATCATTATTATTGTTATTAGTAGTTGTAGTAATAATGAGAGGAGGCGGAGGAGGAGGAGGAGGTGAGTTTAACGACAAAAGATGTGAGATATTTTTCGTTGGTCGTATTGGTGTAATTAAATTTGTTGTTGATCGATCATGATCAGTGATGGGTGAATGTGCTTGATCAAATTCTAACATAAACGATAGATCGTTAATCGATGTATTTGTAATAGATTTTTCAAGATTATTTTGTATCAAACTTGTTGATGTCATGATTTCCGATTGTAAATTTTCAAGAATAACAATTGACTGTTGATCATCATGTGGAAGATTTTTCTCTATGCTTTGGTTTGTTTTTAATTGTTTTTCTAAATTTGCTTGTTCTTGTTCAATTGGATAAAAATACTGTAATTCAGTAAATGTGGAAGAATTTTCTTCTACTATTTGAATGTTTGTATTTTTCATTATTTCATTAGCTGCTTCAAGCAATTCTAATGAAAAATCTGTAGAGTCAATCGATGGATCACTTGCAGCAGTAGCTTGAGCATGTTGCAACGCATCTTGATCTGTAACCATTACTAAATCATCAAGAATATCTTGATATTTTACTGTTTCATATGTAGCTACTTGACTTGGTTCAATATGGCGTGCACTAGAAAAGAGGAAAAAACAATGAATTCAAATTCAAAAATATTATTTCACAGTTTTTATAAACTAATGTTATTGATAGGCAATGTAAAAAATAATAAATCAATATCCTCTTCAGAGTTTCGATCAAATATCTATGTATTTAGTTTTAATTAGGATCCATTGTTTTAGCAATGTTTCTAGGAAGAAAAATAAGGTCTCCGAAATATAGAATAAATTGATTTTTCTTTTCAGCAAACTCAAGATTTACGAAAATACTATAAGGATTTGTAATTCATCGGTTTCGATCTGTATGAAAATTTCAGTTAGACTAGGAAAAACAATAATCTCGGATTCATGAAATCATGAAGACAATTTATGAAAATTTTAATGAGTTTTTTCGGTATAGAGTGTAACTGCTGACAAGAAAATGGAATGACATCCTTCTGTGTTGAAATTCCGTTCATCGATTGAACACGATAAAATTAGGAATATCTTGAGTGTTTCAGTTAAACTTATAATGCGTTATTGAAGTATTGAGTTTTCAAGTAAACTTAATTTCTATGATACATCTGTAGCAAGTAACTATTCATTGAAAATTTAATATACTGAAAAATGAACACTCTGTTTTAAGAATGATTGAATTTATTGATAAACAAGATTTGATATCGGAAGATGAGCGAACTGCTCATAGGTCGATTTACGATACTAATAATCACGATTAGTCTTTTGGTTTTCTCAAATTTTACTAAGAGTTCCTTTTAGATTTGGTATGAGTTCAAACGTTAGATCGCAATTAAATTAATTCCTGCGTTAGTGTGAGAACATTATAGGGAAATTGAAATACTAGTGAACGCCATAAGGTCAAAGTAATAGTTTTGAATCTCCATATTTTGCATCAAATGTTAAAATAAATATTGAAATGAAAAAATCTTCCGTAGCTGAATATTATTGGACTTGCTCTCGTGACTACCTCCAGATTTTAGTGAATTCCAGAAGAATAAAAAATGATTAAAATCTTCATATACTGCTGAAGAGCTTGACAACTGTATCATTTAGTTATTTTCTTCACGAAAATATAACTGTCGGAAAAAATCAAACTACAAACTCTTTTGATTAAAACCTATGTGTATGGATAGAGATTTACTATTTATTGCAAAGTTTTCAAAGATTTAAAAAAGATATGAGAGTAATTGTTGATTTATTCAACTTTCAATAAAAGATCATTGACTCAAAAGGAATATAAACGTCAGATTGATTTCGTCATTGAATATCTTCAAAATGGTCATGATGTACAATTTTATATACCCATAGTGTTTTACATAAAAAATTCAATAGAATGAACATAAATTTGCAACAGTACGTCACAAATCTTATGTATGACACACTTATCATTTACTCACGCAGAGACCAATCTGTACCCATAATAACAAATCAAACAACGTTCGACAGTGAGGATTAGTCCTGCATTAGATCTAGAGTGAAATCCAAGAAGGGAACAGTCCTGAGAGACTCTAGTTGTTCATCTTCAATCTAGCGATGTACAGCATTTGGTTAAATACTAAACAGTGAGTTATCGACATAGGGTCCATTAGGATCGGTGTCCATCGAAGCACTGATGACATTCGCGTTCGCTGCAATATTGAAGCACCAACTCTATCGAAATATATCTTTTTTTGTAACGATATGTTCCAATGCTTCAGTGAACACTGGTACCAATGTGTACTAACTACAATGGGTGAAGCGCTGATCATTTAACTGCATATTCCTACTCCCATCTAGTACTCCAAATTTTCAAAATCATAACTGAACGAAAATAAACAAATGATTCCTTAATTCTTATGAATCGGTATAAAATGAATCGTTAATCTACTTACGTCAATTGAAAACCTTCTTCTGGTAATAAAGATATTGTACTATCACTGTTATTATTATTATTATTAAATGCATTCAGTTTTAATGCTTGTCGTTGTGAACCAAGTTGTACAACAGTTGTGAAAATATTATTATTCATTAATGATGAACCTGGATAAGCAGGATGTGGAAGTGATTGATTTTGACGATTTTCTGATTGTTCATTGATTTGACTTTGTTGTATTTGTGACAAGTCATTATTATTGTTGTTATTATTATGATTATTATTAGTTAAAATACTTGCAAAAAGATTTTGATCCGAATGAACACTTTGTTTAATTCCTGGATCTTCTAAATCGAACTGTTTTAAAAAGATATTTTCATCGAAATTCATTTCAACAAAACGCATATCTTCTTCACTCATAAATGATGTTATATGTTCATTTTCAACGTTATATCCGTGCACAGTGTGTAAACCATTACGTGATTGAGTTATTAAAATTGTATCGTTTTCAAGTTGATTATTAAATTCATCTAGCGTCGGCATTGATGTTGCCGAATGATAAGTTTCTTGATGTTGTATATTAGTATTACCTATATGTCGCAAATCGATATGATCTGATGTTTGCATCACATTTGTATTGGATGAAGTAATTGAATTATTTTCATCTAACAATAAATCATTTGAGGATGTGTGAAGTAGAAAATTTGATGCCAATAATTCCTGATCAAGATTTTCCAATAGACCAGATATCGATTCAGCAAATAAATTCATTGGTGACGAGGGATTTTGTTGTAAAATACTTTCACTATGATATTGAACAGGTGTTTTAGAACTATTACGTTTATTTTGTTTTTTGTTCGTTGTTGAACGTTTGCTGATACGATTCTTTGATGTTGCTCCACGTTGAATGTTTACTATTACTGGAGCTAATAGTCGACCAATATTTGGTACTATAGGTAGAAGTGATGGACTATGTGACGGCACAATCGCAGTTGATCCAGATGTCTTTTTTCTGTTACATATTCGAGTTTTACTAGATTTTTTATTTGCTATTGTTGGAAGACTTGTTAATAATGAGCTTTTAGTTGACGGAATCGATAAATCTAAAGATCTTGAATGATCCAAGTGTGGTCGTAAATCTCTTTCGTGATCCAATATTGAAGATTTTGACAAATAATTTTTTGATGATGATGGAGATAATAGTGATACTGTTGCAGAATTTTTATTATTAGTCGCAAATGATTTTGATGACGAAAAAGCATTTTTTACTATCGATTTTCTTTTTGCAGTGGCAGCAACGGAACTCGAGACCTAAAATTGAATCGTTTCATATCATCAATGAATATAAGTCGGTTCAAATCTGAAAGATGTTCAAACTGTATCAAGAGCAGAACTCTAATGAACTATCAAGAGTAATCGCAGAACAATAATATTATAGGATATACATGTCACTGAAGCTATTTTTGTTAGAATCGGTATATAATCCTGCTTCCAATCATCAATTCGATAAACAACGCTTTCTTCTCAATGAACATTATATTTATATTGAAATATGACGAAAATACAGCTATTCAAATCTGTGTTCTTTAATTGTTTAAGTCAGCTGCTTGTTTTCATAATGAAGCTATCAAATTGAACTTTTCCTTACATCCGATGATTAATAAAACGCCTTTGAAGTGAACCTATGATTCCCCGAAAATGCAATGAAGAAAATATTTTAAAATGGTTCTAACATTTGCTATTCTCAACGAAAATAAGTTAGTAAAATAAACATCCTATTTACTTTTAAAGAACTTGTTCTTGATGATGTCTTAGAACGAATAAGTCTTGGATATCTATTCTTTGAATCGTTGGAATCATTATCAAATAAATTACTGGCATCATTACTTGATGATGATGAAAACTGTCTTGTAATACTTTCATAATGTTCTGGTCTTATTTTTGGTATCACAGGTACTAATTCTTGATGTTTATGTAATAATGTTAGTTTTGGTCGAACCACTATTTGATTTTGCTGTTCAGATGACAATGATGATGAGGGTAAAATACTATGTGTATTTGACGGTAATAATTCGTCAAGATTCGTATTTGGTGTAATCGAATTTGCAGATGATGTTGCTGTTGTTGTTGCTGCTGCTGCTGTTGTAGTTGTCGTTGACGACGATGATGTTTGAGACAAGTAAACAAGATTATTTTGTGAGGCAAAAAATGATTGTATCGAATCTAGACTAACATTATTAAAATTTACTAAATTAATTGGTTGAATTAAATTTGTATTGTTTTGTACGAGTGTATTTGAACTATTCTGTACGAATGGTTGTGATGTTGTTTGTATAACTGTATTGAAGTTTGGTGTTATATTTGATTGATTTCCATGTACTGTTTGTCCATTAAAAGATTGTTGATTGATTGATCCATGATTATTTATATGTTGATGATTGGTTTGATTTGTTGTACTTAATGAATTTGTAGTTAATGTCAAATCGGAATGGTTAAATGTAATACTTGATGAATCTTTTTGTTGATTCGATATTGGGAAGATGGTATCACTGGATTTTCCATTTTGATTAGTTGAAGCATCAATTAAAAGTCCTTCTAAAAACAGTCGACAAAAGTTGATGATTATAAACTTTAAAAAGAACATGTATTTACGAGAACGAAGCAATTGTAAGAGTTTTGCGTTTTCTTCTCGAAGATTTCTAACTGTGTCTTCAAGATCAGCTGTTTTATTGTGATCTAAATAAAATAAAATAATTATGTATAGATATTATTTAAACAATTAAATTTATTTCTATAAAACCTTTTGTCCCTGGTTCCACCATTGAATGACGCACAATTTATTTGATAAAATACAGTGGAAGACAATCACAATAATACATAACATTGATAAGTAGCTGCAGTGCACTGTTTCATATTCATGATTTACACATATACGTTGATATTAACACAAAAAAAAATACAAGGGAAAAAATAGATCTAAAACGAAACAAAATAAATGTGTCTGTTATCAATGGAAGTAAAAAAATCAACTTTTCAATTGAAACGAAACAAGCATAACGACAAAAATGTCAACAGCCATGAATTAAATTTTCATGCCTCTCCGAGATGTTTGCTTGTCTTGGTGCAGGTCAATAGAAGAAATATTTTAAGTAGTTTCAAGGCTATTTATCGCTAGAAACAACTTCAATTATTGACAAAACTATAATTCATTAGCTCATTACTTCCTAATATATATTTTCACTAAACTGATTTAACAAATGAATGGATAATGTTGCATTTTTTATTATAGATGGCAGTCATTGTTTGAAAATGAAAGTCTCACTGAATCCTTTACATCAGATTTCTTTTCAAATGAATTCTTTCTTAAGTAAATTAAAACAAATTCATATTATGAGTAATTCTAGTTTATCTAATGAATAAATGTCATAACAACTGGAAATAATCATAGTGTTTTCTATCTGATTCCACCGGGTTATCGAATTAAAACAGCGAATATACCTTGCCGGTGTGTGCCAATTGGTACGCATATATATATATATATGTGTGCGGGTAAGTATAATAGCATTCTTATCAATTGAAATAGTATAAAAGAACGAAAAAAAATATTTTGCTTTTTGCGATCACGCAACCATGTGTGAAGAGTATTCGAGGAAAAGAGAAGAGAGCCATAACGATCGTGTCGAATAATGCTCCTGGATACGAATAGTTTACATATGCATAGTTACTATAATGTTTCGTTTTGATTCTTTTTTTTTCATGTATAAAGAGTAATGATAAATATCGTCTGACGTCTTTTTTAAACTAAACACGAATGATGTAACAATAAATAATTTATTTTATTTGAAATCTTTTCGTCTCTTATGTTCATCATCAAAAGTCGAAAAATATATTAAGAAGAAAAATTCATAATTCTATTAGTTAAAAAAGAACGAAATAATTGTTTCTTCATTCACTATTGTTTTATGGTTGCACGAATATACATAAACGAATAGATGAAACAAAAAAGTGCATGCGAAGTAGAAAAAAAGAAATATATTCTCTTCTTCCAATCACACAATAACATCCGTTGCAACAACAGTTGTGTTGTCGATCATCATACTACTTCATCGTCGTCCTCGATTCAGTCGCACAAATGAATTTATATTCTGAGACTTGCTTTCTCCTATTCTGTTTGTCTCACTGTTTTCTTCTTCTCATTCCTCGAGTTTTTTTTACTACATCAAAGTGCTGTAGAAAGAGAGGTCTTGCTGGTTGTCAATCATTCATTCACTCACTCATTTGACCTTAGCAGAAACAACATACAAAGAACGAGAAGAGAAGAGCAACATTTATACGTTGTGCTAAAATGCGGTTATTAATGATGAGTACAAGATTTCTTTACATTTGTTGTCAAAAACGTAAACCGATTGATTGACTTTTACACTGATATATTTCTCTTCACAGGTAATGTTGTCAGTATTCTTCTCATTTGTTATTTATCATTTCTTCATTTAGCAGAAGAAACTATGTTATAACTCTTTTGTTAGATTTCATCTGAATCAGTACTTGGAAAGTACACATTAAGATTATGTAATAATCAGTCAGAGAGAGAAAAAGAAAGAAAATACAAAGGAATCGAATCTGTATACATATGTTAGTTCTGTTCTTTCATGTATCGTCCTCCAGTTACTCGGGTATATTATATTTGCGGTTCTGAAGCGAGAAAAGCGGCATTTCGCCACGCCAACATAAGTCAAAACGAAGGGCGGACATGCCTTAGTTGACCTCGAACGCCGGATAGATGTTTAGGAAAGAAAAAAGGAAAGAAAAGACAAAAAGAAGAAGTTCATCGAGAACTAACAGAAAATATATATGATAGAATGTTAAGTTGGCCTAATATCTGTGGTTTCAAATTCATGGGTACCATTGATCATATGACACAAGCGTATCCCATTACGTGTCTCCTTCTCTTTATTTCAAGTTATTCTTCACTTTTTTTCTTGCTCGTTTGCCATTAGAGTAGATTGTAGTTGTACTATGATTATATTCTTCTATTTGTCATCATTTTGTGTTTTACCCAATCTATGGTGATTGTCTTTTTAAGGGCATCATTATTTTTATATGAGTAGAATATAGTATATCACCATTGTCGTGTTAAGCTTCTACATGTAAGCATTGTATTCATGGTGAGATTGTTGTTGATATTGTCTATTTGACTGTTTATGGGCCTTGACTTTTGCAGCACGAGTATCATCCATACGAGAACTAAAGTAGTTTACAAGTATGTGTACCATATTTATATACGTATACTCCTTATGTATAGTGTCTTTTCTCTAATAGCTTTTTTCTCTTTTCATGCTCATTCATTTGTTTGGTTTCTTTTTCTTTCTGTTTTACCTTCAATATTAATCAATGAGTCTTCATTTCTACGTAGAAAACATCAGGTTGATATTCATCATCATTTCTGTACGTGTTTCGTTCCCTCAAGTCAATAGATTTTTATTTTCTCGATTATTATCAAATCACGTGTGTTCGCCTTTTAATATGTAGATGTATCAGAGTGATTACTAATAGTGATCGAGAGCAGTGACAACAAAGAACTGAAGCAACAGTAGACATCTACACGATGGTCGCCAGTGATTGGTATGGCATATTGGGTGTTAAATCAACAGCAACAGATGGTGAAATTAAAAAAGCGTATCGAAAAAAAGCTCTTCAATATCATCCAGATAAAAATCCATCAACAACAGCTGAAGAAACATTTAAAGAAATCAATAAAGCCTATGAAACATTGAGCGATGCAGATAAACGTCGAATGTATGATTTACAACAACAAATACCTGTGACACCGACAACTAAATCTAATCCACAACCACATAAACAAAAAACGTCATTTCACGCACCCGGTCAACCACATTTCACTTTTAGTGCATCAGCAAAGAATGAAGATTCGACGTCATCACGCTCAGCGCGTTTTCGTTTTCATCGTATGGGTCAAGACCCATTTCACAATTTTCAACAACGGCATTCACAATTTACTAATACGTTTTTTGATCCGTTTCGTCGAAATTTTCGTTCGTCGGGTTCTTCGTTTTTTGATACAACAAATAGTCACATTTCATCAGATAACGATGATGATGATGATGATGGTGATGGTGATGCTGGAATTGGTGATGACGAAGTCAAAAGTGATCGTAATAATTCAACGTTAGGTAAATAAAAGAACAAAAAACAAATGTATAAAATATAATTGAAATTCTTTTTTTCAGGATCAGATGATTTTGACTTTGATTCAACACCGACAACACGTCGTTCTAGTCAAACACGCTTTTCAACAAAAACTCGTCCAAAATGGAATAATAATTGGCCATTTGAAGCCGACGATGATAATAAATCATCTACATCATCAGACTATAAATTTCCATCTACATTTCAACAACGTTCGAATGCTGATAATCCATTTATGATGTTTGAAATGTTAACTCGTGTTGTTTTTGATAAATTTTTTACTGACGATCCTTTTTGGCATAATATTGATTTAAACGATCCATTGATTAACAATAATAGTTCTCAAGATATACATTTTCCAAATTTAAATCAACGACAACCTCCACGTTCAACATCAAGTCGTCTACGTAGTGCTTCACAACAAAGACCTCCAGTATCAACTGCAACAAATCGTACACGAATACATATTAATCATGTTCCAACATCATCATCTTCATCTAAACATGCTAATGACATGCATTTTGAATGGTTAGGACATCATGAAAGACAAAAACGAGCAACATCTTCATCTCGTTTTGATTATAAAGATAGTGATGAAGAAAACATTGAGGATAGTTATGTTTATCAACAAGCAAAACCAACAACAATAAATGCTCATCGTTTCAGAAGACGTGCAACGAATAATAATAATAATAATAATAGTAGTGATTCAAAAATTTTAACCTGTCAGTATTGTTTTCATCCATTCACATCAATTGAAAATCGTTTCCAACATGAAGCTATATGTCGACATCGTTCAAATAGATCAACAAATTTTCGAAATAGAACTCAAGCACCACCACCACCGCCGCCACCGCCACCGCCACCACCAACAACGACGAATACAGCTGAAGAAAAATTATTTTCATCTAAATGTTCTTATTGTCATCAAGATGTTCGTCTAACAGATCGTCTTGATCATGAAGCACTTTGTAAACAATTTGGAACAAAACGACAAACAACAAGCAATACTAAGACGAAACGATTCAATAATTCAACATCGCATAGTTTTAATAATGATAGTCAATCAACTCCAAAATCATCGTCCGGTAATAAAATGAAACAGCCTAGCGAAAACAGCACTACCAATTAGTTGTTTGGTTTCTTTGATTTCGTCTGTTCTTTTTTTTGCTTTTTCATATACTCACAATTCCATTTAATTTTCCCTCAAGCATGATAAAAAAAAGAATCAATTCTGTATCTGGGCTTTTCATTCAGCATCATATGCTCATTTATACATATCACATTCAATTATAGAAACATGCATGCCTTAGAAACAGAAATCTATGTACACCTACGCACGCTTTTTATGCTATGATGCTTTGTTCAACATATTATAGAGCATAGACGATAATTATCATGCACCCGCTATATATAGTTGCTATAGTTAATTGTTATTAATAATACTCACTTTAATGTAGTCAAAACATGATGATGATAACTAATCATAGAGCTTTTGTTACCTTTATATGATTCATTCTCATTAGTATCCGTGCCCGCGATTATTGTAATATAGATGAATAGATTTACCAGTAATTAGTTTCATTTTTTTCTCATACAGATAGTTTATCAAGTGGAATTGAACAATTAAGAACATGTGATCGTTGTCATCGAATATTTCCTGTTTTATCCGATTTATTTAATCACATGTGTGATGATGACGATGGTCTACTTCGTAAGACGTCCGCGTCCTCTTCCGATAAACTTACCAGTGATAATTTATTTAATAATAATAATAATAATAATAATAATAATAACAATAACACTAATAATAAGGCAACATTGAATAGTAGCATTTTATTCGATAAAAAGTTCGCATCAAATCAAGGATCATCATCAAAGTCTTTCAAACTCAATCGTCATTCATCATTTAATGATTCTTCAGAACCTGCATTGCGTTCGAAAAAATCATATTCAAAATTTTCACCACCATCGTCACCAATATTAAAGCAACATACGAATCCAACACCCATACATGTATCAGTATTAAATCGATCAAATAATAATAAATTATCATCAGACACAATGCACATTCCTCTTTTTAAACGCCCGTTATTACGAGCGGATGCAAATAATATCAGACGTATTTCATCATCACCATCCCCACGACCATTATTTAATGATAAGCAGCAATCCTCCTCAAGTGCTTATATTTATCTTCGAACTCCATCATCGCCAATGCGTGTTATCTCTTGAACCGAACGAATAATATCAAGAGATACATGCGTGTGTGTATTTGTGGTGTGTATAGAATAGATTTATAATCAGTATTGTGAAAATGTTTCGTTTTTCAAAATGGATTTTATGCAAACATATCAGTATTGATTCACTTGTAATTTGAAAAGAAATAGAATTGACAATGCTTATAATATATAAAATTTTCTATGTGTAGATCAATCATTTTCAATAACTTCTCGTTAGAGTACTGTCAAAACGGATGACAAACATACTTTAATGGAAGCCGTGACAATTGTTACTATGTAAATATATGAAACTATGTTATGCTCCAATAGCCTTGCTTGCTTAAAAAATAGAACGTCATTGAGTCGAGTAATATCAAGGGCATATGTAAATAGGAAATTATATTCGAAGTATAACAAGCCTGAAATGTTTTTCATGCGACCGCTTGAATTAAAATTAATTTTGATCATCACATACAAGACTTGATTTTTCTGATAGATATAATATCGGGACGTTTAATCGAACTTCAATTGGAATTTGATACTAAATACTAGAGAAAATTTTCTACGATTATTAAAAAATATTATTATACATATTCGTGTCAAAGTAGAAGTTTCATGGGACAGCTGACATCTTTTTTTATATCATGCATTCTTGACGGTCAATAAGCGAAGTAGAATATTTGTATTAAATCCACTTGCACTACAAGCGAAAGTATAAGCCTTATTAATATCTTTTACCTTTCGTCATGGTTGAATCCAGATGATTGTATTGTAGAAAGAAAAAAACAGTTCGAATCGAAAAATAAATTCCGAAAGTTTATATCAAAGAAATTCAGCAATTTTTGATTTTCAGTGCCCTATAATTGAGCATAATGATAATTTTTATTTTTTTTGTCATTATTTTTATTTTGGTTATGTTTCAACTTTGAGATATCTCTTTTGCACATGCAATTAAACGAGCTTTTTCCAATCATGATACGAAACGAAGCAGAAATCAACATTTGAAATTTTAATTATGTTTATCATAGATATAATTTAGATACTTCGAAACTCATCATCTCATGTGTTGAATGGTATGAGTAGTGAGTAGTTAATGTTTTTACATTTTCTAGTTAGCCAGTGAAATAGTTTATTTGATCACAGTGTTTTCTTTGATTGTAAGATATTCTATCTAAAAACCATCGTCATTATTCTTCTCGTTATATAAATGTAAGCATGACAATAGTCGTATGATCATGGAATTTTCAAAATAAAATACTAAATACATTCTATAAATGTGTTTAGTATTTTATAAAAAAACAAAAAAAACATAACCTAACGTATTGCTATAATAGCAGATTCTTTTATTGAAAACAAAACTATCTTCACTCATTTACAAAAATAGGAAACTCAACAAAAAGAAATAATTACATAAAAGAAAATGAAACAATATTTTGTTTTTAAATATTTTTACATTAGTGAATTTTTTCGATCTTGTTCATCGAGCATAGCGAGCTAAAGAAAATGAATAAAATTCAAAACATCAAATCTCTTGTACACAAAATTTTTATTCATACTTCAGCATTGACAACATCTAAAATGGACATCCAAGCATCTTCATCATGTAAACTCTCATCAGCAGTGGATACGTTTCCAGATTTTCCTGATACAGGCGTACTTGGCTTTTTCTGATTATCTGACCAAAATTGATTTAATGAGATATTATCAGAGTCATTGAGTTTATCTTCTTGTAATACATCTTAATACATAAAAATAAATAAACATTGTGAAAAATGATATATATATATATCAATTACCAGTTATTGCTTTCAATTGATTCATTGAAGTGCGAGATATAGGTCGAGGAGTAACTGGCGTAGAAAATGCTTTAGATACGGTTCTATTTGAAGGACTTGTAGGAACACTAACAGGCGTTATTGGTTGTAAAGGAAGATTTGGAGAGAAACCTGGATCATGTATTTTAGTATGATCAACAAATGTGACTTGACTACAGTAGAAGAACATTGATTTAGATATTAGTCTTCTAGAAAATCTTACTTAAAAGGTTCTGGTGGTTTAATATGAGTACAATTTTTATGCTTCAGAATATCATTCTTACTATCACCTTCATATATCCAAGATATACTTGTTTTACTACCTTGTTTAGGTTGCACAATTGTTTTTGTTCGTTTAAATGCCTGACTTTGAGGTTTTTTACTATTTATTAAATAAAAAAAAATTAAGTCTGATTATTATTGAAATCAATTGTTTTCTTTTATACCCTATATGCATTAAATGTGCATCATTGTAAATATCTACGTGTGATAAAGCAATTTGTTTTGAATGTGTGTGTCGCCGGATAAGGTAACCGACAGTTAAAATTATTAGTAACGCAAATAAAACACCTAAAATCAGTATACAAACAAATTTCAAAATTTCTTTTTCATACCTGTTTAAAACATACTTAAACCACAAGCAAGACCTATTTGCCATGAATTCAAACCAGATGCAACTGTTGCTATATCTAATGAATTATTATTCATGATAATCGATACAGATGATAAAGTGGTAGTTGTAACAAGATGGTCACTACAAAACGAGAGACGAATAAAGTAATACGTTTGAACTATCTTCTTTTAATTAAACCTGCAATTAGCAGTCCATCTATTTGACTGTAGAGTACATATTGGATATGATGAATTTGCCAGACAAATTGGATCTCGTGCAATATCGCTAGCTGTACAAGCATCTGATACGAGACCTTAATATTAGTTGAAGAAAAGAATCAGTTGTATTCTAATTTTGATATCAAATATTTATAAAACTAATTTTCAATGGATTAAATCAATTATTAAATAGTTTTCTGCAAAGTTTAAATAAAAAAAATGCAATTATACTATGAACTAAAATTTACTGAAAATTAATTAATTTGAATTATTGCACTCATATTTACTCGATAGTATATGTATTGCTAGTGAATAACTATCCTATGTGATATAATATAATCATGGACAGAAGAAGATCGACGGCTAAATTTTCATACATGCATTTTCCTATAAGAAAGACTACCTTATTAATTGTCTTGCTACGCTTTCTTAGAAATAAATTTAAAAAAGACTTAGCCAAGCAGTATTCAAACCAATCTAAGATTATTTATTTTCGATTACGATTCAAAGTATTATGTACATTAGTTCGACGATAAACTTTTCTTTGCAGATCATTATGACTGGCTCGATTTTATTTATACGAAATATACAAGGATATTGTATGTGTCTTATGCGTGTAATCAATATTTCTGTTGGCTGAAATAACATATTTTTTAAGCATTACAAGATTGATTGCATTGATCATTTAGCGTGTTGTAAAGAATTAACAACAATGATTATTGTATATCTGAGAACCTTAAGAGCAAATAAGAGAAAGGGTGCTCCGAGGCTTAGTGACCAATCTCATATGAAAATTTTATCTTTTAGTACTGGACGAAGTTCAGTATACATCTAGAAAGATCACCAAATGCTCTAATATTTCAACAGACATGGCGGGCCTATGAAATAATAACATCTGCAGATATGAGTTGGTTTAAAAGTATGGGATTCAATAAGCGTAGTATTTTTGCAAACAGACTTATCAAGAGAGCACAGTACTCATTAGATGAATGGAAATCCTTTGAAAGGATACACGAGGAACAGCTAAACTATTTCAAACGTGATACTAATCTGCTCAACGTATTCGTTTATAAATACTTCTTATGTAATAAGCACTTAACATAAACATATGAACCTTCCACTGCTACATATACCAAAATAAAGAAATACAGGATATTCTATTCAAATTGAAATTTCAGTTACCACCACATTTTCTACACTACTCTATCTTTTTGTGTTACATGTTATAACTATGTGTCACTCTTTTTGTTTATCTTTTTCTTATCTATAAATGAATTTAGTTCATCTCAGGAAGGAAGACTCTTATCACTGGAAGTCAACCAACTTTTTATGAAACGCGTCTTGTAAAAAAAACTGTCTCTTTCGTTTACTTTTTCTTTATTCATTTTATATGAATGTGAACCATTCAATGCACAAACAAATTAATAAATAAATAAAAAAAAAAAAAAAAAAGAATTTTATCTATTTCATTTATGTAGAGAAATTCATCATGTCACCAATAGTGTGTAAGACATTAGAGTTTCCTGGAGTATTAACATTATGAGAATTTATACAGTAGTTTGAATGCTAGAGGAGTATAATATGATATTAATAGATATTAAAGTTTCTAGGGTACCATAAGATAAAGTTATAGAGTGCTTGTTTTACTAATCAATTCGATACAACTTTAAATTCGCTTTAACTTTCTGCAGGCACTAATTTTTGATTGATATTTTCTTGATACCTAAAAATATTTCGCTTTCTTTTGTTCAGACATTAAGACATTTATAATATTTTAATAAGAATAAAAATTTCCCATAAAAAATTTTGTGCATGGTGAACTAGTATAGAATTGCTTATCACTAATACAAATGATTTCTTTAAAGGCAAAAAAAAAATTGTTGAACTTTGCATCCGTAGAATGGAAGTAAAGTAATAATCTTGTAGCGACAATGTCTTATAGTACTATTTCTTTTCTAGATTCAGATTCCGAGAATCAATTGTTGGCTAGGGATACAGAGCCCTTGGAGAATTTATGAATAACCCTATGTTCATTTAGAAATTAAAATTTTTTTTGACGTTCTGTTAAACGCTTCTAGGAATCTAAGTACCAAAAATTGTGCTCTCGGTTTAAAAAAAAGTCATTTTTATTAGTTAACCAAACACTATGTGTTGATTCATCGTTTATTTTAATTTTTCTTGGAAATTTTCTTAGCTATTAAAATATCATGAATATCGTTAACATTTCAAAAAACAAAATAGAATAATTCACGAAATCAACTTCTAGTTTAACATGTTTCAGTAGAACTGACTTTTAAAATATCTAGATAGAAATAACATAGACTCGTATGTATGTCTGAAGCCTATAAACGCATTCACAACGCGGTCTGAAGAAAGCTTCCATGGAATGTACTAAATATATGTTACTAGAAGATCAATCAATAATGTATCCGAACTGCTTATTAAAACATAATCTCCATACGATTATCTTACAACATCCTTGAGAGCATAATGTCAAATAGTATAATATTATATCCCTCAAACATGGTTGACAGTCAAGGATTCACAGTGGAGTAATGTTTTGTCGAAACAAATTCAACAACATTTTAGATTAAAAAATCTGGATGAATGCAAAAGAAAGCGTGTCTTTTTCAAAAACATTGCTTCCTGAATTTCTGTCAAAACTATTATGGACGATAAAATACAAGATTTTTACCGACATCAAATCTCAATTAATATAAGTAATTTTACTTACTATTATTTATAGTGATTGATGACAAAGTAAGATGTGACTCTGGATCAATAATGAAACCATTTAATACATAACTAGTCGCATTTATATAATCATAATAAATCGAAGCTAAAATAAAATGAAAAAACAATCTTTTAAAATAGACTATTATTGTTGTGTCATATTTTACCAAATAAAATTTGAATTCGAATTGAAATCGATTGAGTCACAGTGATAAGTTGTTGAAAATACATATCCGCCGTAGCAGAACAACTGCATAATAAAAAAAAATATTCCTATAGTTATAAAAAAAAGAAAATTAAATTAATAATTTACTTAAAATTGCTGATTGAAATATTAAGAAAAACATTTGATGTAATATTTGAAATGTTACTTTGATACAAATTTGTAAGCTTCAAAAAAATCAATCAATTGAAAAAGAATAATAATAACTAATTTTATGAAAGCTACATACATCAGTTACAGTTTGATTTAAATCCAATGTTGTATTATCACAGCGTGATAATCCGGTAGTTACTAAAATAAAGCGATAGGATAGTTTTTAATTAGTTTTTCATTCAACGTTGCTCTACGAACAGCGGCAATAGATGAATATTAAGTTATATTCAAGATAATTTTAAGTCGAAGTTAATATTTTGTTCAGAACCTGAAATTTGTAAAGATTAACTATCGAAAGAAAATGAGATTCATTTATAGAATATTAAAGTACGAATGATCTTTGAAAATTTATCTATTGATACATTTATGAAATAATAAAATGATAATTAAATTGTATTCTACTTTTAGATAGGATAAAGGAACAAAGAAACCATATCTAATTCATCAATCTTTTAGAAATATTTATGCAATACTATACTACCAGACGTCATACCTGTAATAGTATTCGCGTAAGGCATCAATAATGTACCATTAAGAGCCATACCTTTTTGTTTGTGTTGATAAAAATAAGTGAATTACTGCACGTTGTTCTTTCCAATTGATTAACCGTCTCTTTTTGGTTAAATAAATTCTTATCGATTAACCATGTTTTTTCGCTTTTATTCAAATTCGAAAATACCTTGTGATTTTCATTAACTCTTAAAAATTTTTCATTCTATGCTTGGAGTGTGCCATTACAAAGAATTTATATAAAAACTATGAAGACCAAATTAAGAGAGAAAATGAGCGAAGAAAAGAAAAGAAAAGACAAGAAAGTTTTCTTTGTGTTGTTTGTAAAATTTCAAACATGTTTATCGTTTTCTTTTCTTTTTTTTACCCTAAGCTCTTTTGATTCAGTACCTTTGGCATGCGTTTTGATGTCACATGATGATAGAAAAAGGCGTATATTTAGTTCTTTTAATTGTCGTAAATTATTTTCACTCGTTTTTTTGTGCGTTGCTTTGTCTTCAAACAATATTTCATTTTTTTCATTTAAAAAGTATTCACGAATTCTGTTTTCTTTTCTATGCGTGTTTTTTTCAAATGCATATATTTTCAAGTGTTTGTTCGTATTAAATAGATTGATTAATTGTTTGATTATTAAAGGAAAAAAAACATAAAAAGAGAAGAAAACAATTCTTTTACAAAATAAGCCTGCACATTACTGTGTACTTCAGTCATCATGTACAAAACAACGAACGGCTATTTATCTAGTTTTCAACAGTATCTATATATAGTACTTTTAAAGAGAGAGAGAGAGAGAGAGAAATATGGGCAATTGGGTAAAAGAACAGTAGAACTGCTGAATAGAGAAGAACATTATTACTACTTCTAAATATTTTTTTCTTAAAAAAGCAGAAATGAAACGAAATTGTTTTTTTTTGAACGAGTAAGTTGCTATACAACTGTGTGATGCACTCAACGGAAAACAACAAATCATAGGAAATGAAACATGAAGTCTTTCCGACGACACGAATTTCGATGCAAGATTCCATAGATAATTGATTATAAATTTAATTCTACTGAATTAGTAATTATCGGAAGCAAATTGTTTTATTCAAATTTAATAATATTTTTAATTATATTTATATCATAATTCTATTAACTAATATTTGAAATAACAATAGATGGTATTTAATATTTGGTAAACAATTCAATAATTATTTGTCGTAGTCGAAAATTATCATGACTAAAGTTATTAGCTATATGTTATTTCTTTGACAAAATTGTTTATCATTTTATGAATTTTCTTTTCTATTTTTCGAATTATAATGGTCTTGCATTATCAATCGAGTTGACTAGTTCTATGATTTCTCAACTAAATATACAAGGATACCGTTTGTATTAACAAAAACTATTCTGTTGTTTTCTGATTAGAAGCCGGTAGTTATAATACATGCGAATTTTTTTCTTCTATAAAGGTTCATTCATCTGACATCACGTACATAAGCTCGACGAAGTGAATTACTAACTAAAAACAGTAATTGACCTTTCAGAAAATATTCATATAAATTTATTAGTAGATTTATTTGTATGAATCGATGTGCTTAGCAGTTTAATCTCAAATAAAAATTGAATTTTTATTTTATTTTTTTATTATAAAAATATTACTTAAAGCCACAAAATCTTCTCTAGACTCACCATAGAAGAAAATCCTATTTAGATTAATGCATTGAAAAAAAGACATCTAACAGCCAATAGAAGAATTGTTGAATGACACTGATGAATGGAGCAAATATGTCAAATGTAATAATTCACTAAAAAAGAGAATCTGATTAAACAAAAATTAAAATTTTCCAATTACAATGTAGAGTTTACTAATTGCATGAATCAGTCTTACATACTAAACCATTGTATATAGAATAGTATTTGTTTCGCAATTAGATAAAAATCTTGAGTTATAAAAAAGAAAACTCTTGAAAAAAAGAAAAACAAAGTAAATTGATTGATGAATATTTTGTTTTCGCCAATTTAACGAATTAGACAACGAAAATCAGCATGAAAGAAAAAGAATATATATCTGATGATTACGATCTGTTGAATAGTTATTATTGTAAAATCATTAAAAGTAAACTCGAATTTATTTTCTCAAACTTATTAATCGTTCATAATTCGTACAACATCTTTTTTTCTTGAATAAAGATTATTTTTTACGAAACAACAGCAACAATAACAACAAAAAAGGAAGCAACATCGAAAGCTAAAATGTTTTAAAGTGATATTTCGTCTTCTTTTGTTCGGCGACTACAAACACTTGAACGTGTCTTAAAACTTGATCGATGACTATATGAACTGAGAGCTGCGTGTCCACCGAGCGCATTTGTCTGATGCATATTGATTGGAATATCAAATTCATTTGTTTTTAAATGTTTATATAATACTTCAAATGGTACACTTTCTTGTGAATGACTTAGATGAATTCGACTGTGTTCATTATTATTTGTAACTGTTGATATTCTCTGGTCCATAATAACATGACTACGTTGATATCTTAATAAATATTTTAGTGCACATCGAAATCGATAATTCGTACAAATGAAAACAAAAAATTTATATGAATAAAGTGATAATTCAAATGCTAAACCTATGGTTTGCATATGTGCGTGAGCTTTGAGAAGAACTTCATTTGATGATGAATATTCATCAATGCTATTTGATGCAAATAAAACCATTAAACGTAAGAGTTTACATGGTATTGATAAAAATACAAATACAATTGCAAGTGCAAATGCTGCATTATATGTACGAAGATACTCAGCTATGGGAGAATCATATCGCAGTGAAATATTTTCCGTTTGAGAATAGTGTGAATGCAATTCATTCCATACTTGTGTACCTTTACGAAATAATAATATTGATAAAATGCATATTATTACTGTTGCTAGCATTAAGCCAAGACCCGTATAGAAAAATACATTAAGAATAACTGCTGTTGCATAAATTGATTCATGTAAATCAACCATTTCTGCATTCATTAAACAATGACGATGATAAGTTAGATTTACTGTTGAATTTTGTATGAAAGAAAGGGGTTCATTGTAAGACATCGATTCGATCGGTGGTACATTGAAGAGAGTGAATATAAATAATAGACCACAACTAAATTTAAAGATAAAGATAAAGATAAAGATAAAGATCAAAATTGTTTTTGTATTTTTTTTCTTATGCCTATTTTGAAATAAATAATTCAAATAAGTACGGAATGTTTAATTATGTGTGTCTGTGTGTTTAAACTGACTATATTTATTAATACATTATGAGAACGGAAAAATAAAGTCCTGGATACAGAATTCATTTATTTCATTGACAGAAAAAAAGAATTCATCTTTTCAAAGAAAACTCTTATAGAAGTTTACACAAATATATAAACTTGCTGAACTTTCATATAAGGAGTAAAATTTTCTCAGTCTATTAACAGATAGGTGATAAAGTAGAGTATAAAATACAAATAATGATCTACATCTAATTTTCGAAGTTTATAAGATTTCATTGTTCTTAATATCTACACAATTTTAGTATGGACTTGAAATAATCATAGTGAAGATTCTTCTTTTAAGCTCTAGATAATTTCAGATGAATAATACAATCGAGAAATATGTTCCAACGTTGAAATAGAAACTATAGAAAATCAACAGCTTAATTATCAGTACTTTATTTACTTACACTGCATATTTAGCATTGACAATAGCAATAAATCGATAGAATTTCGAATAAACAAGAAACAATCGATTAAGAAGTAGTAAAATAATCAACCAATGTGACATTAAAATTGAGACACGTATAATGTATGTTAATAATTTACAACAAACAGTTGATATATTTATTAAACCAGTCATAATATCATTTTCATTTTTTGGCGATGCTTTATAGCGTATAATTGAATTGATCAAATGATATGTCAATATAATTAAATCAAATAAAGATATTTCAACAAGAAAATTTTCAAATGTACGTTTTTCTCCGCCTGATGAATGACGTAATATATATCCATTACCAATTAACATTATACAATTTCCAAATAAACCAATCATAAAGAAAAATATTGTTATTAATAATGAACGATATTCCGCTATATTAATATGTTCATCGGTACCAAACGGTGCATGATCATCATGATCAAATGTCCAGTTATTATTCATGATTTGAAAAAAATATTGTTTTCACTTAATAAGTAGTTGAGATAAATAAAATATTCACCAGTCGCGAAAATTATTGTTAGTCGGATACATGCGCTACATTAATAATTGCATTTAGTGTTATTATTTTATTGGGTATGCGACAAGAATCTACGCGTTGTCTTTCTCGTGTTCTCTATTTTTCTGCATTCTCGTTTTTTTTTTGGTTCTTATAAAGCTTATATGATGATAGATAGTGCCCTGATTTGATTATGATGAGCGAACAAGCTGCAGAATTGAAGATTGTTGAATAAATGGCGAAAAATATAGTTCAAAGCCGATGCCGCTTATGATTCTAAATTTCGCGTAATTCAGCAGTTTTCCTCCTCGTTGCTTTAATATTTTCTCTGCACAAGTTTTATTCATTAGTTTTACATGTGATAGACTAGGAAAAAAAGTCGTAGAATTACTGTTGTTATTTTTATTTTTATTTTTATTATTATTGCTATCGATCTCATTTTCACTCGGTGACCATTAACTCGTTGCTGTTATTTTGAACGTACATTCAATACTGTTTCGTGATAGGATGAAAAGTAATAGAACACAATATTCGTTCGGATCTTCTTAGATTCAAAGAATACCAAATAGGAAGAGTATTGATAGCCTGCCATATTGTTGATGAGAAGAAAGTGTTCTTTTATTTTTTCATTGGTGTGCTTTTTTATTGCTGTCAATAGTCACTCGATCCATTCACATAATACACACATAACCATATCCTGTTTTGTTGTTGATCAATATCATTGATAAAATACAGATGTCTTTCAAGTAGATCTATCTCAGTTTGATTAGAAGTGTTTTCCATGCACATTGAAAGGAAAACACAAACGAAAATCATAGATAATGTATACGGTGCATTGATGCTAACTATAGCATTATTCTATGAATGAATAATAAGATGTAGAATCATTTTCCTTTTCCTTTCCTTTCCTTTCCTTATTTTTTTATTGTCATGATGTTATTATTGTCATCATTTGAATACCAAACAACCAAATTATGTAGAGAGAAAAAAAACAAAAGCAAGCGAAAAACAAAACATATATAAAGCAGGTTTTTAAACAGTTGGATAACTTGCAGCTGTAGCAATACCGCATTGATTACGTTTGTTACGTGTCATTTTGATGTAACCACTATCACCCCAGCCTACACCCCAACTAGAATGAATCAAAAGATATAATTAATGAAATATTTCATAAACTAATCTATGATAGTTACCTGTTTTTAACGAGCCAATAATCATTGCCAGAGTCTGTACCATAACCAACGGCAAGAACACCATGGTCAAGTCGAACTGGTGAGCAGAGTGGTTCGTTGTAGACTAAATGAATTCGTATGAAAGATTGAAAAATTTAACAAAACAAAACAAACAAATAAAATGAAAATACATACCACCACGTTTGTACAATTGAAATGAAGCATGACTAGCATCGATGGCAACCGAAATTGGACCTACAGTAGCAACAGCTTCTTGAAGTGAACCTTCATCTTGTGATTTGATATCAGTGAAACCAGTATCAGTAGCACCAACACTGGCTGTCTTGAATCGGCATTGATTGTCTATGGCTTCATATGGATATGAACCTTCGGTATCGATACCATTGTTTTCTTTGATGTATTCGAAGGCTTGATCCATTAAGCCACCATTACAACCCATGTTACCTTGTTTGCGTGAGCAATCGACTAAGTTTTGTTCTGAAAGCGAAACAAGTTGACCAGTAGCTTTGAAGTGTTGACCTTCGAGTGCACCAGTTGATGAAAAAGCCCAACATGAACCACATTGGCCTTGATCTTTGATACCAGTAACATAGCCTTTGTCGCGCCAATCTATAAAACAAAAAAAAATTTAATTGAGAAAAAAACTGATTTTTTTAGATAATCCTTTGTACGTACCAACAGTATCTGGTAATGCAACATTTGAATTACGTGTAAATTCAGGACGACTTTCAGTACGTTCAGCACGCATTGTAACATTGTAACCATTCATCATTCGGACAAATTCACTGACGGTCTATTTTCAATAGGACATCAAATTTGTATAACTATGTCACAATTCATAAATACATGATAATCTTACCAAATCACCATATTTATTCATTCCAAGCCAATATGTATGAACACCAAGATCAGCTTCAAGATTATGATTATTCACTGTTTTCAAGTTAGCCTCCCATACGATTCGACTAAAAAATAGTTAATTTAAACAATAATTCATATATGAAATCTTTGGATGTAAATCTATATATTTCTTACCGAGTAAATTCTTCAATATCTGAATAACGTTTATTATTAGTTTCCTTCCATAATTTCCAGTGTTGGTTAAGTTTAACGTCGTACGCAAGTGCACAGCCAAAAGCAAGTGCAATAACAGCTACTATTGAGACCGATTGCATCCTATATCGACAAAGTAAAACAAAACAAAAATGCTATTATTAACTATCGAAACCTCGATTTGATTTTCATATCATGATTGACTTACCTTATTTTATGCTATAATTGAAGACAGCTGATTCTAACAGCCGTTTCTGGCTCATTTTTATATCCTAATTTTATCTTATTTCACAGGTGTTTCAATATTATTATCTCCCATTGTAGGATGCCTTGTCATTATAATCATTCATTGTCATAAATTTATCGATTTTTTTTTCTAGTATCACATATTAACCCAGCAAAAAAATTCGATGATTACGAAAGACCGTCATCAAAGTGAAGGCACATTTTCTTTTATTTGTACCCAAAAGAAAAGACGAAAAAAAGAAGAAGAGTCTAGAATGATTCTGTTACACACATAGAATTATCTCATGATTCAAGGACATTTTCGAATGAATATGCATTTGATGTTGATCCAGCTTGTCCTGCGCCATTCATAGATTCCAAAGGTGTTCGCTTGGATCCGCCGTCTAACATGCGTTCCATTTGTCGAATTGTATGTTCATTCTTAATCATTTTATCTTGTAGTTGATGGCGTTCATAGCCCAAATTCGTTAGAACAGAATCTTTTTCAATTAATAATTCTTTGATTCGTTGATTTTCACCTAGTGTATTAGCATGCATTTTGCGTAATTGTGTTAATTGATCTGTTAGACCCATCAAGGCATCTTGCATTTTCATAGCTTCTTCATTTTTCATGAATGCATCGACAGATTTCAATTTTTCAAGTTCAAGTGCTAAACGTTTTTGTTTTGTATTTACAGAAACAAGTTGTTTAGCAAGAAGATCATTTTCTTTACGATATCCATTCTAGAAATAAAGAAAAAACAAAATATAATTATATTTTATTTTTATCATCATTCAATATTATGTTTCATTGTCGTTTTTTTTTCTTTTAATACATACAACATATTCAAGTAACTGCTTATTTTCACTATTCAAATGATCACATTGTTTACTTTGACCATGTAATTGTTCCATAGCTGTTTTATTTTGTATCTGAAGTTCTTTTAATTTTTGCATCAATAATGCTAATTTATTTTTACTATCAGCATCTAATACATCACGTTCATTTTTAACTAATGTGAAACGTTCTTGTAGCATAGCAGCATTTGCTTCTGAACTGAAATCATATAAAATATAGATGAATAATATTCGTTCATACTTATTCTTTCTTACCGTCTTAAATCCACTTGTAAATTATTTGTTCGACCATTTAAAAAGTCAACTTTTTCATCGGCAGCTTTTTTTCCAGCAGCTAATTCATTTACCTTACCATTCAATCGTGCAGTTTCTTTTTCAAGTGAATCTCTCGCATAAACAGCTTTAGTTAATTCTTCTTTGAGTAATGTTGCATCTCGCATAGATTTTTCTAAATTTTGTTTAGCTATGTAATATTTTTCTTTTAATAGTTCAAGTTCATTTATTAATGCTTGATTTTGTCCTTTTAAATCTTCATTATTACGTGTTAATGTATCAATCATTAAACGCATTTCTCGATCTGCCGTTTTAAATCTAGAAAAAAATAAAACAGAACAAAAATAAAGAAGTATTTCCTACTTAATGATTTTTTTTTCTCTTAATTTTACCGCTCTTCCATACGACGATAGTCTTCAACAATTTTTCTTGTTGTTTCATATTCACGTGCTAAACGATCTAATTCGGTTTTTAATGTTTGATTATCTTGTTCAAGTCGTTGATATTTTGAACGAATTTCGCCCAGACGATTACGTGCCAAATACATTAATTTATCGTGTTTATCTTGTAATTTACCCAATTCAACACCTAGTGCACCATTTTCTTCGGTTAAACGTTCATTTTGAAACCACAGGTCATAATTTTCAGCTTTAAGTTGTACTGCTTTTGATATAGGTTGTTTACTCATTATATTGATTCCAGAATTTCGATTAATGACATCTTGACTTACTTTCGGATTTGTGACACGATATTCAAGATCAGAAAATGGATCTGTTCGTTCATCTGGATTGGAAGCCATGTAATAATGATAACCTAAATATGAAAAATAAATAGAAATAGAAATCGAACTTTATTTAAATCAAACGAGAAAAAATTATAAGTGGAATCACATACGTGGCTCCATTTGATTTTCATTTCACTCTTATTAAAATGAAACAGATTTGCACCTACTGATTTTTTCATGCAATAATGAAAACAGAAGGGATTCTCTGTCATTTATTAGAAGAAAAAAGCGTTTGAAATCAACTATGGAGTCTCTAATCATTCAATTCGGTTACCTATGCGTGTTCTTCTTTTCTCGTCGTTTGCCACCAACAAAAAAATTTATTTAAAAAGCAAATTTCTCGATTTTTTTTCTCTCTCTCTTTACTCTCTTTCTTGTATACGACAACTCTAGTGAAGTAAAGACAAAGAATGAATGGCTGCTTAGTTGCTGCAACATTCAAACAAATCTTAAAAAAATTGAAACGGCTTCGTTGACAAGAATAGAAGAAAAAAAATGAAAGGTTGTCGATGGTAGCCAAAAACAAAAAACAAAATAAGCTAACATTAAAATAATTTTTCTTCAAGTTAAGTGGTATATTTCATTATGTGACATCAACAGAGTCAATAATGAAACTTCAAATGTGAATTTATATATATTTATATATACATATATGATCAGACATTGAGGCCAAACAAGAAGACGAAATTTGAGACAAAAGACAACGATTTACAAGTGAATACGAAGAGATAGCCTCTTTAGCGAAGAAAATTTAAATAGTGGAACAAGAACAATCATAGAAGTATGCGTAAATGGTCGGTGAAAAATACAATTATAATTTGTGAGGTATATGTCAAAGGACACAGAAGCTCAAAAACAGTATATTTTGATAATGACACATATTGCCTTGAGAATAATGAAAGTCAAATTCTCATTTTCTTCATTTGATTACTAGCAGTAATATTCCGAATGGTACTTAATTCGTTTTCAAGTAATAATGAAGATAGTGAATTAGATTTTGATATTCATAGGTAAAAATAGGAATACTGCAGACTCTAATTTTTCATTCTTCGAAGAAAATCACAAGGTAAAAATTATTAATCAATTTTATAGTGTTAACAGTAGTTGTAAATTGACATTTTTTTAAGGAAGAGAAAATTTGTAATAGAAAGTAAATTTTTCTTTTGTTTTTGCAATTCTTCGATCGGAGAAAAATATGTCTATTAAAGAAGGTGTGAAATGTTTTTTTGCTATAATAAAATCATAGCCGATGAAATCGCCTTTACCTATAGTTATTGATGGAATTCACAGACTTTAACAACATTTATTCCCATTGATAGACAATCGATCATAGCCCGCCAGATGTGGATCAAATCATTTTTTATTATTAATAATGGCCTGAGAAATCTATCGGATATAATGATCAATAATTTTTTTTAAATAAATCAGAGGAAATGATGTTATGTTTTCGGGGCGATTAGCCTATTGTAATTAGAAAACTTCATTGAAAGTATTAAAATGTCTTTCGGCTGTATTCGAAAGTTTTTTTTATATCCCAACACCCACCTTCACATATGACATAATTCGTATTGGTATAGTATTATACGAAAGAGAAATGAAATTCATTCAGTACTTGCAAATGTAATCGATAGTATTTCTTGTTCTTGAATCTAAATTAATTTCATAGTTTTCAATGAGTTTCACTTTTTATTTAGATTTGAGTTTTTTTTAAACATTAATATATTTTGCAGCATCATGAACTTATCTCAAAACAATAGCATACACATAGAATCATCATAAACTATATGATAACTATAAACGATGGACTGAGTATTTCAAATCAGAAACATCTCTGTAAATTTCTTGTTGGAAGAGAATATAATATGGATAATGCTATTCTTTAATTCTTGATTAACATTCTTTGTATGATTCTGTAGCAGGATGATGCATTCAGAAGAAAACTATTGCGAAACGAAATAATTCGTTTTCGTTGTCAAATGAATATTAGTAGATATTCATCATTACTATGTCTCTATGATAAAAATAAAACATTATTATCGATCATTCTCGAGATAAATGCTTATTATATTTTATCGCGATAGACTTTTTTTTGCTTCACTTGTAACTATTGACTGAACGTACACTTGGATACAACATGAAGTCCCAATAGTTTACGATCAATCGTAGTCGTATATAAACCAACAAAACTTACACTAATTATTTCATACTATAGTAAGTTTTAATATAAAAACAAATGTATTAATTATAGTATTTTTCCAAATTGAAGAAAAACTTCTCATGATGATAATACATTTAGTACAAGAAAAAAGTACCAATCATGAATGTATGATTCAATGTGTGAATTATGTGTCTTCGAAAATTATGTAGACAAATACAATTACGAATTATTCCATGTCTATATGAAATATCTTTTATTTCATTGAACTATGTATAATCATTGATATCTTTTCGACTTCTTGTTAGCTTGCCTGATTCTTATCGAAATTTAATATTCATCGAAGCAATCCTACACATTTGGGAATAGTTTATGGAGAACTAGTGACGTTGAATATTTTTCCATATTAGATAGACCATTTATTTCGAGTGAGAATGACCCAATATACAATCAAAAGACATAGATTTTCATTTTCGGATTTCAAGTGTTCTTATCCTGTATTTATACTGATTATCGTAAGAGAAATTCAAGATCAACAAAACTTTGTATAGATTGTCAGAGTTGTTTTGACCAAGTTTCACATCGAGATGGCCGATATAATTTATCAAACAATTGAATTCTATTTGATTAAACAGTTCATATTACAGAATTGCACACGTCTTATTCATGGAGCACCTTCAAGTTCTACATCAATATTGAGGATGAACTCTACGGAGATGATTATTGACTAATAAAACAATAAAAATTTTAGTTTTATTGCGTTTTTCATATGCCAAGATTGATGTGGCTTTATGATTGTACACATGTAAAATTAGAGAAACAATTGAATTTTAGCAACATTACTGATATTCAGATTTAATATTTATTAATAACATCAAATAAATGTTTAAAGAATGAGTATCAAAAATAGATCATTATTATAGTACGACTTTTTTCACGGGTTCATTCATATTTCGATCCAAAAAGGAATACATAAAAATGACGTGCAATAAGTTTAGCTCTTCCATCAAATGACTCTTATGTATTTCATTTATTTACAATGTAGCGTCTGTACCTAGTTTACTTAGTAAACTAGAAAGCATAAAATTGTCAATGTTGTTTTTATTAATATTACCATATTTAGTAAGAGGCACATTTGCCGATTATAATGCACCTGTCTCTTTTATTCAATGCACTTTTGATAGTCTTCAGAAGAAAACAATCCAGTAAAAACATGCACAAAACAAAAAACAAATCAAAACCAAATTTATGAACTATTGCAATCTGCTTGTTCATTTTGATTAGTAGGCTTCTCGTTCTTATTCTGAGAACCTTGATTATCGCATACGTTAATAAATTGTTTCGTTGAAAATATTTCATCAAGTTCTACTGATAATGGTACAAATGGTATTAATTCAATAGCGTTATCATTTATATCAGGTATGCTTCGTAAACTATCTGATAAATCCAAAAGATCTTTATCAGTAATATGTTTAGCTGATAGTTTCTTTTGAGCTGTTTGAATGAATAAAACAAAATCTTCAAATTTTTCACTATTATCAAAATCGACTTCTTTCCAAAAGGCTTTATCACTTGAATTTTTTCGTTCATTTAATACTTGTAAAGCTTGATCACGTTGTTGTTCAATTTGATTTTTAAAACGTTCAGCATAATTTTGAATTTGTTGTCGGATATCATCGTATTCTTCAAATATTTTATTCATTTCCAATCGTTTTTTATTGATTAAATTAATACGTGTTTCAAATAAATCTAATTGTAATTTACTTTCACGATGAACATCCAATAGATGTTCTCGTCGACATGTTTCACAAAGCATGAAATGACAATGTTTACATATTTTTAACATTTTCAATAGACCACATGTATGACAACGTGCTTGATGCATTGCATTCGATTGAGTTTGCTGTCCTTGACCAAGATTCAATTTTGATGTATCTAATGCTTCACAAAGTTGTTTAAGTACAGGATTAATAATTAGCATTGCACCCAAATGTTCATATGAATGAAAATTAAGTTGATATTTACAATAGGGACAAAGAATGAAATAATTCGGTACTGTTGTATTTTTATCGTTATTACGAGCATAATCAAGTAGACATGGACGACAAAATGAATGTGCACAAGGCAGACAACACGGAGATGTCATACGAGAAAGACATATGCCACACATCAGAAGTTGATTGAAGAAATCATCTTTTATACTAGGCGATGATGATACAGATTCGGATATATTTTCTGTAGAATCTATTGATGAATATTTAGAAGCCATGAGAGTTTGATCTGAAAAAAATGAATATCGAGAAGAGCTAGAGGTAGCTATTTAGTTACAAACTGTTTTTCAAGTTTGTTTCAATAATCATTTGATGTTTTGTTCAAAAATAATTTCATCAGCAAAGGTTTATGTTGACAATGATTATGCATAAGTGATATTAGATATCTCATTTTACTATTATAGTAATACTTCTTTCGATTTAGTATATTAACACACGAAGCGCGGATAAAATTGTTTGTTTTTTGTCCAGTTATTCAGTGTGTTTTTATACAGATATCTGTTTTGTTGAATACAAACGATTATCATAGTAGATTTATCTGTTCGTTAAATATTAGCACTTTTAAAACAATTAGTTAATGATCATGATTATTCTCTCAGAAATAATTTTTTTTTAGCTTCTTACTGTCATTTATATCAAAATTCTTGTAGAATATATTGTATCATATAAGGGCCTCTCCGCGAGTGATTGCCCACAGAAGTAATGCTTCAATTTATAATCATTTATATGGATGTAAATATATGAAATCGTTTAATTGTTAATATTTATCTGATCAGAAATGATCCTGAAATTTCCTAATAAGAAGTTGTTCGTTTGCTACTATTGAACTAATGTACGCTGTAAAAATATTAGTAGCATTGAATAGGACAATTTTTGACTTTTGGTTAGTGGATGTAGGATTCTAAGCATTTTTCATTGTAATGCTGGACTGCAATTTAACTTGAAATTCAATCGAAGTAATTTATATCTTTTTTAGTGATTTTTAACAAATGAATGACGAATTCTTCATTCTGTTAATTTTTAACACTTTACTCACGACTTTCCGATAGGTTTAAAACATGATATTATATTCGAATAAACTTTAGTCACAAGAACATGAAAGAAAAAAACCTTCCTCTTCAAATAAGTTCTTTTCAAGGAACCAAAAAACATCTTTCGAATCAATTTTATCTAAATTTTGAAAAGTCTCTTTTTCTTTCTGATCTACAATAGTCAATGACAAACATGAAATAAGAATATATCGATATCAAAAAAGCCTTTTTTGTTGTTGATTATCGTCGTCATCATCATCATGATTTATAACAGCATAACATACGATAGTGAAGACAATAGTAATATGATGATGTCGATGAAGAGCAATGTCTATTCTTCTACTATGTTATTGAATGTTGTTGCTGCTGTTGTCTTTGCTTTCTATCACATCAGTACAAAGAAAATGATACGTATTCTATTTATATATAGATTCGGAAATCAATCCGTTCATTTTATAGGACAAAAGAGAAACTTGGCAAATAAAGTGCTGCATGATATTAGTGTCAAAAATTCTATTCTTTTACGCCGACAAACAAAAAAAAACACTAGAGATATAAGGAACAAGAGAGCAAAATCGCAAAATGAATGTAAATTTTTTTCTAAAATAGCTAATGTGCGAGCTTTAGATGAGCTATCGCACTCACTGTGCTTATTTTCGACTTATTGGATGATCTTCACCTTTCATTAACTTGTACATTAATTGACCCATTTTAGCTGGAGAATCACTAACGTTAACTTTTGCATCTTTCAATGCTTCAATTTTACTTTCAGCACCACCTGATTTACCACTGATAATGGCACCAGCATGGCCCATACGACGACCTGGTGGAGCTGTTTGTCCAGCAATAAAAGCAACAACAGGTTTGGCGTTTGCACCAGTATTCGTTTGTTTAAGATATTCAGCAGCAGCTTCTTCAGCATTACCTCCAATTTCACCAATAAGAATAATACCGGTTGTTGCTGGATCTTTTAAGAATAAATCAAGACAATCGATGAAGTCGGTACCATTAAATGGATCACCACCAATACCAACACATAATGATTGACCAAGACCAACTTGACTTGTTTGATGTACAGCTTCATACGTCAATGTACCACTACGTGAGACAATACCGATTGGACCAGGTCGATGTATATGACCTGGCATAATTCCAATTTTGGATTGTCCAGGAGCTTAAAATTGAAATTACGATCAAAAATTTATTTTCAATAATTGTATGACACTTACCAATGACACCTGGGCAATTGGGTCCAACAAGACGAGATTTGTTTTGTCGTACAAGTTGATGTTTAACTTTAACCATATCGTGTTGTGGAATACCTTCTGTAATGCATACGATTAAACCAATGCCAGCATCAATTGCTTCGAGAATAGCTTCAGCAGCACCTGGAGGTGGAACATAAATAACTGTAGCAGTTGCACCAGTCTCTTTCATGGCCTCATGCACATTTTTAAAAACGGGTAAACCTAAATGTTTAGTGCCAGCTTTTTTTGGACTAACACCGCCCACTAATTTTGTTCCATATTCGAGTGCTTGTTGTGAATGAAATGTACCCTGTTTACCAGTAAAACCTTGGCAAATTACACGTGTTTCACGGTTGATATATAAATTTTTTCGTGTTGAGTCATAAATTGATTTATCATAAGTTGTTTGATTATTCTGTTGTTGACTTGAACTAAGTATAGCACTTGTTTGAATGAAACGACATGACGGTGTCGAAATTAATGAAGCGAAAATACGCTTTGATAACATGGCAACAATAGAATATCGATCTAAAATTATACAAAAATATGCTAAGTTAAATTATTGTATCCCACAAAGAAAACAAATATTTCAATTTATATAATGTAATTTCATTTATATTTTTCTTTCGTTCTAGTGAAGTTCCACACTAAGATTTTTTATCTGTTACTAGAACTTCGCTCATCAAATGATCGATTGATTTTTTATCATTTTTTGATTAAAATCATTTTTTTCAATAGATGTAACAAGTCATCTATCAATTTTTAATTGACTTATCCACAAGTACTTATATATGGTCAATATGAATAGCTTTAGCATGTGGGCTAACTAAATAAACTATATATGCCATTAAACATTCTGAACCTAAACTAATATCAAAACATTTTACTCCTTAATAATTCAATACAAGCTCTATGCAAGGGTCAATGCCTAGTTGAAATTTATCTCTAAGAAATTCTAATTCAAGGCCATGCATAGATGTCGTACACTAAACAATAGTAACAGTCATAATATGTAACAATAGAAAAACTCTATCTAATCGTTACCTATAGGTTAAAATGACAAAGAAAACTCAATTCTAATTTGTGTGACATACAAATATACTTACAGTATCGCCGACTAGATAAAAATCAAAAGGAGGTCAATTTAAAAAGATCTACAATATATAAATAAATTTATATATATTTGATCGCAGCCGGTCAAGGTAAACATCTAATTTTAGATCTGTAAAAAGCAACTGTTAACATAGCATCTTTTGATAATACTATTTCTGTATCAATTTTCGCTTAATCTTTTATGAGTTCACTTTGATGGACCATCGATTTTATATTCATGGACTGTTATTGATGATGTTGAACACTAAACGATAATAAAAATAGAGATCACAATTCGAAAAAAAAATGTATGAGAAAATATTTATCATAATTTTTCTAGAAGAATCAAAATATTAACGATTCAAGTCATTAAAATATAGTGAATCAAAATATTTTAGCAGAAGATTCATTTGTACTATAAATCTATAAGAATAGTTTTTTAGAAAATTTGCAAGACTCTTTAGATTTATTGAATTTTCAATTTCATAGGATTCATTTTAATTATTTGCAACTAGTTTACAATCAAATGAAAGAAAATTTTTTTCTATTTACAACGAAATGTTTATTTAGATATAATGTAAAAAAGAAAGCTTTCACCACAAAAATACCAATAACTCTGGATTACTACAGTTAACATGAACTAGATTCAGTCATATTTCAGAAATCTATGTTAATTGTTTTCTTTTAATGAGATCTATACTCTAATGGTGTTTCGACTATAGAAATTCCTTGACGGTCCAATTTTCAAATATCATCTTAGTTACCACGAGTTAACAGCAATAGTTTATATACATGTTGATGTTACAGTGAGTAATGACGTGTTATTTTCCGTGTACGATCTGATAATATGAAATATTTTATCAAACATGGTATTAATTCTGTAACATAAATATTTACTCGAATATATCTATCAATGAAATGAAAATCATCCAACTCGAACGATTGATTTTTCATCAGTATTTTCTATTTACTATTTTAAAAAGAAAATACAAATTCTTTACCGATGTTTTTCATTTACTATTTCGATCAAACACATTTAGTTTAACAATTTTCTTCTTTGCCACTCTTGGTTATTTGTTTTTGTTATTTTATCCTCTTCGTTAAAATGAACCATTCAGAACGAAGTAAATATTCTAGTACCATCTATCGATTGATATTTTTTTTCTCGCTTCATGATTTACGTCTCGTACGTATCCAGCGAACATAAACGTAGTATAAACAACTAACTATATTTTTAACGTTGAAATACGATAGTTTATGTTTATTATACTGAATTATTCTATTTCAGATTATATTTTCTCATAGAAAACAAAATTAACAACAATGACACGAATTAAATGTTCCCAACTTCGTGGTAAAAAACCAGGTAAAAATATTTATCTTATAAATATGAACAAGAAACAAAATTTAATTCTTTTTCAGATGAAGTTCAAAAACAATTAAGTGATTTACGTCAAGAACTAAATACATTACGTGTTGGAAAAGTCACAGGTAGTGGTGGCGCACAGAAATTAGGCAAAATTCGTAATGTACGTAAATCAATTGCACGCGTACTCATCGTTCGAAATCAAACAACAAAAGACAATTTGAGAAAATTATATCATGGAAAAAAATATAAACCAAAAGATTTGCGTAAACGTAAAACACGTGCTATCCGACGTTTATTTACACCAAAAGAAAATTCTGTTCAATTAAGAAAAGTTCAGCGACGACAATGGGCTTTTCCACAACGTATATATGCTGTTAAAGCTTAAACAAGAAGCTCTAAAAAATAACGTGAACTTTTTCTTGTTGTTTTTTTTGTTTTGTTTTTATATTCGTGATGAAAGAACTAGAGAACGAATAAAATAAGAAGAAGATAAACAGGAACATTTGTGTAGTTTTAGATATGCCAAAAAAAAAGCAAGTTACTTTACAGAATAGTATTCAAGGAAAATTTATCCCAAGAAATGTTCCACCACCAGGATCAGGTTTGCAGAAATTTGTCAATCATCGCATATTTGTTTTTTCTGACTTCTCTTTTTTATTCTTAACAACATAGTTTTTCCTTCGAGAGCTAATGATAATCGATTTAATGCAAAAATGGCTGAATTACTTGCATCTTCGTCAACAATGAGTGATGAAAACGAAGTTGTCTCAAATAGATCTTCTCAAGATGATCGAATCTCAAATGAAATCCAATCAGTTGAGTCACCACGTACTCATTCTAAACTATTTCATAGACGTATAGCTACTATGCTTGAAACAATTAGAAAATCTAATGATGATTCTTCGAAAGTACGAATAACATCCTCGCATACTGAATATAAATCGCAATCAATTACATTTGGTCAATTACGACAAGCAACAATATCGTCTGTACCTGAACAAGTGCTAGAAGATAAATCAAGTTCTTATCAAATAAAAAAAGATAATGAAGAAAAATATGATAAAACATTAATATCGTTTGTAAAACAAAATAATGCAAATTCAAATGCAACAACATCAAAAGGTTCTACAAAACATCAAACACATAGAGAACGATTATATTATTCATCATCGCTTGAACAACTACTTGAACAACAGAATGTTACTGGAGAAATGAAAACCGATGAGAAAGAAATAGAAAAACCATCATTAACTGTTGATGAAATTCTTGCTCTGCATTATTCGAAAGTCAAATTATCAAGAAATACAGAAACTGATTCGCCATCTTCTGTTTATCCTAATAAAACTGTTGCAAGTTTTTACATGAGTTCTTCTGTGCCAAAATGGAATTCTTTCCAAACTAATCAAGATAATCCTTCTCCACAATTGATGTTAAATGAGCAAAACAGAACACGACCACCCCCACCTTCCTATTCATCCAGTATAACTTATGGTCATCGAACAACTTCATTAGGTATGTGAACCATTTTGTGCATATGAACTAATATCTTTCATTAGTACAATTCATTCTATAAGATGACTACAATTTATCATCAATAATTAAAATCTGTATATTTTGAAAAATACAGCAGTGGATTTGAATTCTAATCTGTATTATTTTAGTCCCAAGTAGAAATGTGAAGGGTAACCGTTTTTGTTGTTGTATTCTCTATTCTGACTGTGGAGGATTATCTAGCACTTACTCTACCCTAGAGTGTACAATGGTTCCTCCTTGTCTGTATCCTGTAGTGTGAATGAATCCGAAACATTTCTAATTTGAAAAAAAGACTTTCAACGAATAAAACTATCTCTTCTAATAAAAAAATAATAAGTTTTTTCTTTCATTTAATTAGTAACTAATCCAGTTCAACATCATATTCATCCATCTGTTCCGTCATCCAAGGTTGAAAATGTTTATTCTGGAACATCAACATCTCCACATCTATTAACAGGGAATTCATCTTTCGTGCTTTCAAATTCTACTTCTTCGTTCACTTCAACTATGAATAATTCAATAAGTAATAATTTTATTCGACCACCACCTCCACGTTATCAATCACCAACGCCAAATGCAGAATCTTCACAATTAGCATCTAGTCAACAACCAAATATTGTCAATAGTGTGGATGATGATAATAATAATAATAATACTAAACCGTCAATAGGCTTTGATCATGAATTTTCACGTTTACTTTATGGTAAAGATGCTGAAAAAAATCGACGTCAAAAACAAAAACGTAAAGCTTTCAGTGAGCCTGTCAAGTAGGAAAAGATACAGTGCGCATAATTTTGAATGAGAAAATTCTTTTTAATTAGAAAATGTGTTGAAGAAGCTAATCGATCTAATGAGCAAACTCGTCGTCGAGTAACGTCTTATTTAAATAAATCTAATACAGTTAAAGAAGAGGAAGACGAAGACGACGAAGAAGAAGAAAATGATTATGGAATAGAAACTACGAAATTGAATAATCAGAAACAAGAATTAAATTTTCCTCTACGAAGAAGATCTCAGCGACAGTCTAAGTAAATAGAATACAAATCATTGTTTTAATGTTTTCTTCAATGTATTTTATTGATTTTTCTATCTGCCTAGTTTCATCAGAAGAAATCGTGAATCAGCCAAAGCAGCTCTTGTGCCAGCAAATCCGTCATTAAAGCAACGAGTTCCATCATTTTTACGTGTTTATTCTCAAGCATCATCATCCAACGATATTCTTCTTCAATGGGAGTTGTTTAATTTTTCTGAACTTGACACATTTTATACGATGATGAGTAGATTATATAAAAATGAAAATTTAGCTCGAGTACAACTTTATGAAATTTATCGAACAGCGTTACTTTCAGTGCTTGCATCAAAGAAATCTCTAAGCAGTGATAATCAAACTATTGCTATCACGACAGCTTTGTAAATTATATCTTTTATTTTAATTTTATTTAGTACGCTAAAATTTTTTCTCAGTTTTGCTTTTTCTGTGAAACTTATTTTTATTTTTAGATATAAAAACAAAATGAATCTTGTTGAGAAACTTTTAAGTGAAAACTCTCATGTTCATATTCGTGATGATAAACGTGCTGCTGTAGAGCAAACAGTTCGTTCATTAATTAGTGAAGGACGACAAATGTTACACGTGGTGGCAGATTTTGACTTTACATTAACGATGTACGAAAAAAACGGAGTCATTTTACCATCAACCTTCGGCGTTATTGAATCGAATGATCAAATATCAGTAAGAATTTAGTTGTATAGAATTTGTTTACTTGCATTTCATTTGTACTTAAGACGACACTCATATTATATCGATTTCTTAACTAACAAATGCTTGAGAACTTTGAAACATCTTAATAGATCTGATCAAAAACTTCGATGTTTTTTTTTCTCTTTGAGAAAAGCCATTTTCATAAGAAAGAATTATAAAAATGACGGATGAGAAAAATATAAGCGATTTAAACGACATTGTTTATGAATTTAATGCACTTTAAAGAACTGTAACTTGAACAGATAGATATTCACAGTTATTTTATTGAAATCTAGCCAAGAATTGATAATAAAAATATTAGTTTTTAGCTACCCGATGGTTCATTACTTTCTCAAAAAGCTGAAGAATTACGATTAAAATATCATCCAATTGAAATAGACGTTCACATGGATATATCAGAAAAACTGCCGTACATGATTGAATGGTGGCGTTCAGCACAAAGTCTATTTGTTTTATCAAATCTGACTAAATCGGTAATGCGTAAACTTGTTCATGAATCAAGCATGGAATTGAAGGCAGGTGTTCAAGAATTTATGATTGATTTATTGCGTAGTGAAACACCTATTCTAATATTTTCAGCTGGTTTAGGTAAAAATATTATTTCATTTGTATTTATTTTCATTTGAAATTTTTAGGTGATATTATTGAAATTTTTCTTGAAAAAGAAATTCCTGAATTTAGACACAATCATGAATCATCACATATTGTTTCAAATTTTATTCAATATGATAATGATGGAAAATTGAAAGGATTTAGTGAAAGATTAATTCATTCATTTAATAAAAACGAGCATGAAATTCATGATACGTCTTATTTTCAAACAATTCTCACCCGGCCCAATGTTATTCTTTTAGGTGATACACTTGGCGATGTTGGAATGATTGGCGGAATGAAAAATTTAAAACAAATACTTAGAATTGGCTATTTAAATCAGAGTACACCAGCAAAATTAGAAGTTTATAAAAATGTTTATGATATAGTCATATGTGATAATCAAACCTTTGATGTTCCTAATGTCATATTAAAAGCAATTGAAAAATGATTTTCTGACGTGTTTGTTTTTCTATAAAAGGATTCTTTTCCACTCGTCATGAATCTCTTACTTATTTGTTGCATGACATTTTACATGGTTTATGCAATAAGTATTTCTTTTTATTGCAGATAAATGGCTTCGAAAAAAATAAAGAAAGAAGTTTTCATAGACGACGACGAGGAAATCATCATCGTGAAAAAAATTAAACCATCACTATTGAGAAAAGTGTAAGAAAATCCTTCTGCATGTACGAGTTATTTTATTATTTCTTGCTTTTTAGCTTAAAACGATTGCTTTTTGGTATTAGTTTTGTATTGGTTGGATTAATTGCATTAACTCCATTTTTACTTCAATTGCATGGTGACTTTATTTTAACGAAAATGTTTTTTCAAACTTGGTGTAAAAATGTTTTTCTTTTATTTATTTTTATACTGAGTTTGTTTTTGTTTAGCTCGTTATTATCCATGGATCGATTTAACTAAATTAGATTCATTTAGTTTAAATGGAATTAATGTTTATGAACAAATAGAGCCTGATGTTAAAATTGGAATTTGGTAAGTTTATATTGTTTATAACAGAAAGAAAGTCTATGTAGATTAGAAATTAAAGAGATCAACTATATTTAGTTTTGGTGGTAATTGGCATGATCTTGCTCATATCTAGTTTAGAAATGTAAATATGCAAAATATTTAGTGAGATTTTATCGAGCAGATCTGAAAAATTTGAAAAGTAGAAATAACAAATAGAAAACCAAAATTAAGATATTTAATGTAGATACTCATAAATGTAGATAGAAACTCACTCTGTCATTTGTAGTACCACAAATAAAAAGTTTACTGAGGAATACTAAGATTTCCATAAACGTTTTCAAAAATTCAATTCAAGTTTTTTTTATTTGAAACTATTAATGTGCAGGATTTAGAATCAAAAGAAAAATTAATATTTATAACGAAATGCAATTTATCCGGAGAAAATAATATGGAATCGTACGGATCAAACGTTTGTATTCCTCATGCTTACACATATGTCATATATATATATATACAGAAGAAATATTAGTGAAATCGCTACGAATGAGAGTAACATAATCACTCTTCGATATTGTTAGAACAGTGAGAAAAATCCCACAGAACTTCAATTCTTTTATAAGAAAAAACAATTTCAGAAAATGTATCAATTGCAGTTGATTGACAGGCTGAGGGTGTTTTAGAAATGGTTTTCAAAAGTTACATCAGTTAAGTATTCATAGAGCACCAGATAGACGTCTAATATGAAGATCTTAACTCGATGATAGACGTCATGTTCATATTACAATAAAAACTATCTAATGAAGCCACCACCGAGAGTGCTCACTTTATTGAGATCATCATCATCATTAGCGAGTTTACAGCTTCTCTTTTTTTATTAATCTTCTTTCTAAAAATTAATTTATTCAACGTTTTTTTTATGTATATCAAAGATAGCCCAAGTCTTTTTGACATGGTCTGATGGTGTTTTTCATTCGCATAATAACGACGATATATAACACTGAGTATTGTAGTTGCTATTAAACAATGCTTTTTTTCTTTTACACATATACGATTTATTCATGATCCTTTCTTATGTGTGCCGCGATTGTTAATCATTACACACTATGCACAGATGGACACATGAAGAAAGATTTTAATCTATATTAACTAGCACTTATTTTATAGAACTAATTTTACTAAATTAATATTTGTGTTTTTTCTTCTAAAAATATTTGTTTTGCTTTTCAGGTATGTACTACCGTCAGCAATTGAAACTAGTCATGATTTACCAACTCTTGATGATTATTTAAAACAATATGTAAAATCTGATGATCAACCAATAATTATGTATCTGCATGGACAAGATGGAACCAGGTAAATTATAATGAAAAGAATATGATAGGAGCTATAAAAAAAAACATTTTAGAGCAACACATTATCGAGCAAATCATTATCGAATGATGACTAACTTTGGTAATCATATAGTTGTACTTGATTATCGTGGTTATGGTGATTCAACTGGTATGCCAAGTGTGAAGGGTGTTGTTGATGATGTATTACATGTATTCAAAGTAATTCGCAAAGCTTGTCCAAACAATCCAGTAACAATATGGGGACATTCAATGGGTACTGGTGTGGCATCATGGACGATGCATTATCTATTTCAAAATCATACTGGTATAAAGATATAACTTTATTTGTATTTATATGCTTCTTTTCTGTTAATAAATGTTCTAGATTTTAAAAAACCGTCAGGTCTTGTACTTGAAGCACCATTTTATAATACGTTACAAGCATTTGTTTCATATCCGCTGACACGAGTATGCTTTTTTTTTCAATATATGTTTACGTTTCGAATCATAGTTTTCTTTTTATAGATATTGAATATTAATCCATATTTCATGCAAGCAGCACTTGATTCTCTTGCAACAGTAAAACTCGATTTTCCAAATAATGAAATGTAAGAATTTAAAATTTTGGAAAATAAAATATTAATTCATTTATTTTAGAATTTCATCTCTTCCATTACCCATTGTTGTAATACATGCAGAAGATGATACTGTCATTCCTTATTTCCATTTAGAATTAGTAAGTTACTAATAATCTTGAAAACTATTTATCTATGTTTTATTGTCAGCTTCAAGACTATGTCAAACAGCATCGTGATCAGAATTTCCCTCCAGTACGTTTTGTGACAGTTCCACGTTCAGCCGGTTGTGGTCATAATCATATATATTCGTATCCAAAGTTTGAAGAAATTGTCAGGTAAAATTCAATTGATCTAATCTTCTGTTTTTGATGGATTTTTCTTGTCTTAGTGATTTTGCATTCCTCAAGCAAACACCTCCAGCTTAAATCAAATTCTCCCGTGATCAAAAATTTGCAAAAATGTTTTCCGAGTGATATATCAGTCATTTGATTATCTATTTTATTTTATTTTATTGTATAATGAATAATTTTTTTATGTTTTGTGTAATTTTTACAGTGATAATTAATTATATTTTTTTTCAGATAGAAATAAGTTTTAATACATTTTAAAATAAAGAAAAACAACTTTGATAGAAAGTAACTGTTGAAGTGAATTTATCAAAAACTAAAAGTTGTGTAGGAAACTGAAGATTATTCTAAATTAGTTATGATATTATATGTTAAAATAGTTCAATAAGGGTTATCCTAGACATTTTATTAGAGTTTTTTCTACTCATCTTACTATTGATCGATATTACAAATATTCCTCTTACGTATCGATGTGTTGCAAAACATATTGCTTTTATGAATTTAACGAAGTTAATTGCTTTTATAAACCACTGCAAACGGATAAAAACAAATATCAGGTCAATATATTTTTGATCTGATTCTACAATAATAAGCAGTCGACTCATACTGAAATAATGTTTTAAGGACCTTACGAAGTTCTCGATCGGATGCATACCATACCGACATTTTCTTTTGTACAGACTTGGGGAAGAATGTTTTTCTTTTAAAATTCGAATAGATCTTTCTCAGATTCGAGAAGACTTAATCAAAGTTACTTTGTCAAATCTTCACCTAAAAAAAAGTTCAAAATCTTGAGTAAACTAATGAATGAGCGTATAGTCTACGTGCTTAATCTTACAACGAATAAGAGCGCATTTTTTGTCATTGTTATGCTGCTTAGAGCTATTTTAGTAATGATAATGAGAAATTGAGGAGTCCGTTCTTTTACTCAGGATATGGTGAAATTCAAGCAGATATTCTTAAATGTTAATTTTTTATCACGAATATCTGTGAGCCAAATATGATTGCATTTGATTTTTCAAAATCTTCTCGTTGGCAGTTCATCCATAAAATTTCCTTGTGAAACTTATTTGATACAGGATATACTTAGTTATGTATTTGAATGTTGAACCAGAAGTATCTTTTAGAACATGTTTGTCTATGACAATATGACAGATATTTGTAATCAAAATTGATGTTTTTTTTAGGAGTTCGCGTTCTACTTTATATAAAGATGAGTTCTTTCATAATCATGCGGATTATTTTCAGAAATCTCTCTCTTAAACATCATTGAATATTTCTATAATGATTTATTTTCATGACTAAAATAATGCAATCAAATAAAATATAGACTTAGTTAAAGATGGTCAATTTCTTTCTAAATGATTGCAAACACTATAACTTATGATCAATAAAAACTTCATAGTTAGGTTCATTTACTAAGTGCACCTGGTGGCTCTCAATTAACGACACGATTATTCGTTGGTAAAAATATAAAATTTCTTTTGAGTGCGCTCTAATATTTATTTTTGTTAGATACAACTCTTGCCGGTATTTAAATGGAAGCTCCATTTTCTAGTACTGATGAAGTTCTATCAACAAATCGATTTTTACTTTGAATTGAAATTTGATTTTTCTTTTTGAATTTCTTATCCAACCTTTTTTCGTTAGCAACCATGCTATCATTATTTGACTGAAAATACATTGCATAAAACAAAAATTTTGTTTGATACACTACTTGTTTTAAAAATATTAATTATCCTAAGTATATTAATGAATGTGAACGATGATTTAATAAGGCCATATTTCATTTCAAAATTGATATGATTCCATATCATCATTAGTTCAGGTCTCTCACAGAAAGAGTTGTTACTAGGATATAGTTCTTTTGAGATGAAAAACTGGTCACCAGTGCTAGTTCTTCGTTCATGATCTATCGCAAGTCTACCCATTGTAGTCGACATGAATATATGAGATTGCATTACATTTCTCTGAAGCATGTTATTTTTCAATAAGATCTGTAAAAATCAAACTTTGTCTTTTAACATTGATCAAAATTGATACTCAAAGTTCTCTTTTTTTTTTTGTGTATTAAAAATGTCTATGCATATAAAGTTACGTCATAGGACTCGTTTTTATCTCATCGGTAAAGTGAGATATGAATTGTGTTTTCTATAAATAAAATTGATCAGTTGTTTTTTTTTGTGTTAAAAGTTATATTTTTAATGCATTATAAATAAGCTTTGAACTTAGACCATAGTTATCAACGTTTACTAAAAAGAAATTTGTCATAGGAGTTATGGTGTTATTTTTTTGTTGCATGCACTACAGGTTAGTATTCAGTGAAAGAAAAGCAAATTTCATAAAAAAAATAAACTTGTTTGATAAGGTGGAGGCTAGTAATATTACTTCTGAGTGAAGCAAACGAACAAAAGATAAAATACACGCGTATTTACAGAATATATATATATATATATTCAACGTTTAAGTGTTAACATCAACACTCATATGCCGTTGCATCCCATGTTTCTTGAACCTGAAATTCATTCAACTATTTTTTTATGTATTAATTTGATTGGTTCTATAATTGTTCGTCTTCTTCTTCATGCATGGCCATTAACAATATTTTGGTCATGTTTTTATATTATACTTGTCGGTCTAATAAATCATAGTTTAGCTGCCGGTCGTTATTACTTGCCAACCAGGAACCTTCACAATCAAATTGTTATTGTCACTGGTGCAGCTACAGGTATCGGTCGTGCTTGTGCTCTTCGATTTGCAAAACTCGGTACTTGTGTTATTATTGGCGTTCGAGGTCAAGAGCGCGCAGAACGAGTAGCTAAAGAATTATCTGATGAGTCATATGGTGGAACTGTAATTGGATATGATCTTGATTTATCAAGTTTAACGAATGTGAAAAACTTTGCCGAAAAAATTGAACGTGTTGATATCTTACTGAACAATGCTAGTACTGTACCAGCAACGTACTCGTTAACAGCTGATGGAATCGAAAAACAGTTCGGTACAAATCATAGTTAGTGAAGCGTTTCTGTTATTTTTTTGCATAGAAATTTATTTTTCTCCTTTTAGTTGGTCATTTTTATTTGACTCAACTTTTATTATCACGATTGACTAATGGTCGCATTATAAATGTTAGTAGTTTAGTTCATCATATGGTTCCATCAACAGGAATCGATTATACCTTTTCAAAATTGAAAAACAAATACAGTGCTTCAGCGGCGTATGCATCATCAAAATTAGCACAAATCTATCATGCAAGTGAATTAACACGTCGTTATGGTGTTAAAGCTTATTCTTTGCATCCCGGTACAATTATGAGCACAAATATTAATCACAATAGATCTCTCATAAAACGAATTCTATTTCAATTACTTTCTGTAATTGGCAAAACAGTAGAACAAGGTTCGATGACATGTCTTTTCTGTGCATTATCAAATGATGCTGTACCTGGACATTTTCATTCGGATTGTCAAGTGAGAAAGCCAAGTCAATTAGCATTAGATAAGCATCGAGCTGCCGAATGTTGGAATGAAAGTGAAAAGTTAATTAATGAAAAATTAAAATAACTGGATACATTATCAAGTTTTTTCCCTTCATAATTATTGAATTTTTGGCTCAATTTGAAACGAAATGAACTTGGGTTTAGCTATTTTAAATAAAATAATTACAACTGAACAAACGAATCAAATATTCTTATTAGTCAACGAAACCATCATACAAACATACTGATAATAGATTTTAGTTATTTGAGCATTGTATGTTTTTTTAGAGAATACATCACGTCTTGATTGCATCCACATTTAAGCCTATTATTTTTCCGATTAGCATTAGCAAATGAGAAATGTTTCAGGTTTTCTTCATTGATCATTATACAATAGTTTTACTCCGTTTTAGATGACCATGCAAAACATGATAAGGTGGCTATGCTTATTGTTCCGTTCAATAATCTGATATGTGTCACACAGAAGAGTTCTATATTGTAGATGTAAGCCTTCTCGATAGTCCAAATCGTACTCATACCCATACTTGGATCATCGTTTAGCTAGTATTTGTTTATATATACTTGCATAAACTATGAGTAATCGAGCGAATATTATCAGTAGTTCATGAATAGATAATAGTCACATTTCGGTTACTCATTTGCAAAATTTGTCCCAATTGTTATCCTTGAAGTATGAGATCGAGAACGTGCAAAACAATTATTACAATAACTACGTAGTAAAACAATAACTGAACATTAGTTTGATTTATCAATAATCGTAAATATGAAAAATCTTGTCAGAAAATTAATCACATTGATATCTCAGTCAATAATGCCTTCACTATATGTGGATCAGAAAATAAAATAATTCGTGGAAAAAAGTAGTCGTTTCAAGCAAAATTAGAGCAATCTTCATGAAATTAGATTGCATCTATAAAACGATACCCATTCCGCACTGAAAAATAGTGACTCCTATATGAAAAACCCATTTACCCAACAGCTTGTGTGTTAAACATTTTGATTTCCATCTCAACATTTATACCGTAGTCTCTCACTGAAAACATAATGACACAATGCATATTGAGAGCAAATATCGCGGAATGTATGTCGTGATTATTTTTCTGAATCGATGATTGTAGTTGGAGACGTTAAGGTGGCGACAAAATTATAGCTCTAGCACGTAGTACGGAATGATTGTATTCGTATCAACGGATAAAATAATCTAATTTTTTTAGAAATGTTCAAAAATACTTATTCTCCGCTGTTTCTTTGTTGTTACAGGTTGTCGAGTGAGCTGGAGTTAAACATTATTTGGAGGGAAAGTTATGTGTTACAGCATTGAGCACTTTATGGAGAAAGAAATCAGAAGGTGCAGTTAGAAAGAACAATATTATACGATTATTAACTTAAATTTTCTAAAGTCATGAACTTTGCAACTTAATCTCAACCTATCCAGAAAACACTATAAAATAAAATCTGGCAGGTCATTAGCAAAAAATAGCCATGTAAAAAGATACAGAGTTATACACAGATACTACTATATTCTATATTGCAAGAAAAAAAACAATCGAAAATGAAATCATAACAGAAACTTAATCTTGATGAATATTAAAAACCTTTGCCAGTTCTTGAAAATCAGTAATTACTTGTTGATCTTTGATAATCTATAGAAGAACAATACATAGATTTTTATCAATATATTAATACAATAAATTAAGTTTTACCTTTCGTGCGATTGGAATTCTATTAAAAATATTCCAAAGAACAACCCCAACAACTTTGTTATCTTTTAAATAGAATACAACTCCTTTGTTATAGGTATTTTTATTGTCTGTTGTTGGTCTTGTTTCAGATGTTTTCTCTTTTAACACATTAGAGTTTGATATTGGTACTGCATCTTTTTGCTCTCGATTTCCTTCGCTGTCTCCTTTTTGCCCTTCATCGTTGGACTTTCCTTTAGCATAAACAGCAACAGTTTGTAATCCTGAATCAGTTAAACCAATAGCTTCAAAACCAATATTTGGTCCCAAATCTGACCAAAACATCGACTGGTGCCAATAAGGATTATGACTACCTGTCATATTTTCTCCGGCTAATTTACCACTAACTATTGCATGATCATAATGTTCAACACGACGTCGACCTAATTTAATATCATAAAAAGATGCTGCATCACCAGCTACCCAAATATTATGACGCGCTTGTAATTCAGCATTAACAAGAAAGCCTCCTTGATCGGGATCAATTTCTAAACCGGCAGACTCGGCTAAGTTAGTATTTGGTTCAATACCAACAGCGACTATGACATGATCAGTAGTAATATAACTCGTTTTTCTTGGTTCTTTTGGATCAATATAAGATAGACTAATTTTCCCTTCTTGAAGTGATGCATCGACAAGTTCAATATTTGTCACAACTTCTGCACCTTCTATTGAAATGAAAATTAAATGATAAAAATTCAATTACTAGTTTAGAATAATACCTTCTCGAACACGATCCGACGCCCATCTACTTAAATATTCTGGTAATACTTTACTAATATTGCCTAGAAAAAAAAAACAAAGAAAATTCAAGTATATAGATTTAATGTTTTCATTTTACCTTTATCTGGCATTAATTGGATGATTTTTCCGCTTGGTTTCCCATTCTTAGCATTTTCTTTCGATCGATGTGCTAAAGCACACGCTATTTCACTACCAAGAAAACCTCCCCCGACAATAGCTACATCGGCACCACTGTCCACAATTTTTTTCAATGTAAAAAAGTCGTCGATCTAAGTAAACAAAACATAGAATAAGAGAACCATGTTTAAGTTTTTTTTTTCGACTAGAAAGAATTAAACAGAGCAGAAAACAGGTGAACGATTAACTAAATAGAAGTATTTAATGAAAAAAGATTAAACTCATACGGCAATGTTTTTAGATACAATCGAGATTCATTCGATAACGAATATTTAACAACATTATCATTGTCTATTCTAATTTTAATTTTAATTTTATTTAGCTAGAGTATTATATAAAATATTTTTTGTTGTGGTTGTTGACTTAATTCAAAACATTTTTCGCCTAATTCACGTTTAGTTAATGTATGTAAATAAATCGTTGAATAGATATCACTATTTGTCAATGTAATATAAAGAATTTTTAATGATTGAATAATAGTTTCATTCAATTGATAATGAAGACGAATACTTATTGCATCATCACCATTACATATTTGACGAATATCATTTTTAGTCAATCGAAGAAGATCAACATCTGTATAATATTGAAAACGATTGACAACAGAGAAAAAACTATTATGATTTAGCCAATGCAGAACTTCATCACTTGATGAACGCATAGTAATTTTTGTTTCTACTTTTGCTTGATAATTTTGACATTGTTCAGAATTATATTTTATATTCGAAAAAGATAGTGATAGCATTGATGATCAACTTTCACTACAATCATTGTCTTTATTGTTAATTTCAAAATTATGATATACTTGTTTTCTAATTGGCGAATTTTCTTCAATAGTTGATGCTGTACAAACATCAAATAAATCATCGGGACGATAGGAAAGACGAAGAAGATTGAGTGTATACAGTGTTGAACTTGGACACGACTGTAAAATAGTATATTCAAGTGTTGTTTGATAATGTCGACGTTGAGATCGTAATTTTATTTTTCAATTCTCATTTTAGCTGCTTTATTTTTTCTGTGCATCTTTTAAATGAAACAATTGAATTTTACAACAACATGAATATAGATGTTTATTACTATCAATATTATTTTCGTATGTGTCGATTTGTATACGTAATGGTATGCTCTTTTCTCCTCCGTGTCGTTTTTGTGCAAAATCAGTTGATGTACATTTAAATCGTATAAATAATGATGTTGTTGGCGATGATGTATCTCAAACAATTTCAATAGCATTTGTTATTTGCTTTGAACTTATTATTGATAAAATTCCATACGTTATAGTCATATCTATATCAAATAATGATGATGATTGATATACATTGAGCCAATTTTGGATTAATTCGTATTCTTGATGTTGTAATATTTTATCCCAAAAACATAAAAGTAACATTGAACGATAATTAGTTGGAGAACAACGATTAGTCGAGGGTTGTGTAAGATTTTGTTTTGAGCTTTTCTATTTGAAATTTTATTTCATACGGTTGTCCTTGATTTAAATAAGTTATTGTTTCTTCATTTATTTTTGATGATGATCATGGTGATGCATTTAATACAAAATAAAATTTTGGATTTTGTTGAGGTAAAGGTGATAATGTATGACTACTATCAGAATAATGATTCCTATTATTATTGTTTAAAGACAAATCAAGTTTTTCAGCAATATTATTATGCATGGCCATATTTGTTAATGAATTTGGAAAGATATATTTAGTATCCAATAAATATATTTTTTGGGATGAAAATTTCGATGAATGTTCACTCGGAAAATCAGTTGAATTTAATGTTTGATTATTTAGCATGACTAAAGTTTGCAGGTGCTTTAATATTTATTTATTTTTGTAACTCGCCTAACACAGCAATAACGTGCAGAACAGTAAACGCTATTGGTAAGTAATATGCATAAAACACCTTTTTATATTCATTTGTATATTTATCTATATTATATATGCGTATCTACGTTTGTTCGCGAGTTTGATCGGTAGTTACATACATTTTATTTTCTATTCCCTTGTACGTATTTATGTCGCATTGTCGATGGTGAGAGGAAAATGAATGAGATTCATAAATGTGACCAAAGAAAAGGAAATCAAAACAATACGTAAAAAAGAACGAAAACAAACAAAATGTTGCGAAAATACTGATGACTGAGATGAAATCTATTCATCTGTAGAATTCATTGGAAAACAACACAGAAATTATTTGTGAATAACTTTGAACTTACTCCTCTGTAAAATGTTAATTTACGTTTCAGATGATTAGACATGTCTTGAAATATTTTTAAAGTTTTTGGTTGACCACCTGTAGCAATCAAACATTTTTCAAATGATATTTCCCAATCATTGTCTAATTTAGCTGTAGACGTTTTTAAATCAAGATCAACAACCTATTTTATTTTTAATAAAAAGACAAGTAGAAAATAAAATCTAGATTAAAAATGCCTACTTTTCTTCCAAGAACAACTGCAACACCACCATTTTCTTGATCATTAAGTGTTTTAACATCTGTGTAAAATTCATCATCAAAAAAATATAAACTAAAACTGATGATTGCAATAATCAAAAGATAAAGTATCAAATCTAACCTTTTCTCTTTGCCATGCCATTGTTTAAATGAATGTTTTCGTATAAGATCATCATCATCCGTATACCAAATATCTTTTGACAATGGAGGACGCATATATGGTAAATATTTTTCAGAGCTTATAACAAGAACCTAATAATATAAAAAATGATTGGCAAAAATAATGAGCACACTAGGATTAACTTTTGCTGTTGGATCATGTGCACGAATAGATTTGAATGCACTCATTGCTGTTGCACCGCCACCAATAATTAAATATTGAGCAAAATTAGGAATATTTGATGTTAAATCATTTTTATTGATTGTTTCGACTAAATTTGAATTTTCTTGTTCAACTAAAAAATATTAATAAATTATAATTTTTCTAAAAACGATTTTTTTAAAAAAAATCAAATCAATCGATATTTGCTGTTCCATACTAGTATCTTTTTCGACAGATGTTCTATTTGATTCATCAGGATCCTTAGATTTTATATGTCGGGAGTCATATTCTGCAATAGATTGTTGCTTTTCTTTTGAGTTGTTTCGATTTTGAAACTAAAAATAAAATTCTTATTTTATTTTTATTTTCAATAATGAGAGAGAAGAAAATAAATACAATTGAATAAATCGCAATAACACCGGTCAAACCACCGACAATATACATTAAATTTGTCATTTTTTTCTTTTTCTCTTCATTTCGAGTTTGTTCATCATTCGATGAGTTGGTTGATGTATAGCGAAGTAAACATGATAATCGAAGAGACGCTGTCGTTTGTAGAGAATCTTCAAAGATGAAATTAACAAAATTTTAAAGTCACGTCATAGAAAATTTTCTTTTTTACCAGCTTGTATTAGTTGACGAAGAACAGGTAATGTTCGTCTTGATAGAGCTCGCTTCACTGAATTAAAATGTTGAGCTGAAGTTAGACGAGATATGTAATGAATTTGCATTTTTCGTCAAAATTAAAATATAGCTCAATATAACACAGTCGATTGTCAGATCTGAAAACGATGATTCATTTTATTATCTGACTGGTCGGAAATTAAACCGTTTAGAATACAATCGACAGAAATAGATGAAAATGATCAGTTTTTATTGCTTTCATTAATAAATATTATTTTTTCGATGTATTAATCGAAATCATGAAATTGAAGTTCATCGTATATGTTATCTTTTTTATTTTTCAATGTACGCTATAGAAAAATTTAGTGAAACGTCAATGTATTTCTCCAATGAGAATCTAAGCAATGAAAAAGAAATTATTTCGATGACTCATCTGTAACAGGATTCTTTTCATTTTCGTCTACGATTAATAGACATATTACATATTCATTGAGTATCGTGGTTTATGAAAGTTATAACATCATTGATTTGCTCGATTGAGTATTTGATGACGCATGGGCATTCTGTTCAAACTAAGAAAGAAGTGGTAGGCATATAAAAACAACACAAATAATGATAGAATGAAAAGAAAAGAAATGACAAAATAATGATTGAATCTTCTTGTTTTTTCAATCTGACTGAATATCGTGATTGTTGCTGAACACTTATCGTCAGTCTATTAAAAATACTAATCTTATAATGTTTTAGTTAGAATTTTATTTTTTCAATTGTCTTAATACAACTGATTTTCATATAAAAATATCAGTTTATTAATTTTTACTTTTTTTTTCATTTATTGATATGTCATTAATTTATACAATTGTACATGATTGAACGAATCTCTGGCGACAGTAATATTGTCAAGCAAATTACGACGTATTTCGTCATCGGCAATGGCAGATTCTGTCGCCGATTTCGATGTCGCCGAACATCTCGATGATGATGATGAAACAAAACGTATCAAATTTGAATCTAGACGAAATAAAATAATAAAAGTATATATTCTTGTTTTCATTATTTTGCTTGGTTCCTTATTATGGAATACTTCTTTCTGATTTTTTAGCCTAGTGGCTTTGGTAAACCAAGTGTTTATCATGGACTTATTGTCATATTTCTTGAATTTTTCGCCTGGGGGCTTCTGACTAATCCTATCATTTCAGTAAGATAGAATTTTATTTGTACAGTATTGTACAGGTATGATTATTTCAGGTACTCAATCAAACATTCCCATCTCATACATTTCTAATGAATGGTGTTATTCATGGAATAAAGTAATAGCAAATATTGGTGTGGATTTTTGACTGATTGATCTTTCGTGTCTTTTAGAGGTCTATTAACATTTCTAAGTTCTCCACTACTGGGTGCCTATTCCGATATATGGGGTCGTAAATTCTTTTTACTCCTTACAGTTTTTTTTACTTGTTGTCCAATACCTTTAATGAAAATTAGTCCAATGTAAGTGAATATAACTATATACGTATATACATTTTATAAATAGTTAATATTGTTATAGGTGGTATTTCGCATTGTTAAGCATCAGTGGTCTTTTTTCTGTAACATTCAGTGTTGTTTATGCGTATGTAGCCGATGTTACTGATGAGAATTCTCGAAGCACTGCTTATGGTATGTGAAATAAATGTTGAATTTATCATATTCATTGAAAGTTTTTTTTTTCATAGGCTTGGTAACAGCAACATTTGCAGCATCATTAATAACAAGTCCTGCTATCGGTGCACATTTGACAAGACTTTATAGTGAAAATTTTATTATTGCATTGAGTCTGTTTTTTTCTGTATATAAATTTCTAATTAAAATTTTGATTTGACTGATAGGTTCAGCAGTTGCAATATTAGATTTATTATTTATCTTTTTTTTCGTACCCGAATCATTACCAGAACGATTACGAACAAATCAAAAAATATCATGGAATAAAGTTGATCCATTTGGTGTATGCTTTGCAAATTATTTGACTTTTCTTTTCTTATTAAATCATTTTTCTTTTCAAAATTAGGCCCTTCGGAATATTACTCATGATCGCTTCATCTATCTTGTTTGTTTTATTGTACTGTTATCATATCTTCCTGGTAAATCATTGTATGGTAAATCTGTTTGCTGTAATCTTTTGTGTTATTTATAGAAGCTGGGCAGTATTCGTGCTTTTTTGTTTATCTACGATTGGTGAATCTTTATTTTTCTATGAACATATCAATAAAGTATCCATGTCCTTATTTTATTATATAGATGCTTGGATTTTCAGAAGATGAAGTAGCTTATTTTATTGCATTTATCGGAATTCTTTCATGTATTGCACAAGTAAATACGGATTGCTTGCCTTTTACTATTTATCTTTTGTTTAATATAGACTGCTCTTTTGGCATGTTTACAAAAATATTTTGGTGCCAAAGAAACTATTATGGTTGGATTATTTTTTCAAATTGTTCAATTAGCAGCATTTGGCATTGCCACTTCAAATTGGTTGGAGAAAAAGTTTTTGTGTTTTTGTTTTTCAATAAATCAATTTTTGTCATTTTAGGGTGATGTGGTTTGCTGGCGGTCTAGCTGCTTTATCATCAGTAACATATCCGTCGATCAGTGCATTTGTTTCTGTCTATGCTAAAGAAAATCAACAAGGTAAAGCGTCGATTTTAAAAATGATTTCTCATTTTGTTCTGTTCCTTAGGGCTCGTTCAAGGTATGGTTAATGGTGTACGTGGTTTATGTAACGGCCTTGGTCCAGCTCTATTTGGATTTACTTTTTATTTATTCAATGTTGATTTGGGTTATTCATTGTTACCTTTACCAAAAACGAGTTCGAATTCAACAGTAATACATAATAATGTAAAATTGACCTATTCATCAATGTTCAGCCGTGATGTACCTGGTCCACCATTTCTTTTTGGTGCTTTTCTTGCTACTATTGCATTAATGTTTTCTCTTCTACTACCGAATTCAAAATTAGATTCCAATAGAATGGGAATCGACACGAGAACTATTGAACAAGAAGCTCGTCTATTGAATCCTGGTGAAGATACAAAAACCAATATTCAAACTCGTTGAATATTATTTTTTGATTTGCTTAAAAGATTTTTCTCGTTTGTTTTTTAATTTTACTGACACTTGGATTTATCTTTTTTTGTTTTGTTACTATGATACTTTAATTTGGTATTTTATAAGAAAAACAAAATTGAAAATAAATGTAAATAAAATCGATCGTGACATATCTATATCTATATCTATATATAATTTCCTTCCCACCACAAAGATATATGTGTAAGATTAAAGACCCATTGAAATTTTTGCTCGCATTTATGGAAACAACAGCTTCAAGAATCAACATCAATGAATTTAACATTAAAAAAAATACATTTCCATGAAAAAATAATTTTGATAATGAAGTCACTTGTTCGTCTTTTAGTATATAATCGTATTCATCAACATTTGTCACATTATTTATCACCAGATTGCATTAACAAACATATTTCCGGTTTCATTTATTCCGTTTGACAAATTCATTTATATTTTTCGAAGTGATTCTTTAACTAACTAAGTAGGGGCACAACCAGGGGGTCTAGGGGGCAAGGGGGCTTAGCCCCTCCTAGAAAAAATATAATCCTGTAAAAAAATAAGTTTAGCCCCCCTCCCCCAAGATAGCTTTGGTCAACGACTTAGCCCCCTTCCCCTCCCTACAATTTTTTTCTGGTGATGCCCCTATAACTAAGGTTCATTCTGCGCGTATTGCTTTTACCTAGGATAGACTTTATCAGAAATTTCTACAAATAAATGCAAGCTTCTATTCTTTGGTAAACTCATTTTTTTTAAAAATATCATATACGATTATGATAAGAAAAATCTTTTCCGTACATAACAGATAACGATGGAATTTACAAATACATATTTCTACATTTTCTTTTGTGCATTTTTGTTGAAACTGAAAAAAAAACTGACTAGAACAAGATATACAAATACATGTCATTCTGGCAAAACGGCAAAAAACAAAATTCAAACGCACACACAACACAACAAAATTGAATAATGTATATACGGATGTAAAAGAGGCATACGGAAAGAAAGTAAATAAAAACGAAATTAAACATAGCTATAAAACAAAGCCCACACAAAATGTAAGTAAGTCAGTATTGCAAACAAAATACATTGACTTTGATTTTGTTTTTTGACAAAGAAAAAGAAAACAGTGTTTAGATTTTGGTAATTTTGTTCTTCGTTTCGAGAATTAAAGATCACAGTTTATTCTGGCAAAGAAAAAGTTTTAAAAAAACGATAGAGTTTGATTGACTAGGCAATAGTATTGTTGTTCTCTTTGAGTCGTAATTCGGCAGCTATACGACGGTCATGTTCCTTGAGATAGAGTGTTCGATATGTATCTCGTTCTTCTATAGAACAAATTTCCCTAATAAGTCTGTTGTTGAATAAAATAGAAAATAGAACACTTACGCGCTATAGACACAAGTAAATGTTGAAGTTTTTCTTGAAAATAAGTCATGGTATTAAACGAACTATCAAAATGTTGAACAAATGCTAGATTGAACAAAGAAAAGTAAGACGAATGCTTTTAAAAAAAACGAAAACTCTATTCATACTTTCAATGGATTGTGTACTCATTTCCAAACTTATTTTTGGTTCTTTAGCTGTTGAATCAGCTAATGTTGTTGTTGTTGTTGTTGATGACGATGCTGATGGCGACAATGACACGCCATTATGATGATGGTGATGATACTGATGTCCATTTGGTCTGTTAACAACTGAATTTAGTAATCGATTAAGTGTACCAGTCAATCTTTTCGTTGAATTTGAAGATGACGATACTGGTAAACTAGTTGCAACAATCATTTTAGTTGGTAATGTCTGTATTGATGGAGATGACGGAGATGAACAATGAAAGTCATTATCTTGTTCAACTTTGATTATGACTGGTGTCGTTGTTGATACATCATTCATACTATTTGTTATTGTCATTTGTACTGGTGATAATGAATTACTTGGATTTACTGTTTGATCACTATGTGGATTTGCTTGATTATTACCATTATTTGTTCTATGATGATTTGTATTGCCATCATCATCTTCATCATTATCATCATCATCATCATCATCATCTGTCAATATGTCAGCTGGACTATTTCCACCCATGTAACATTGCGAACTTTCTGTAATATGAAAACGATTTGGTTCTACATAAAACAAAAGTATAATTAAATGAAACATACCACTAGCATTTTCATCAACAGAATCAAAACGAAATTGTGCAGATGTTGAATCAACTTGTTTATCACTAAAAAAGAAATATATGAGAACAGATTCAGTAGCAAAACTTCATGGATGAATATTTTCATACCTATCTAGTTGAATATTATATTTTTTAATAAAATTTGAACACCACGAACGTGATGCAGCAAAATCTGGATTTCCTGTTAATTCTCTCATTGTTGCTAATGCATAGGAATGAAAATCACGATTATTTACACGTTCGCCATTTTCTTGTCGTGTTTGAATCCATTCAAGTATACGCGAATGTGCTTCCTTATTTCGTATGGCTGATGTACGCTCACCGTTTGGTTTTTGATATAGCCAAGAAGCAATGGTTGATGGTGCAACTTGAAATAATTTTGACGCTGCTTTGACACCGTGTTTTTCAGCATATTCATGAATTCGTACTTTTTGTTCAGGCGAAACAAGTTTGTATGAACCACGTATACGTTTTTGAGCTGGACGATCAATTTTACGTTTACGTTTATTATTATTTTGATAATCAACTTGGTTTCTTGGTGGAGAGGATGACGATGATTGAACAGATGAGTGTACAGATGATGGCGCAAGTAAGTGGTGCTGAACAGCAGCAGCAAATGCATCGAATTTATTCAATGATTTCGATGATTCATTCAATTGTGCTTTCATTTTCAATGTGGGAGAAGTTGCTGTTAATGATGAATCACCTGGATCAAGCTGAGGTAAAACAGCCATAAAATCCTTTTTTTTTACAAATAAAAATTTTTTTTTCAAACACTCAAATACGAATTTTCAACTTACAGCAATCATACTTTCATCAGCAGTATAATCTATGGGTTCAATTTTTTGATGATGTTGATTACTTAGGGTATTCGCTACCGAGCCTAGTGGCGTCGATGAATGTGAATTCGTCGTTTTTGTCGATGTTGAATGCTCACTCATTGAAATAGAATATGGCTAAAAAAAATTGCATTTGTTTTTGTTTTTGTTTTGATTATCGAAAAAAATTCATAGATATTGACAAAAACGAAAGTGAACTTAAATGATTTTCAAAAAATGTTTTCATCCCTACCTTCTTTCGTTGCTACGTGTTCTTCAAACAACAAAAAAGAAAGAGTTGATAGAGTAAGTTCAGTCGGCTACTACTACCTTTTTTTTATACTAAAATAAATGACAGAAAAAAGTATATGCGGAAAGAAAAAGGGCAGAGAAAAAAAGAACGAGACGAACTTTTTTTCTGTTTGTTACCGAAGTGCTCAATTCGACTTCTTTCATATATATATATGTAGAGAGAGAGAGAGAGAGAGAGAGTAGTCACCGAGCGCAAGTTAAAAAAAGTGGGAAGAAGAGAAGAGCCGTGTTCAACGACAACACCACTCTTTTTCTCTATTATGTATGTGTGTTCGTCTTCTTCATCCTCAGTCTTTTTTTTGTATGTGTGCGCGCATTTGGCGTCTGCAAATACATCAATGCGAGCGAGAATAGACAGATAGAAAAGAGGAAAAAAAGAAGAAAAAAATTAGGGGCCGAAAACGAATGGGAAACGCACGAACTCTTCTACGCTTTCTCGATGTTGATAATAGTGAAGGAAACAGAGAGGGGGAGCGGAACCAGAGGGAAAGAACAAAACAGAAAAGGAGGGCAACCAAATATCGGAAAAAATAATCTAAGAGAAAGGAAAGAGAAGCAAAGTCGTCTGGAAATGTGTATAGATGTGGAGTATGTACAAAAAATATGCACACAAACACATAGCATCTATCTCTGGAATTTCTTTCTTCTTGAACTTCCGCATGCGCGTCTGCTAGCGCGTTCTATACCACGAAACGTTGCGAATAGGGAAAAAAAATGGACGCACAATGATAGATATAGGTTACGTCGTTGCTAGAGCAAGGATAAAGGAAAAGAGTTCACCATAACTATCATCATCATCATCATCAACATATCAGTAAACAGATGGCAACGAGTACCAAGATTAATTCTAAGGACAAATACAACGAACGCTATCCTTTAACAGAATAGTGGAATAAAGCAACATATTTTCGTCTTTAATTACACATCCACATATTCTATGGAAAATAAGATGCTCTCGGCAACGACAAAAGAAAGAGAATAGAAGTCGAGGCGAAAAAGCGGACGGGACGGAAAAAAGTGTGTCTTGCGCTCGGAAAGTTGACGACCGATGAGTGCGGTAGAATAAGTAGTAGTAGTAGTAGTAGTAGCATCTTCTATTCTACTGTAATGTTGTTCGTCAGGAACGAACACGCGAGCACACACATATACAAAACGACGAAGAAGAAAAGTTGAGTATAGCCGTATAGGATTTTCCGTACCGCATCTGCTCCCGTTGGTGTATTTACTTTACGTGTGTTCTCTCTCTCTCTCTCTCTCTCTCTCTCTCTCTCTCTTGCGCGCGAGCTTTCTGTATATCTGTATGTATATATACATGTATATACATGTATATATATATATAGATAGATATAGATATATTGGGGACTATGTAAAGGGAAAAATCAGCCGTGTGTGCTTCGATAATGAACAAGCTATGTTGAGGAATATAATCTTTAGTTATATGCGCACGTTCGAGTGAGAATAACGCTGTTTTCGCGTCATCGATAGCAACAAAACAGGACTGATGAATGAATATGAGAAATCGCGGAAACAAACATAGGAAAGTACAAATGGATAAAAAATCTTCAAGAAAATAATACAACATCCTAGGTTATAGTATATTATTTGAAATTCAATGAATTGCATATTTCATCAAATACTTTTAAATGAAAATGAACTGATGAATCGATATCATGATTGTTATTTTGAATGCTATCTATAGAAAACACGTTAGAATATTGAAGGTTTTTCTTTTAAAAAAAAAGAATAGATAATATTTTGATTTATTTTGATTGACATATTCAACTAAATTGTATCACAATTATATGATGTAGCTACAAGCTAGATTACGAAAAGATGTAGTTGAGGATTCATATTGCAAAAACCAATAATATTATCGTGAAGAATTGAATATGCGCACAGTTTCGAATATTCTTTAAAAATAACGAATAAAACGTTGTTTTGAAATGTGTGCTACCGTAAGAAAAATACCATGCTAATAAAATTGCATAAACACGTCGTGATATATGATTATTCATATATTTATTGTATTCATCAATTGCTATTGACGCTTTACTGAGTCACCTTCATATTACAGTATATATAACAGACGTTGAAAAACAAAATGAATACACACAATCACACTTCTTCAACTTGATTATATAAACTGATGAGGGCTCGTTCTAGTCGTGTGCCACACAATAAATAGGATATGAACGAATTATCCCGAGTGACTGGTTTACCTACTTAGCAAATTTCATCAATCTATCAAAATTTGAGGGAAGTCCAAGAACTGAGGAATGGGCATTCTTCCGATTCTTTCGAACACCAGCAATAAACAGAAAGGCACTAGAGGAATTGACGATTGCCCCACAGACACTACATGAATCCCACCTCAATACCAAAACATCTCCCTAACAAACACACATCATTCAATACCTTCTCTGTAATATACTACACAAAATACCTACACAATCACTCAATTCCTCTGGTAGAAATTGCCTACCATCAATCTAACACACAAACTTCTCAGGTAAAAACTAGAAACCGATGGCAATCCCTCAAGAAGGGATTTATGTGTACGAACTCGACAGTAGTGAAAAACGCTAGGAAATTACTACCAATCGTATATACAACAAAACCTATTCAAGACTAACCTTCGATTATTATCGCAAACCTCACAATGACAATACCATGCTTCTAACCAAGTTACCTAATGGGTGCTCATCTGCCATCCTTCTAGTAACTGGGGAACTGTTGTTTCTCACATCAGTATTCTAATTGATCCTGAATCCAAAAAAGTGCCGGGGAATCCAGGAATTACAATAGTTCTGCTAATAGTACTCAGAGACTGACTCGAGTACCGTTAAGATATCAACCCGTATTTCCTTCGAGGAACTGGGGAACTAATGTTAACACTAAACGATACCCCTCTGTTCCCGACCTAACATCATCACAATTGCTGTCCAGATCAACCAATAGATACAAATCACAATTTTCTGAAGGCAGAAGCAGCGCCAGAAATAGATCCGCGGAATTATCAGCAGAATTGGCCTGTAACTGTCCTGGAAATAACGAGTAATCGTGTAGGATTGTGAGTTTTGGCATTCGATCGGATAATTATGTAGAAATACAGAAACCAATCAACAATAGAGCGCCAGGCGTGTCGTGGTAGGGCGAGGAATTACCATCGTTCTGCTGATAGTACCCAGGGACCGACCCTACTACCATCTAGGAATTCACCTAGACTTCCATCGAGTTACTAGGGAAGTGTATGCGACAAATATCGATTCCACAGTTACTCGAAGGAAATGTGGGTTGATACCTTGACAGCAGTGTTCAGACTTCCAAAAAAGGAAATTTCGGAAGTTTTGGAAATTTCAAGTACTTATGTTCTAAATTGGTTGGTATTTCCCAAAATTATACAATTTCCGAAATTTCTGAAATTTCCAAAATTCTGTACAAAGCGAAATTTCCGAAATTACAGAAGATTCCGAAATTTCTAGACTTTCAAATATTTTCAAAAAATTTTCATTTGCTTTGCTATGTAGTAATCGAGTTGATGGAAGCTTCGGAAATTTCTGTAATTTCCTTTTTCGGAAATCTGAACATACCTCTACCTTGACGGTAGTAGGGTCAGTCCCTGGGTACTATCAGCAGAACTATCATCATTCATCGGTTCCCCGGCGTCTTTTGTTATCGAGAAAGATTGTCAACATGTATTCGATAAGCGCCGGTTCCCCAGGCACTGGATGAGGGAGAGAGTGTTACCCTTCATGGTAAATGGGTCAGCTGCTAGGTGCTGTCACTGGAGCTATTATGGTTCTAATTTTTCGGTTTTGCGCATTGCTTGCTGTATAGCAACCAGGTACATCTGCTGTGGAATTGAGTTTTCAATGTTAGTTCCCTTCGTAGGGAGAGAGGATCAGTTCTGGATGTTTCTTCGGTTCCCCCGGATAGTGATGACCATCTGAGCTATCGTAAGGATGTTTGGAGTGAATGTGGAGGATGTTTAGGTTGGGTATTCTTACGGTTTTCAAATTTTTGTGAGTAATGTGAAGAAAAGGTTGAACAATGAATTAGGATATGTGATGGTTTCGTTGATCAATTCTCGTTTCCGCGAAGTTATTATTTCTTTTGGCTGGAACTTGTAGGTATCGGAAGAATTCCTAAACTTCAGCCCTTGGACACTACTGAACAATTTTGATCCATATAATAATATTTTACCAATTTTTTTGAATTTTCGTTCATTTTATTCAAAAAATCTTTAAATTCTAGACGCTGCAAAAATTGAGCATTAGGATCCGGGTTCAAAAATCCTGATCGATCGGGGCCGGGTCCGAAAATTCTTAGATCTAGTGGGCTCTACTGAATACCCACGTGAATTTATTATCTAATCACAGAAGTCGATGACGATATTTTTAGAGCGTTGCTTTATAGACGAAAAGACTTTTGACTCTGTAAAAGTAGCCATCATTTATCGTCGAAAATTGATCTGTATTATTATGTCTCAATTTGATACATTGATTGGAACCGAACAGTGACGTATAAAATGTCATTCAAGTGAAAAAGTGATGATCAAAATATCAAGATCTAACGAAGTAAAGTTTTGATTATCCATTTTTCTTCTTATTTTTGATATTGTGGTGGATTCTGTTCGTGTTTTGCATTGCATTTCGTATTTGGGTGAAACTCGAATAGCAACGAGTTTATTTTTGAAGCAGTAAAAGGGTCATCTTCCTTCATAAGCTCTTTTCAACAGAGAGTGCAAGCCTAAGAGTAAGTAACCGAATGAGAGCGAAAAAAGAATTTATTTTTATATGCCGTTTAAACATGCTAGTGATAGCAACTGCATCGTTCTGGGATATAAGTATAAACGTCTATCTGACAGAGTGTAGAAATAGTTCTGTCAGTTTTGACACGCTGACAATGTAGACACATTTTAACTCTTCGTTACTGCAGAAATTAGTTTGCGTTCCATCTACACACTTTCTACTATTTCATGAAAAACAAGTTTATTTTTAAAGCGTTAATCCAAAATATTTATTGGAAGGAAAAACAGGGTATTTAAGCAGTAACTAAGACACCATGAGTCATACGAAGCCATTAAGAGTGTAGTCGAATACTTGCACGTATCTTAGGTTGATTGAGAGTACTCCTATTATGATAACAATATCATTTCGGGTTAGATAGCATGGAGAAGAACATGAATCCTTTTCGATACAGCTTTTTTCTTACAAATAATATTTTATGACTTTTCAATATGATAAAAGCTAAGGAGGGAGGACACTGAGAAAAATTTTAAAACAAAAGGAACGCCAAAGAAAAAATGGTTTTTCTTCATTTCCTTTGGAAAAATTGGTGTTTTTATTATCCATATGTTTTTCGTAATGTTGTTTGCCGATTTTTATTATGAATATTTGCTAAATGTCCATGGTTGTGATAATCGATTGAATGTTTCGTTTTTAAATTCTTTCAAATTTCGAACAAGACGCAATGCATTGTCAACACCATGACGAGCTTGACGCTATAATTTTCAATAGAATGAATATACGTATATCTTGAAAAGAAAAATATCAATTTACAGTATTAAGATCAAAGCGAAGCATTCGAGGAGCAACACCAGCTGTATCGTGTAAAAGTCGTTCTTGACTCTTATCAATTGTAATTCGATTCTCTTGAATTTTATTTGCTGTATCGTCATTCATTGCTTGTAAGTCACTAAATATAATCAGTCGATAATTACTTCAATATCAGTTCAAGTACTTACAACCCCATTTCCATATTGTCTTCAGCTTTCCAAGTACTTGGTTTAAAATCAACACTCTTTGAAAGGTTAGTATATTTCGCACCAACATCTGTAACGCCTTCTTCTTCAAATTGAACATACTAGGAAAAAAATTCAATGCATAGATAAGCAACGGGTTCCTTTTTTTTCAAAGTATAAAACTTTAAAAAAGAATCGAATTTTTAAAAGGCGTATTTTCAAATTTCTTTTTTTTATTGCATTAATTAATTATTATGAACAAGAACGAACTAGATAAAAATATTCGATTGTTAACTTGCACAAAACTACGGTTGAGGAGAAAAAAAAAGAGTGTCTATATAGAATAAAAATGAACGCCAGTGGATCACACAAATGTGCTTGAGCCATTATTGGGAAGGACGGTGCATGTGTATGTGTATGTGTGTGTGTGTGTGTATATGAGTCTGAGTGCGCATATGTGTAGATAATAGAAGTTCTAATAATAGCCGGACTGAAACAAAAAATGTTTTTCTCAGAACTATATTAAATTCTTAAGAGAAAAACAAATGTTTCAAATTGCTTTTGCTTTTTTTTGATAAAGACACCTATAGACATAGAAAACTTACCGTTCGCCCAAAATAGTCACGAGGATTACTAAGTCGTGAAAGACCACTGCTACCAACACGTGACTCAATCGTACGTCGAACATCGGCTCGTGCTCGATCTAATAGATTATCACCATGAGTGATAGATGAATACGTTGATGGTGTAGAATAACGCAGTTGTCGTAATTCACGTGTATAATCAAGATCACGCATTGCACGTTTTAATGATGTTACCCGATCGATTGAATCATTAAAACGATAATTATACGATGAATCTACGCCTGCCGACGGATAAACTGAAGATGAACGAGAAGAATTAATGGGTCGATAACGCCAGTCATCGTATGGAAAAAAATAATAAAAGGTACGTGGTGCTGTATGATACCAATAATAGGGTCTGTAATGTGTGTAATGATTATCGAGAGCAATCGGTGTTTTATCTCGAATACGTTCTGTGTAACGATCAAAATAATCAAAATCATGTGTACCATAAGCAGAATAAGGTCGTCGTGCTTTTAAATGATCGAAATAGCCTACAGATTGCCCTCGATAATATCTCTTATAGGCTCCATTGCCGATTATTTCATCATCGACATCTTTACATCGAGCTACAGAAACAGCTCGAGTAGAACGAGCTATTGATCCATACACATCTGGTGTATAAACATTGAGCCGTGTCGAATAGTCGCCGCCACTATACCCATCATTGCCTGATCCATATTCATAAATAGACGGAGTCGTCTCCCGACCTGGGGTCGTGCCCCGGAGACGGCTTAAAGAACGGGCTCGACGTGACATATTAATCTAGAATTGATGAATATATTTTATCTAAAACAATAGTATCATTTATAGAAACAATGTGATATTGCCAGGTTTTTATTGTCGTTTTCCTTTCGATAAAATATTCTACCGTATCAAAAGAAATGATATAGCCGTTTATTTAAAAGTTATTTTACGTGTAATTTTTTGAATCAATTAACATTTGTTTTCTTTGTTGCATTTCAAGTATTTTCTAAACAAGTTACTTACATTTGCTAGTTTTCTATCTAGTTTTGTTGTACGGTATACATTCGTGCATGTAGAACAGAATGTACTTTATTTATCATCTCTAAATACGCTTTCTATTTTTGCTCTTTTCTTCTTCATAAGTTAGATAGTCGAATATTTTTTTGTGTGGTTTTTCTGCCCATTTCTTACTTTCCTATGATTGTCCTTGTAGATGACAACAACAGACATTAGCAACCATAAGCCGCACAGGAAAGAAGAAAATTAACATATTCTACGTCGTATTATCATCGACATCAACACCATTGCGTACACAAAAAAACAACTAAAATATCATGATGATAGCATTGATGTGTTTTGCCGGTCTCTTACTTATTTTCCGATCAGAAAATATCGCGTTTAGCACAAGAAAAAAACAGAATACCACCCAAAGTATTTTTACTCCTACACACCAACAAGGAGAAAACGACACGGCTGTTTTTTTTTGTATGTATTATTGCATGCGATTACTCTCAAATACTGCGAACATATTTGGAAGAGCTTACATAATGGCAACTAACAAGATACTATATAGAAACATTGCTTTAAAAATACGTCCCAAAAGATATGTTCATAAAAATGATGTTGTTTCTTTTCATGTAAATAGTCGTAAAGCGTTTGCTCTAATATAAAACAGTAGATCCTTATATGTGTAATTACGAACGAGTATGTCTCATCAAAATCTTTGATGCGCTAAGTGACATTATATTTCTAAGGAGGACAAAAAAAAGCAACCGACAAAGATATGAGATCTATTTAGACAACGAGCACCATAGAAAATGAATAAGCAAGTTAAGTCCATTTCTCCTTTTGGCACAACATATCTAACTAAAAGTGATATAGATTGCATTGACTTGTGGTGTATATGATATTGTTTATCCTTATTTAGTGAAATATTAGTATAGAAAAATAATTGAATTAATTAAAAAAAAGAATCGAAACAGTGATTAATACACATTCACTTCGGTTTCTTTCAATATAAAAAAAATAGATTCTCTAATTAAATCATAGAAATTTATTGTTTTTTTCATTTCTTTAATTTGGTTGTTCGTCAATGAATCCTATTTTCGGTTGAATAACAAGTTGTCCTGCTGTATTAGGAACTTTTACAATCATGACTTTTGTTGTTGGTTGTTGTACAATAACTTTGGCTGTTGGTATTGGTACACGTCGTAAAATAATGCTTTCTGTTATGTTTGATCGTGGATTGGCTGTAACATCTGTTTGAGTTTCAGTAGTATTTGAATATTTTAATCTGCGATCAATTACTGTATGTGGGACAACTTTATTTATCTTCTTTCCTTCATCTTCCGTTTGAATAGCAATCGAACCTTTGCTGGGTGGATTTGGTATGGTTTGAATTTGCGTTGAGAAACCATTTGCTATACGTGTTGAATACATGCATTGATGTGAACTTGGATGTAAACGATTGCAACCAGGACAAAATATAAGATCATTATTGTTAGTCTTTAATTGTAAAGGTGTAACGGATGGATCTTGTATGGGAGAAGAAGCTGTTTCACGTGTTTTTCTACCAGATAATATGTGAATAACAGGAGAAACTGAAGCATTTTTCCTTGCGGTCGGTGAATCTCGATGAATAGGCGTATTATTTCGTGTTGATTTATCATCAAGATCTTCAATGTTCGTTTGATTAAGATCATCAGGATCAGCATAGAAATCGTCAGTATTGAAAGTGTTCTCTTGTTTCTTATATCGCCATGGTTTATTACGTCCTTGTTTAAGTATCGTTATTAAAATTAAGATAATACCAATGATACATGTTAAAATACCAAGTACAATACCAGCAATTTTCCATCCTTGAGTACTAGCATTCGCATCTATTGTTAGATTCATTTAAAATTTATTGTAGAAATTTGTCAATAAAGACAAAAAAAGGAACTACTTACTAAAATAAATACCACAGACAACTACACCACCTAGAACAAAAAGAATCAGATAATGTATCATTCAGATGAAAACAAACCTGCACCAATGAGGACACAAAGAATTAAGAATCCATAGAGACATAAAGTGGCACATATGTCAAGTCCACTTGCAAATCTCGCTCGTTTGTATAGATTGTCTTTAGCTTCTTGTCGCTTTCGTCTGGTTCGTTCTGATATTTTAGGAGTGAATTTCTGCAATATATGAAAACATTTATTTGATGATTATTTTTTCAATCTCGTACGTACCGTATCCGTTGTGATTATAACTGGCTGATCAATCTTTTTTTTATTACCTCGTGGTACTGATGGCTGCATTATGTTATTCGAAATTCTCAGTGAATAGAGAAGCACGTATAAAAAATTTAATCCTTCAATCGAAAATTGTTCTTTGCATTTTTTTTTTGTTTTCACTGTTTAGTTGCTATACTTCAAAAGAAATGTTTACTTATCAATGCATGTGACTTAACGCTTTACACAAGAAAACATACTGATCAATACTTAACAACGGCGTTTGCTTTAATAAAACTTGAAAGAAAAAAAAAGACTTTTGTCTATTTAAAATAAATCTTTTATATATAATGAATAATATATAATGCGAATACTTCAACTAATTCAAGATATCACATTACCACTCTATCTGTATTCGAAATAATACAAGCATATGATAAAGATTGTAGAAACCAACAATATATTTTTGTCAAATGCAAGATCTTTTGAAGTCTCTCATCAACAAAAATTAGTCCTTAAAAAACATTGCTGCAATTTAACAATGGTTAGAATTAATAATAAAACGTTTTGTTTCAACACATAAATATTTGTTTTATTGAAAAACAAATAATTACTTCTACAAAACAGCAACTGTGTACTAGTTGACTATCAATCCGATGAATAAGAGAAAATTGTACGAAATAAGTTTTATTTGTCAAACAAGACTTGATTTATGCACTTTTTACTAATAGAAAGAATCCTTATCTATCAATTTATACTTTCTAAACTTAAACAGCAATGTTTTGATATTTCTTTGGGTATCAAATTGATCAAATAATACAATTAATTTTTAAAGTAATTTAAATTATCTAACTGCACATAGCAATATTTTGTATTTAATGTAAATTTCGACATGAATATCATCATTAACATTACATGATATATGCTACTTTATTGATTCATCAATAATTTGATAGATTTAGAAACACAAAATAGTTGCGTAGAAGTGCTTAAATGAAAGCAAATATGAATGATGTTCAATGTGTTCATCTTTTAGAAAACTTATGCATTTTCTATTTTATACTTATTATATTTTCTTCGAAATCGCTTGTTGTTCAATCAATTAGGCTAGAGTCCTGCAGGTTAAGACCTTTTTGTACCCTAACCCTGCCCAATCGTAAAACTTCGTACCCTTGTCCTACCCTGCCCTACGACGTTCTTACCCTAGCCCTACCCTGCCCTATAGACTTCGTAACCTTGCCCTACCCTGCCCTAGGGGCTTTGTACCCTTACCCTACCCTATCACAGAGATTTTTCATTTTACATCCTATCAGATCCTTAGAGTTTCAGGTCCAAGTAAAAGTCAGCATGAAATTTTTCTTCATTTTGTTTCAATATATTTTATTGATTTTCAACGAGAATCGAATACAAAATTAACTAGTTGGTACTCGAGCTTTACTCGACTACGAAATGCGGTGCGAAGCACAGGTTCCAGTATTGAGAACAGAGGCTTCCGCAAATAAAGGGTGTGGCTGTGGGTGCTATTCTGTCCAAACGCTCATCCACATGCACACTATACATGCAAATCCACATCCACACCAACACCCCACACCCTCACGTTTTCTGTAGGAATCTTTTCGTTTTTTAACTTTTGACAATGCTGATTTTTTTCGAACCATCAGTCTTGTAGTAGCATTTTACTAAATAATTGAGTTGAATTATTTACAGAATCGTTTCTCGTTGAGATTCAACAGGGTTCAAACTCCTGAGTGAGAACGAATATTATCTCTTGATTAAGTGAGATAATAAAAAATAGTTTCTTTCGAGTTAAATCTTCGTTATCGTTAAGTGAAGATTTTAATCGATTCTAGGTAAGAAACTTTAAAAAGTCGAAAGTTTAGTGACTTTAAAAAAAATAATATTTGAAATTTTTTTTTGTTTAGTTGTGAGCGTGACGAATAGGATCTAGAATTAAGAAAAAAGAGCTAGCAATTGAGAAAGATGATGTATGATAATCTTTTTTTAAAGATAAAGTTAATATAATGATTAATAAGAATTAAGTGATGCTGCAGTGTAAATGAATCAGAGAAGCCATTTGAAGTGAGACATCGATAGAGACTCTTTGAAAGCTTAGAGATCGATCTTGAAAACAAGTACATATTATCTGTTATCGAGGACTCTACTTTATTATTTATATGTTTGATTTGTTAGAATAGGATCCATTTATAAATGTTGATATAAAAGTGCCTAACTTTTAGCGTTTTGATTTCCGTTTTAATTATCTCAAAATAAAATTTGATCAAAATCTTCTTTTCGGGAATCAATTTGCGAGTCAACGGAAGTAGCTATAAAGATTTTTGAAAAAAATGGTACATCTATTATCTCGATTCTTTCACTTCACGTTTTAACCAGTTTTTTTCTGATGTTCGGTTGTCTAGATCATCGCGTCACAAGTTAGCAATATATGATCTGGACGTCGCGTTTAAAAAAAAGGAACAAAGAAAGAAAACTCGCGCAGGATTACATAAATGCTGTGCTTCGCACCGTACTAATAAATATTTCGAACGTTTCTTAAAAGTAAAATGTCATTTACAACATCACCACTTAAATTTTACCTTCTCTCTTCCAAACCTCGCCCGTTTGTACTAACAATACGTTCATGTCGAGATGATTTCGAAGACATTTTTTATTACATTTACATGCACATTTACTAGACAAATAATCAAAAGTGACTGAACTCGTCAGCTTATGTAAAATAGTACTAAAGAATAGGCCATTGTTTTCCGTTCGTTGTTATTCTACCCATTCGATTTAGATTATGATATCACTCTTTACACTGTTTTTGATCAAAAAGATGTCTGAAATATATATTAAGTTCTACTCTATAAAATTTTTATTTGTATGAGTTACACCCTACTTATACCCTAAATATTTTTTTTGTAACCTTACCCTACCCTGCCCTACGAGCTTTGTACCCTAGCCATATCCTGCCCTGTAGGGCAGGGTAGGGTAGGGTAGGACAAGGTTGACCTGCAGGACTCTAACGTTGAGTAGTGACATCCCTGATACACAACATCATGTTTGCAATACCATTGGTTGATACAATTTGTAACATGATTGATTTATTGTAGGAGGATTAAGTCAAGTGTTTCATTGAAAATTTCATTAAATATTGTCGACGTAAAAACCTAAAATCTATTCAATGTTACCTATTACGATAATATTTAAATCATCAATGGCACAATAGCTTTTTTTGTCTAGTTGTTAAAATGTGAGTAGTCCTATCGTATATCTTTAGAAAATTTGCTAAAATTTTGTTTTTGGATAGATTATTTTTTCCTAAAAATAAAATGAACGATGATTTTATTGCTGAACATGTTTTACCATCAATAAGTTTACATTATCATTCCGTAAATCTATCAAGTGATCAACCTATCGAATCGAATAACCTTAACCTTAATGTTCAACATTCGTCACCATCAATAATAGAAACCGGTTCAGAAACTACATTAAATGCAACATGTGAACATATTGAATTAACAAGTCGATTTTTTAATAATATCCAATTTTCCGATGTTCGCCTTCGTATTGGCACGAATGTTTATTATGCACATAAATTTATTTTGGCTAAGTCAAGTGACGTATTAGCAACACTTTTATATTCTCAACATTGGACATCGAATGATTCAGAAATTGTTCTTGAAGAACAAGATGAATGTCAAGGAGATGTTTTTGAAAAGTAAATTAAATCTTTAGTTTTCTTTTTTACTATTCAACATCAAATTTATCTTTTCAATAGATTTCTTCGATTCTTTTATACAGCAAAAGTAACTCTTCACGAATCTATTGTGATTGGTTTATTATGTCTGGCAGATAAATATAATGTACAATCGTAAGTATCAGATTTTGACATTTTTTTCTATGTACGTTTGTAAAATATTAGTCTACGCAATTTATGTACTCAATTTATGATAATGCAAGCTAAACCTCCTAATGTTCGCAATGCTATTGCTTGGTATTCTATAGCAAAACAATTTACTCTTGATGATCTACGTGATATTTGCATTAAAACTGTTGCCTGGAACATGGAACATCTCTTATCGAATGCAAATCAAACTGAATGGTTTCGGCGTGAATTTGAATTTATTCGTGATCTTCTATCAACATCAAATCTTGTCGTTACAAATGAATATCGTTTGTATACATCACTTAGTAATTGGCTCTTAGCAAGATCATCTGATACACTTATATTATCATATGCATGTGACCTTTTACCGTTAATACGTTTTTCACAGATGTTACCTATACAATTGCATCAAATCGAACAATCATTCTTATATCAAAGTAGTAACAATCAACAAATTCAAGATTTACTTAAACGTTTATTACATCAAGCTTATCGTTTTCATACATTAGCATCGTTACGAGGAGACACAAATAAACCAGAATTTTCACCATTAGAATGGTATTTACCACGAGAATATACAGAAATGAATATAACGTAAATAGAATTTTTATTGTTTGATGCCACATTTAATTGACATATTTATAATTTTAGTGATCGCGTTGATATTCAATCAACACTTCGCTTTGGCATTCAAGTTGATGTTCAAACATGTTCATCACCTGTTCCATCAATTGATCGTAATGCAGATTGGAAAGTTGTTTATCGTAAACGCAGTCATGATAGATGGACACTTAAAATACATCGACACGATGAAGTAAATGAAACTTATGCACAAGTAACAGCAATTATCTATGATTGCGAGCGACGTGTTCTACAAGTTGATCGCGGTGAAACATTTCTATTTACAACATCAAATCAATATGAACTTGAAATTGTTTTGAACAATCCATTTGAAGCTAAAGAACTATATCTCCTTATTAAACCTGTTATTTCTTAAATCATTCTTTATTTGTTGTATATTAATTTTTCTAGTCAAAACAAATTAATGTTTTAAAACCACCGATTTAAATTAGTTTTCTCCCTTCCTCCAGGCATACTAACACAAACAAAATCCTATATTGTCAAATACTTGATCTATATTCAAATAAGAGACGTTTTAGATATTTATTATATGGTAGAATCCGGCACTAGATCTCATATTCTTTACTGAAAACACATATTTAGTTAAAATTATTTGATGAACCAAATAGTCTAGTTCGATTTCAGATTTACGGAAAACCTTCAAACAATGCTATTGTGTGCATGTCGAGTATTATTTGTGAATAAATTTATTTAAAGATTGTTTGAAGCGAGATAAGAAGAATAAGGGTTTTTTTATCTTGTTCTGTGTAAGTGCATACCAGTGAAATATTGTGCCCCTTCGACTCCGATAAGATTATTGCTTAGGTTAAATATGGAAAGTTGAACTGGTAGATGATTAGTGAGTGGAAAAACTGCGATCTGTTGACTTTTCACTTGAGAAATCTACTATAAAACAATTTTCATCTTGACAGAAAAAATAAATGAATGAGAGCGAATAACATAAAATGTGTGTCGATTTTTTTTTTATCAATAATGACTTTAAATTACAGTTGATTGAAACGGTAGCATTGAAAACTTCACACTTCTCATCAATTAAGTTCGCTCAGTGTATGGCCTGAATTCATTGTGCAATCTAATAATTATCAGCAACCTTCGATGATATTTATGTAAACGAAGTTCCGTCATAGTTTTCGCATATTTAATTAAATTTCTCAGTGTGATATTATTTGATAATCGAACTAGTATGCCTCTGATATTCACCTACAAAATTTAATAAATACAGAATATTCTGAAATTATTGGTTCCTCCATGATTGAATAGACAATAGGAATATTATTCGTGTTACATTTTAATCTAAGTTTATTGCTGAAAACATGATTTTCATATATTTTTTAACGTCTTTTAACTGTAACTATTATCTTTGTTCATATGTTCTATGTTTATCTGTTGTCAATCGTGCCATAATAACTAGAATATCATCTGGTTTAACATAAAAACGAACAGCATGATTAACTAATTCATTAGCAGCGTTTTTTAAGGAAGGATGCTGAAAACATAGCAAAAAGTATAAAAGTAAATTAAAAAAATAAAAAACATACTTTAGAAATGATTTTTTCAAGCAATCGATCAGGAATATTGTCAAATAGGCCATCAGTAGACAGAATAACTATATCATCTAATTCTAATTGAAAAGTTTGACAAATCGCATCAACACTCCTAGATAAAAATTAATAATATTTGCCTTAAATCATTGAAGAAAAATGATCTGTACTCGTAATCGTCATGAAATATAATAATAAAGAAAAACTTACGATATTTGCGTATAGTTGAGGCCTTTTTTTCTTAAGGCTGCAGTCCATGGATAGACATCCAATTGTCTAGGGCAATCACCATTCATTTTTTGTGAACGTGATCGATAAATAATACAACCATTTCGAATAATAACATAACCTGAATCACCAATGTTTACTGAATGAAGTTGGCCTGTATCACAATCAATGCCAACCACACATGCAGTAGCACTACCTAGTTGTGTTTGTGTTCAAAATATTCCGATGAAAAATCACATTGATGAAAAGTAAAATATTACAAACCAAAACAATTTTCAATTTGAACACGATCAAATGCATGACATAGGAGACGTTTTGGTTCCTCAGTCGAATATTTTCCTGTATGAGCCAAATCAGAACAATGTCGCATTAATGATTCAGAAAAAAGACGAGGATCAAAACCATACATTACATTACCACCGGCACCATCAGAAATTCCTAGGTTTAATTAGCTTTCGTGGATTCATTTCAAATAATATGGAAAGAAAAAATACCTAAAAAATTTTGTTGATTACGTCGCATTGCAAATCCAGCATCGTCGCCGAAACATCCATTTTTTAATGAAAAATTTTCATGTGGTATTGGCAATTGTGTATTCTTTTTCATACCACATGTTGTAAATTCAAGAGCAAGTATTTGATAGTTACCAGGCAATATTGATGTATTTGGTTTTTCATGAGAATGTTTTGTATGCTGATGTTGACGTCGATAATGATGATGATATCGGTAGATATCAGTTAATGGTTGAGCATGTTCAAATGGTTTACTATGGTCTGCATCAAGTTTATCGAAATAAAGATCATCTGTTATATCTACATGGTCATGTTGATGATGGCGATGTTGACGATGATGATGATGATGATGCGACGATGTAGCTGTCAATGGTTTAGTCGAATCTGGAGATAAAACATCGTGAATAACTTTTTTTGTAGTGGTTTGTCGTGATGATGGTTCATTATATCTATGTAGATAATGTTTGAGATTTTCAACATCTCCATCAGATAACTTGAAATTAGAACGACTAGTCGTTTTTTTTGATGATCCTGTTTTAATAATATCTTGGCCAATGTCTTCTAGCCGAATAATTTCAAAATGTACGTCTGGCATGGTTGTTTTGCTGAAAACAAGTAACAACCTTCACTCGACGATATGATTCGGCCTCTAAGTCAGTAATCCACCATAAAGTGAAATATTTTTGTACTTATTTCGTTAAAATATTTGTATCAGTGTCTCACTATGCGTATATATTTGTGTGTATGTGTGTTGCTTGATTGATTCAACAGAACGAGTAGTGAAAGAGAGGGAACAGAAGAGTAAAGATGTATGTTAGAATCATTCGACCGGAACAATAAGGACCTACAATATTCGTTTAACAACGGCCAGGACATATTCATTTTGCTCTTTTTTTCGTTTCTTTTCTTCTCATGTACTATAATTTATATAGTGTAGGAGATGTTGCATGGCAATTAAAAAGGAACTTGAACATGAAAGGACCTTGTTTCTTATTATAGAGGTATCGAGATACCAACACCGAATTAATTTTTCAAGGAGTTACATAGCAAATAATTTCCGAGATAAAAAAAAAACATTTTTCTAATTAGATATTATAAAATATCCTTGATATTTATTTAGAAGAAAAATCGCTTATCGAAAATACTGATTCGTTATTTTAAAAGACTGTATTTCATGCTTTTGGGATGAAATTATTTTTTTCAATTGGTCAATTGTATCTTGCTTCATATAGTTGTATCGAAATCATATGCTAATTGAAAACGTAAGCGTGTTATCTTCTAAACAAGATGTTAACGTGTACAAGTAACATTCGATGTCTAGCTCCTGCTCAAACCTCTTCTGTACTACAGTCAGCTGACTACACAAAGAGGCTACAGGCATGAACATACAGTTTTTTTTTAAATATAAAAAGGTTATAGAAAAGAAAACAAGTGCTATATTAATCTTTTTTCTAGAATATAAACATCATTTCTCATTATGTTGAATAATTTGAAGATTCATTTCCCCTGGATTTCTTTGCTTGATTCTTGAAAAAATAGAGTTACTGCTAAAGCAAAACATATGTTCAATGGAATCTCAAGTTTATTTTTTTATATATTCAAAAGAAGAGAAAAAGCAAGGTGTATTGTTTAATTTTCTTCTGTCTTAAAAATCTTTTGTAGCACAATGAAGATAAACAGCTGCATCGTGAAGAGCTTCAGGTGTATAATAGTGAAGAAGATCGTTTTTCCAGAATTCCCATGTTTTAGAATCAACTAATTTTGGAATAGGACGATCGAGTAATGTAATAGGTGTACCTGATTCATAATGTGCAGCGATCCATTCAACAGCTCGAAAAATACCATTTGATTTAACATCCAAAACACATTTACAAACTGATGCTAATGGTTTTGGTGAAAGTTCACGAACTTCTTTTTGAAGACGAAGCCACAAATCACGCATATGAAATTTATGAACAATGCGTTCTGTTGATGACCAATGAGCACCAAGACCATCATCTGATTTACCGATCATACTAAGAATCTATGAAGATGGAGAAAAAATAATGAATATCAAGATTGTTTTTTTTTGAATAAATGAAACAAACTTTATCGATCATGTTCATTGTAAAATCGAAATAGTCTGATGGAAGTGCATCGTTTGGTGCATAGGGAAGAACTTTAACTCCATTTTTATCATGAAGATTATGGTTAACTGTTGGAATTGTATTTTGGTCATTGGCACGTGGATTGAAGAGTTGTAAACCTTGAACAGTCATTGAATGAATAGCATGAGCAATACTTTCATTGTAATTCGATGATAGGCCAGCAGCTAATAGCTTTGAGCATCGTGATTGTGGAACACCACGAGTAGCTACTGCTAAAGTAACGAGTAAAAGGGCAATAAATACTTTCATTTCTTGTATTCTAAATAGAAAATAAATAGATTATGAAAAATTAGAAACATTATTTCATATACTTACGTTGCAGGTATTTTCAGTGAAATAATATGAAAGACGAAGTACATCTCTTAAATACGAGCATGATGTACGATGACAATCGTAGAAAACTGAAGATAAGCTATCACATAGAATTCTGGTCATCAATGACGTCGCATTATTTTCGAAAACAGGTTGCTTCTATTATGATATTATATTAACAGTATTGAAATTTCGTTTTCGTTTTATTTTGAGCTAACCCATGACTATAGTGTCAATAGCACGTAAGTCGCGCACTATCTGTATTCGTAAATATAATTTTTGATTTTTAAATATTTTTAGCTCATCGGATTGGTTGTTAAAACTATTTTGATTATGATTCAGCAAAATTGCAGATTCTTTTTGTTTATTGAGAATACTCAAAATCCTCATGAGAGAGAAACTTTTCTTTTGATAAATATTGATTGAACTTATCCGGCAATAAATTAAAAGATATTTTCACGTTTCAAACTCATAATCTAAAAATCTATTTGCAAAAAAGGCGTACATCTATTGATCAGTTAATTTAGATCTAAAATTTCTCTTCGATCTTTGATCAAATCAAGAATTCCATCAAATGTCGACTTGAACAAAAACAAAAGAGAGAAGTAGAAGAAAACACTTTCTACGGATAAAGCCAATGATTAAGATCTTGAAGTTGTGCAAGAAACTCAAGTACATAAGCAGCAGCTTTGGTCATATGTAAATAAGCAAATGTATTTAGATTTTCTAATGTATCGCATTTTCGATGATAGCATGGGTCGAGATCTGTATTTGCCATTCCACCTAATGTTGAGCCCAACATTTTCAAATATCGATCACGTTGTTCTTGATTTTTAATATCATCAGCACCAGCAAAGAGGCCTCCACAAGCAATGCCTTCAGCAAGAAATGGACCATAATCACTTCGACCACTGAAGTCAGTATAATCCCATGGTAAACGATTCTGTTCGAAATAATCAACAAATAAACGTGTTATTCGATTACTGCCAGGTATAGCACGTGGTGGAGTTGTTTGATTATTTGCTGTTTTACCATCGTAAATACCGAAAATAAAATTGGGTGATGCTAACATATCAAAATTAAGATTCACAGAGTATGAGCCAAGAGAGCCATCAGTTTTAGCTTGTTTGACAAAATCTTGTGAACCTAATAGACCAGCTTCTTCTCCGCCCCACCAGCAGAATTTAATACGTGAATTCATTTTTGTTGCATAATTTGTATGCGCTAATAAATGGGCTAAATGCAAAGCCATCGCTAATGTAGCTGCCATTCCACTACCATTATCATTTAGACCAGGACCTAATAATTTAGAAGAAGAAAAAAAATCCCAAAGGAATACTTATTTGCGTATCTTATCCAATACTAAAACAATATAAAATTAATTACCTGCTGATACACTATCGCTGTGACTACCAACCACAATAGTTCGATTAGCATTGCCTTGTTTTGTATCTGCACATACATTTGTTACAATAGCAGGCGGAAGGGATTGAAACTCTACACGTATGTAAATACGAGAAATGTTTCCCAAAATAAGGCGCATGCCTGCTTCATATGAAAGAAACAATGTTGGTAGAGTATTATTTTTTGGTGCACGAGTATTGTTCAATGGTTCTACGCGTTCTATTGTAAGTCCATCATTGTAAACAAGAAATGCACTAACTCGTTTCTGTGTTGCCAGAAGAATTTTATGTACAAATGTACAGTTACCTCGTCGAACTAATGCTACATCACCTTCTTTTGTTGTATTCCAATCTTCTAAATAACAACCTAAACTTGCCACCACTGATAATGGTCGGCCATCAATCAATGACCAATTTCGAGCCGCAGTCGAACGATCCATAGGAACGAAATCTTTTGGGAATGTAAATAACGATGCATTCGATATATTAGGTACAGACATAAGTATAGGATTAGCACCGAGTTCAACACGAGGAACAGAAAAATAATATTTTTGAATATTAAAATAATTTTCTTTATTCAATTGTGATGTGACATAATCAATTGTTCGATTAAATGAAACTGTTCCCATCGCACGACTCTCAAATTGTCGAAGATGAATAAGCATGTCTTCAAGTGTGATCGAATCCACTAATGAAGATAATTCTTTTTTTACCAATGATTCATTAGTGCGCGTCATTGTAGATGCAATTGGTATTGGTATTGCAGAATAAGAAGACATTTTTGAAACAATGACGGCTACGAGAATAAGAATGACGAGTAGAAAAAGAAAAATTAGGCCAAAAAGTGCATATTTGTAAAGATAATTTTGTTTTTTGGTTCCTAATGATGATACCGATGGAGCAGATTTCATAGGCATGGCAGCTGAATCATCATTCGGCATTGGTCTTAATTGACTTTGAAGTACTATGCCGTCATTCATTGTGATAAAATGTAAATATGCTTATGATTGATTTTACTCGTATAAAATATTCTTTTTTATACCATGATAAACTTTATAAACGGTATTTTTCTTATCTGTTTCGTTAATCGATATAATGTCAAGCGAAAGTTTGTCGATTATTTAATATATTACCAAATAACAAATCGCTTTCACTAATGTGGAATCATGAATGAAGTTTTTTCTTCTTCATAGAAGTGACTATGTACACTCGAGTACAACATAGTCAATCGGTTATGTGCATTCCAGTGTACAAAGCCAGTTTCATAACTAATTATTCCTTAACAAATTGATTGCGTCTATCTTAATGTAGATAGTTAATTTGTTTTTTATTGTGTGCTGAAAATATCAATTCTTTATTTTTATTATTTATTAATATATAAATTAATTCAATTTTCTCTATTTGTTTATAATATTTTGTAAAGCGTATATATCCTGTTGTTGTTTCTTAAATGCAATTTATCTATCGATGATGCACGTTAAATGATATTTTCATTTGACTAATAGAGTTTCATCTGTTGCGTGTCATTAAGCTTCAAAACAAAACAAAAAACGTTATTTCAAGAAAAACACAATTATTTAATACAAGACAATATTTATTTTAAACAACCATTTTCAAATTTTTCTTTTTTGCACATATTCTAGGCAGCAGATTGATTTTGTACTAGTTATTAGTTTGTGCTTATTTATTTCCTTTGAGTTCGATGCATCGATGCCTATGATATTGGCACCTTGTCATATTCATATTCTGATGAGTTCAATTCAATTTGTGTAATAGAAAACTGAGAGATATTTATTATCGAGAATATTTAAAAATAAATTTTGTAGCTCATAGAAAAAATTAGATAGTCACTCGCATACACACATTTCGTACTGATCATAATAATAACATAAAGTTATCTACACAGGCTTATGGATAATGTGTTATCGACTTATTTGGCATTGTTGTGCAACCAACTAACAGTGGATCGAAGGTAATGTTCAAAACGTTGACATTTTGTTCTTATTCTTGTGACGACACTTATTTAGAAAGAAAACAACTGAGATCTTCAGTTTTTCAGATCAATACTAGAAACATAGATAAAAACTAATATTAACTAAAATATTTCATTTATTTCCCATTCAAGAATGAATATGTTCATAACAAAATTGAATATCACGCCATAGTTTCAGCAAACAAAACTATTTAGCGTTCACTTTGTTTAATACATGAACTATGTTCATCACTCTGCCATACATGATTATCAATACAAAAACAGCCAACACACCACACATATGATTACACCGTTGTCGATGTATTACATCTGAATCAGTATAGGTTAGTTGACATTGTGCACCACAATGAATATATTGTTCATTTGGACCACAGCTTTCACTACTCACAGCTATCAAATAGTAAAAAATTCTTTTTTCGGAAAACTATTAATTTAAATTCACTTACTTCGTCGACCTTCGATGATCAACGGCATTGCAAGAAAAAACTGATGCCTACGTATATCATACAGAATCAATAGTAATTAAATTGATTTAAATAAAGTAAAATACGAAATGATTCATTTGCACTTTTTTTATACATGCAAAATAAAAAAAAACAGAAATCTGTCGTTTCAATTTTTTATTATATCAAAAAATACACACGAAAGAATAACAACTATATACTTTTATCTATTAATTGTCCAAAGGTTTCATAACAACTTTCCAAAGACCGTCTTTTGTTGGTTTTAATACTAGATTTTCTCTTGGTGCGTCTCGGGTGAATGTTTTTAATTTTTCATAAGCACGAACTTTTGCACTTCGCTTTAGACGGTCGCGTATGCCACTGCCCACTTTTAATTGTTTATTAAATACTAACGTACATTTATGTTCATTTATACCACGTGTACGTAAATCAATTTCATGTTCAACTAGTTCAATTGAAAATTCCGTATCATTATTACCAGTTTTCGATACAATTGTATTACGAAAATAAGATTTTATTTGACTAGAATCTTCACGAGCTTTTGCTACGTGGTCCTTTGGTGTACGAGCTAGCATTCGTTCACAAATGCCATTGAGCAGAAGTTCAATTTGTTCACGACGTTGTTCTCTACAGATATACAGATATACATAAAATGAAACATTTCTTAAAAAGAATATAAGACCAATAAAATAGTTCTTTTCCAGAAACCAACTTTTCCATTCGAGATTTGTTATTTTCCATAAATATATCCCATTTAGTGTTGCATTTGTTCAATCGACAATAACGCTCCTAGTTATCATCGCTTATCCATCATAGAGGATAGTTAACTTTTTATCTAAATCTTAGATATATTTCCGATTTAACAAGTTTTCTATGTTCAATCCTTAGAACAGAACTGAACCAATTAAAAATCATTTTCAAATGATTTCCTAATTACTCGAAACATTCAAGAATTAACTATTCTACATGCTAAGTGAATCCAATTGATTCATTATACCCTTACATAGTAAGGTTATTTTTCTTACAATTCGACTTTGATTCTTGAAAATAGAATCAATAATATTCTTCTAATACTATCTATTTTTCTATGCCATATGAATTGGACATCCATTTGTAAAAACATGATATCGGTACTTATTTCATTGAGGCTACCAAGCGCCTTTCAATACATTTGACGTAGGCTGCCAATCGCCTACGAGGTACCGTTAAAAGAAATGTAAGAAGCTGCTCAGTAAAATATTCTAACTTTTTTTTCTTAACAATTAATTTGAAACTATTCATAATAACACTCATCTGAATCGAATTCATAATTTAACACGAAAACAACCATCGAGAAGGGATGATAGATGAGATGATATATGATCAGGATCATCTTGATTTGGAGAATTATTTAAAGTAGAGGTTGAAATAGAACCTTCAATATTATACCGTTTGTCATTGTCTATTGTTTCATCATCGCTTTGATCAGAATCGATGATGGGCTGATCTAAAACAATATGAAAATTACATAGCTTGATAAGTAAATATAACCTTTCTTTCTTACTCTTTGCTAGTGCATGTTCTTCACCTTCCATACGTTTCTAATAATGAAGTACACAACATAATTATTTAATTTACAAGTATTCTTCTTTACATACTCGTTTTACATTAGGTTGAAATGGTGTATATGATGGAAATTCTTCTGGATTTGATGATAGTATGTCTAAATTTAAATCATATTCAAAAAATTCTCTTCTTAATGCAAGTACTTACTACTTTCCATTGTTTCCATTCGTTCTATCGGACCAATCAAAGTTCGTCCAATTTTCGTTGCATAGCACATTATATAATGATTTTGTGCTTGTCTAACAAGTGCTTGAAGTTCGATAGCTGCAAGATCCATGATAGTTTGTTTTTCATGACTAGAAATGCAACCCATATATTACACGTATTCAAAATAATGAAATGAACTTACTAAATAATAAAACAATGGCGTCGTGCCATTGATGAATCAATCGAAATAGAACAAGCTAATGAATTTCGAATTTTTTTTATATTACAATTCTTGAAAAAGAATGATAAATAGTACGGCATGACGTAATACATATTGTTGTACTTACGCGTTGACCCAATAGATACCGTTCTGTATCAAACATGTCCGAAGGAAGAGAATTAAACAACGACCCATAAACTATAAGTTGATGTCTATCCGGCTAAGGCATACAAAAAATTTTTAAAGACAAATTCATTCATGAATAAATTAACTTACATCATAGATAGGTCGATCATTGTTTTCAAACGATATTAAATCATAATGAATACGTGTACAAATACCTAAAAAACGAAATTCATCATGACGTATTTTTCATAGAAAATAACAAACCATCAAATTGTTTTCTATCGTTTTCATAATGCGATTCAATTACTAGTTGAAGTCTTGGTTCGTCTTCATCAGCGCAAATCGATTCTAATTCTCCTGGTACATAGTTACCATTGCATGTAATTGAAATATTTGAATTTTTCGTTAACTAGAAAGAATTTTTTCATTTATTACTTCATGCTTTTTCTTTCTGTATTCGAATGTACCTGTTGCCAATATTCTACTTGTGTAGCTGCGACACAAACTTCATGTGAAAGACCGCGAAGAGAAATAAATGTTTGTTTTCTTGTACTAGCTAATAAAGCAGTATTCGCCATTTGAATTTATATGTTTTGCCTATTAAGCTAACAATTCACACTATATATATATATATATATATATCTATGAATAAAATAGACATCTCAGCCTATTCAAGAAAAAAGAAAGGTTATTATATAGAGAATTTTTTTATCTCTTTAAATGATTAATTGTTCGTCGTCCGCCGTTCCATTGATAATTGACCATCGGTCACTTACTATGCGAAGTCGATAGATTGTTTAGAAAAATTCTGTTTTCTCACCTAAATGTTTTCGTGAACTTTTATTAATTCAAATCATCAATATAGGCATAGAAATCGAATTGAAAATAAAAGTCACTTCTCAGGAATTTATTAAAGGAAAAAATTGATAATCGTCAGATACGTTTTTATTTTTCATTATGATATAAGAAATATTAAAAAAAAACGGATTTACCGACGAGTCACGTTTCAAAGCAAATGTTTATGATGATCGTCGTCCCATACCACTACATATTGGATGTTGCAAATTAACATTGGCAACATATTGATTATCATAGGTTAATGTAAATCGATTGTTAGTACCAAGAAAATTCGTTGTTATTTGAAAGCCATTTTTATCTTGAGGTATTGGTATAGGTACTTCAATTGTAGTTGAACCATTCAATTGGGCTTTACATGTTTCACCAGCAACACGTGTTGTTACTAAAAGTTGTGTATCACTTAATTTACTGATGGTTGCTTGTTCCGATAAGCAACAACATTCAACTTGATTACAGCTATCATCAACATTGAATGTTCCTAACCAATTGCTAACTACTCGACGTGCCATAGCGCTGCATCTTGGCGATTGTAAATTAACATGGGCAATATATTGACTATCGGCACTGAGAGTAAATCGATTGTACGTACCAAGAAAGTCCGTTGTAATTTGAAAACCACTCTTATCTTGTGGAATAGGAAGTAGTACACTGATTGTTGTTGATCCATTGAGTTGCTGTTGACATGGTACGCCAGCAACGTTAGCCGTGACTAAAAGTTGTGAATTTTCAGCTTTTGATATGGTTGTCTGTTCGGATAAACAGCAACATTCGGCCTGATTGCAACTGTCATCAACATTGTATATACCTAACCAATTAGGTGCATCAGCTGAGAGAGTTCCAGTTAAGAGAGCTGCACTAATAGTTAAAAAAATGGTAATAATATTCATATTAGAATATTAATACAGATGGTAGTACGTGATAATGAGAAAAAAATGAAACGAATAGCTTTTGTTATATAGAGTTATATTCGTGCAACGATATCATTGAGTCTGACAAGTTGACGCAAAACAATATTTGCAATAGCCACATAGAAACGTGTGATAAAAATGATAATGTTTGCTGTTAACTTGACTCAGAAATATTCATCTGAAAAAATTGCACATGTTAAAATTTCAAGGCTAGCGTTTAGGTTGTCAGAACAAAAATTGTTTTGGTTTTACACAATCAAGTAGTAACCATAAATTTCGAGTATGCTATAATGATGATAAGTTTTTTTTATTATTATCATAATTGTCTTTAGAGTTTTTCTTGTAATCAAACATCGAGTAAAACGTCTTAGGATAAGAGAGGTAATCAATAAATATTTGTTTTAGTGATTTTTATAAGTCGATTATTCTTGCTGCGAACTGATATCTTGCTAGTAGGAGATCAAACAGTACATCCGAATGTGAAACATTGCTGTATTGCGAAACTGTTCATAAGCATAATTGGATTTTTTTCTATTTTTTAGTGGTCAAAAGGCAATATTATTGTTTTCTTCAATCTACACAATTTTAATTTACGCATATACATATAGACAAGTTTGTCTAGTAAAATTTTGCAAAGAAAATATCTAACAGAAAGTTTATCAAGTGACTCGGCTATTTATTTAAAAAGACAAGCGACTGCACAAATCAAACATTTTATTTTCTATTTCATTCTTAATTCATACACAAGGAAAAAACAACTGATAAGAATATAAGTATCGATGATGAGAAAATCGACGGTGTTGTGTTTACCTCGTTTTCAACTCTTATTCCCGTACCACTACATTTCGGATATTGTAGATTAATATCAACAATAAATTTGCTATCATAAGATAATGTAAATCGACAGTCACTACTTAGAAATTTGGTTATTATTTGAAAACCATTTTTTTCTTGAGGAATAGGAATTAATGATGATATTGAAGTTGAAGTATTGACTATATCTCGACATGCTGCACCAGCAACATTAGCTGTGATTAAAAGTCGGGTATTTTCAGGTCGCGTTATTATTGCACGTTTAGATATACAACAACATTCAGTTTGATCACAACTCTCATCGACATCGAATATGCCTGTCCATTCAGGAAATACGATCGATATGCATGTATGAAAAAAAGCGAAAGTGAAAATAAAATGAATAATATATGCTTGCATACTTTTATATATATAAAATTAATAATAATACTAATAAATGTAGCGCAATTTTTCGAAGATTCGACATAAATATAATGCAGCATCATTCAATTCACTTGATTGTAATCACTAGATCGATTATTAGAATTTGCTCGATAGGATAATAGGTTTTTCATAATAAAAAAAATTTATATGTCAAATAGAATTTTTATCATCAAGCTCTCGAAAATATCGACAGGAATAAATATATTAAATATTTTTTTATAGAAAAATTATCAAATTAAATTAGAATTAATCTAAATTCGATATCAATAACACAACCAACAAAGAAACATAAATCTTTCAAATACGTTGACCTTTTGATATTTAAAATAAATTTCTTTTTAAACTAAACAATGAATTAATCTTTAGTATAAAATATCTTTTCAATTTTATTTTTACACGAAACAGCAAAAAATATTTTTCATACTCAAGTTAAAAAAAAACAATCCGCCTCAACCTCTTCAAATAACAATACTAAAAATAAATGAAATCCTATGAAAAGAAAAGAACGAACTTTGGAATTACGCGTTTAACAAACTATATGAATAATTCTCTTCGATGTACATGCAATAAAAATATTACATCTCTAGACGCTTTGAATCAAATTCTAAAAAGTTGAAATTTATGTTTTATTTTTAATTCGACGCCGATTATTGTTACCAGACGAATGTTTTCGGAGTTCATCAAGTTGAATATGTTGTAGCGTCACATTATGTGCTAATCGAAGAATAACAGGTGGGGCAACGTTAACCATTAACGCTTCTTTCTACCTGGCAGCACATAAACACCAACGATCATCATCACGTAAACCAGAAAATTGAGTAGACTTCCGTGGTGTTGATAGATCATTACCACGTGAACGACTATATTCAAGAAATTCACTCGTCATTTGTGCACATACTGAATGAACACCATAATCATTCGAACCATGCCATTCTCATAAGCCTTTATAACAAGATTAAGAGAAAAAAGATATATATTCTAATTTCAAAGTCCAAATAATAATTTCACACCTCATCGATAATAACCTGTCAGCAGTAATACGGAACATCGGTGAAGTTTTTTTACCAAAATGCATTGATTTGTTCATCGATATGAGCTATATTAGCATGAACGCAGATAACGAATGAAAGAAACGTAAATAACCACATGTTGCCTTCTTTATTTTCTCAAATAATTATATAATATACTGACATCAACAGGATTGACAAATACGTTATGATTTTGTTATGTAACTATATCTATATATATGTATATATCGAGTTTACGATTGGTCGACGATTTTGATGGGTGGAGAAATATGTATTGAGTCATCTGTCATAAGCCTTGGGAAATGTTTATTTAATCAATTAATACGATTTCATAAGTTATGCAAACATAGAAATATTCTATTTATATTTAACTTAAAAATTCACGACTCTTTTTTTTCGTTTTGTTGTTAGATTTATATATCTTGCCTCAATAAATACAAAATGCTGATTTCAACAGTTACTTATTAATCATGATGGTATCAAGAATTAGTTTTAAGACATACGTCTCACATTCTTTTGTTTTTTCATTATACAAATCGAAGGCAAGAAATCGTTTGGCTTCGAAAATTTTGACATGGCTTTAGTTTTTAACATCTTTCGTTTGTTTTGTCTGTCAAAACAAGTCTGACAAATAAACATGTTCGGTTTTTCTTCATCGTAGGTCATGAACGATCACATAAAAGTAATATTTTTTCAATTTGACTATGGACACATCTAGGACGATGATATGGATATTTATTTTATTCTGATTTCTACATGTAAAATATTCCTACACAAAATAAATTACAAAAATTGATTTTGTTTTCAATTAACCAAAAAATCTAGTCATGCAAACATTATCGTTTTGTGGTTATACATATGCAATAAATAAAAAAACAAAGCAATCGATTAGTTCTCATTGCATTAGGAATTTAGTTGAACTCACATTTGAATGATCGATATGATATAGTTCGTTTCTTTTTCAACATCGTCCGATGACATTGTTTCGAAAGCCATCATATTTATCGAGTATTATTTAGTTGACACATAAATATAACTTCAAAACTTAATTTATGAATTAAATTTATACGCAAGATTACTTTTTTTTCCATTTAAAGTGAAACAAAATTTTCGATATGAAGTGTAAAATAAAGTGACATTTTAGTAGAAAGTTCTTCTTTACATAAATCAGTTTTGCATATATTCAAATCTGTCTTGCTTGTTTTGTTGTTTTTTTCTCACTGAAACGATTCACTCACTGCTGCCGATCATGTTCATCATCATAATCATTAGAAAAAAAAAAGACAAAATAATAGAAGAAAAAGTTTAGAAGTAGAAGCCGACGGCATGTACATTTTCGATCAAGAAACACATGAAGAAAGAAAAGAGTAAGTGCAAGTACAGATAATGAGAAAAAAAGAAAAAAAAGAGACGATACGATATGAAGTTGCCTTGGTCTACTGTACGTGCGCGATATTTATTCTACATTGTTAATCATTTTTTTGCAATTCTAAATAAAACAAGAAAAAATAATGAAAATTCGAAAGTTTGAAATAAGCAAAAAAATGTAAATGCTTGAGTATCTATCACCCACTACGTAAAAAGCAATAAGGAAGCAAGCGTAAAGCAAAATTCCGGTGGTTAGCCCAGAATGCTTAAGTATGGCTATGTTTCTCTACTTTTATTTCTATCAATCTTGTCCACTTGATGAATGTGTGGCTGGTGCTGGGTTCTCGTCGTGATCAGTGCCATCGTCTGCTTTTACACCTTTACCTGACATCGTTCCATTATTGCCTGTATTGGTAGTAAGTACAGTGGCCATTTGTGTTGTTGATGATTGTTGTGGTGCTGCTACTGCGGCTGGTGTAGCGCCAAGTGTTGTAGTCACATTTGTACCAGCTGTAGCTGTGGCTGCTGTCGATGATGATGCTGCATTAGCTGCTTTTTGTTTGAGCATAGTCCAATCAAATGTGTAATCATATTGATGATTTAATGTTCGAAACAAAATACGAAATAATTGACGTAAATACATATAATCTGGTGCTTCTTCAAATCGAAGACCACGACAATAGTTTAAATACATAGCAAATTCAGCTGGAAATCCCTATTTAAAACAATAGATTAAATTTCTTATGATAAAAAATGGGTTCATATTTCTTTGTTAATTACTTTGCAAAGAATTTCAACAGGTGTTGACATTTTCTTTTCAGATATTTTTTCATATTTCTGTTTTTTTGTTGCTGCTTTAAGACCTTGCCATGGTAATGAACCACGATTAAAATACATTAAAACATAGCCTAAAGATTCCATATCATCACGACGACTACAACAGAATAAGTCATAATAAAAAAAAAGTTTTGTTTTTCTATTTATTGATGATTTCATTTTAACTAACCTTTGTTCAATACCAAGATGAGCATTGATGGAAGCATAACGAGCTGTCCCTGTTAGATTTTTATCTTCTCGATAGGGAATGTGCTGACGAGTTCTATTGTCACGGTATTTTTTCGCTAGACCAAAGTCAATTAAAAACACCTAGAAAGAAAATTCTTCGTTAGAATAAAACAAAAAGAATCTAAATTTTAATCATTATTTCACTAACCTTATTACAATGACGTCCTATGCCCATTAGAAAATTATCCGGTTTGATACTAAATGATAATAGAAATTTAAATTAGAATGAAAGATTGTTACAATTACAAAAAGAAAAAACTGAGACTTACTCGCGATGAATAAAATTTTTATTATGCACAAATTCAATACGTCCAATCATCTTAAAAATAGATTATTTTTTTCTGTTGAATCAAAATTTCTTTGTGATATGTAATTGTCTAACCTGATCGGCAAGCATAAGAACAGTTTTCATAGTAAATCGTCGTGAACAAAAATTAAAGAGATCTTCAAGTGATGGTCCAAGTAGATCCATAACAAGAACATTATAATCCTTTTCTTGTGCATAATATCGAATATGTGGTATGCCAATTCCACCTTGTAATATTTTATACAATTTTGATTCATATAATAATTGTGGATGCCTTGCTTTAACTGATTCAAGTTTAATAGCAACTTCTTCGCCATTTGTTATATTTATACCCAAATAAATATCACCAAATGAGCCCGAACCTATCTTCCGTACTAATCGATATTTTCCACCAATTAAAAATTCTGATTTTGATGACAAATGTAAAGAAGAGCCTGGGCCTGATGTTATATCCATGGTTGTACGAACGTTGTTTTTATTTAATTATTTATTTATTATCTGATTTGAATTGATGGAAATAGATAAATGTAAGAAAAGGATCTAGAAAAACACAATACGGAAAATACTAATGATAAAATGATTGTCAATAAAGATGACTCAGAATATGTTGACCATGAGAGAGATTTTGATATATACACACACAGCCTGATGCTTTCGCCATGTCTCCGGTCGCTTTCTCCTTTCACATGAGTAAAACAGTTAGCTGAGTAATTTTCAGTCGTCTATGCAGATTGTCGCAATTTTCATGTAGAATAGAGACATCTATGAAAGTCATAACTTGCGTTATTATTATTATTCGATATGCATATTATTATTATTACATTTAGCGAGCGATGTGCAATGCTTGTGTAAGCACTGACAGTGAACTATTAGTAAAGAGTCCATTGAGGCGTGTAGTACAGAGAATTGTTGGTACGATGTAATATTATGAAACTAATTATATTGCAATATTCTTTCTCTCGTTTTTCTTTTATTTTCACCATTTTATCGTTTTTTTTTTTTTTTATAAAAAGGACTATGAATAGAAAAATTATTTCGTTCAATCGAAATAAAATATCTTGTATAAAAATATAATCTATCGAATGTTTTCGTTTTAAAAATCTTCAATTGCTTGTCGAATAGCTTCATGAAATCCATCTGGATTATCGATCATCATTTGATGGCCAGCACGAGGAATAACAATAAGTCGAGCTGATTTTGCAGCATTTAATCGTTGATTTAGTGAATCAACTGTTCTTTGACCGGCTCTATTCAAAATGTAAAATTAATCAAAAAGCACAAGCGAATACTTGAACATACTCTGCATCCATCCAATCATGATCACCATAAAAAAATGTAATACGTGAAACTTGACAATCTTTCAAACGATTTTCTAACGGATTATATGCAAAAACACTGGATTTAAGAACACGAGGCAATGCAAATTCTCCACTGCCTGGTTGTGCACATAGATGATACTAAATAAATATTTTGTTTTTTTCTCCAAACAAATAACTGAATTCAATAAGATTATGATACATACAAGATATTGAGCTACATCGTCTTTGGGCAATTTCAATGTTCCTTTCTCAATTTGTTCTGCAAGAGCTGTTGATGTTTCAAGACCTGCATCACTTGTAGCTGCTGATGTTTCATAAGTTGCTTCATTGTCTGTTGTTGGCTTTTCTTCAACAGCTGGTCCCATGAAAAATCGTCGTGTCACATATGCTGTTACGGGTTTTGGACCTACGGGACCAATAAGTCGAACAATAGATTGAGGTGTATAACCACGATTCCACATAAATACAACGAAAGTACGTAAAATACGCCATCCGACTGAGAGACGATGTCGACGAGGAGGTTCAGGTGTGTCAGGTTCGTTTGGTACACCGACAGGTGAAGCCAATATTAAATGTGATACCCGCGATGGAAATGATATAGCATAGGATGCACTAATATAAGCACCGAAAGAGTGTCCTATAAAAAACAAAAGTTCAAAAATTTATATTTTATATGTCTAATGAATGATTTACCGAGTAAATTCATTTTATCAAGATTAAGTTGAATGCGCCATCTTTCAAGAGCATCAACAAAAAAATTCTCAGCTTCATCTGATGTTTTAGCTCGAAAACGTGGTCGTGATGATCGTCCACAACCAAGTAGATCAATAGCGTAAACATGTTCATGTTTCTCAGCTAATGCATCAAGATTAAGCAACCAAAAACCGACTCCAGCACCATAACCATGTAGAAGTACTAGGGGTGATCTTGGATTTGACCGTCGTGCTTTTGGATTGTATGTATGAATTGTGTTTATGGTCAAGTCATCACCGATAGGCACTTGACTTTGTTCGAATGGAAACCGAACAACTGATAAAACACGACGTTCAGCTTCAGCCAATCGAGTTGATGATGTCGGAATCCAAATCTGTCGTATACGTTCCCAAACACCGACCATATTTTGTTCAAAAAATACAAAACTTATTTATGTGACTAAGTTTTTACTCATTCGTCACTCAATGAGAGCCAATGTTATTTCAGTATTCGTTAATACAAGTGAAACAACCGCGTTAATATTCTCGTTCCTCGAAGGAAAGGGACGAAGAAAAGAAATGCTTCGTCATATTTCATGACATAACGAAATAAACGGTAATCTACCATGCATACATGACATAATTGTTACAAAAGAAAAGCAGATGGCAACTGCTTCAAAAACTATTTGTCAAAAATAAACAACATAAAAAAAGTCTATGAATAATAAATCTCTTCAATATTGTGATACAATGCAGAATATTGGAAGCACGCATGTCTACATATATATTATCTATATTCAGTCAATCATCAGAAGAAAATTTAATTTTGTATTCTACTTCATTTAAGATTATTTTATTTGATAAAGATTGTCGAATTAGGATAAAATTTCATGTTCAAAACTACATTTTTGTAATCAATTTTATAGACTTCTACTGTTTCATAGAATAAAACAAGACAATCTGTGTTTCTATGATATTCATTGGTTTGACTAATTTATTTTTGCTATTCTAATAGTTAAAATTCAGAACAATAACATTTTTCTTTTTTATCGCGGATCTGTTTAGATGCCTGAATTAATAAAGACGTGAATAACATTATTTCCATAGAGAATTCTTCTTCTTTAGATATTAATTAAATGTATTTGAATGAATTCTATTAACATGTTTTAGAAATTCTACTAGAATATTCATTATTGAATTCGCACTTACTTAGATCCAGTGTACTACAACCAGTACTTACAGTTTTCTATTTATTGAGTATCGATTAATTTATTATCTTAGTTTAAAATACTACAGTGCTTGTTGGTGTTGATTTTGATTTATTTCAAAATTCAAATAGATCTTTTTATCGATGAATACAAAAGGTTTCTGTGTGCTTGATTTGGAAAGAGAACTTGTGATGATGAACAAATTTAAGAATATCAATAGCTGCTTGAATGCATCAATATGAATTTCGAATGTGTGTATTTAAAGTTTATATAGAAGTTTTAGCTTCGAAATCCAAAAGATACGAACTCACCATTGATTTATGGTAAACAAGATTCAAAATAAATATGAAATATTTTTTTCAAATCAAAGTCACCGTTTTGGATATATGTCTCGCGTATTGAAAAGTAAACTTATTTACTCAATACTAGGATAGATCGTGACGACTGTTCGGCATCTGATGACGGTAAAAGATTTAAATCAGAACAGAACGAGTATAAAAATGTATATTTTTTTCAAAATTTCGAATATTCATCACATCTATCGGATGCATTTGATTTACATAATTAATATTTTTTCTTTAAAAAGTAGAGCATTATTTAACATAGCAAAATGTTAATATATATTCGTTTTAGGGAGTATACTTCAATAAGAATGAAACATCATTCCCACTATAGAATCTAATACGAACAAAATACTAGTTGATTTTTGATCTTCGCTTGATGTCACTTCTTGTCGGTGTATTTAAGACTAAAGTAAAAGAAAGAAAAAACAATAGTGAGAATCATGATTAAGTGTTTTTTTTTTCGAGTAGAGTCCAGTCACAGTAAAAAATTCATTTATGGCAGTCAGTTACTTCCTCTCGATCGGCAACGCACAGAAAAATCCAAGTTTTGTACTATTCGCCATTCGTTGTAAAACAATATGGCAACGGGGCAAAATCCTAGGCCGAGTGGTACTGGTAAAGCCAGTAACTTTTACATGGCGTGTCGCGAAGGTAACGCAGAACTAGTGAAACGATTATTAAAAACAACGAATGTAAGAGAAATCAATCAAATCGAGGAATCAAACAACAGTACGGCTCTTCACGCAGCTTCTTATTTCGGACATCCCGAAGTGGTAAAAATTCTATTAGAGCATGGCGCTAATACACATACTCATAATGGACATGGTAACATACCTGAACAAGAAGCTTCAAATGAACAAGTTAAAGAACTATTTCGAGCATATAAGACTAAATAACATTAATTCTATATTGGTTATTTTTATTTTTATTCAAAATTTTGATAGAACATATTTAATCATGAGCCAAATTGCACGACTGTTTTTTCGCATGATTTCATAGATTTTATATGAAGTAAATATGCAAAAGTATTGTCTTTATGATTTTATTTTGCGCAGTTTAGGATAATTGATTTTCTCTGAATAATATATATTAACTGTGAAAAAATTTTCTTTCCATTTTTAAAATCAAGTTTAATATTGTGACAATCATTTTGTCTCATTTCATTTTATTTCATGGATCGTATCAAGACAATGAAACTTAATCTTGAATTGATCGAGTTTATATGATTCAATATCAATCGAATGAAATATCTTTTCGAAGATAGTTATTTTATAATTCATAACTTTCGTAACAGCGACGTTCAATTCTTAGATGATGATAACTAGTTCATAGAAGTTAGATACCGAGAATTTGAATCATAAAATGACCAATAAAAAATGCGTTTATTTTAAAATCAATGTTGATTTTAGTGTTCGAGAAATCTTAAATGTAAAACTTTGATGTTTTCTAAAATTTCAACAAAATAAATTACAATTATATTTTTTTGGCTAATAATAAAAATGGCACCCTATCAGATTTGCAATTAGATGTACATTGAAAAATCCATATAAATACTGTTTTTCTCATTACTATTTGGATGTAAGCAGCATCCTAACATCTGATACATAGAAGTTTAGCTCGTTCTATTACAGCCTAGCAAAGTCTATAAATGCACTGATAGATTTATTAAAAATAGCTTTCGATACGAATTGTTATTTTGTGCTGACAAAAAATGTTTCTCTTTCCTCTCAATCTTTGTTAGCATTGAGCTAATGGTACCTATTCAGTTCATAATTTTAATGACGATAAATTAATCATACAAAGAAAACATGCTCAGTTCTTCTACGAAATAATATATTCGATCAATAGTGGTTCATTAGAAAATTGATTACTAATTGTTGAATAATATAAAAAAGTAGAAATTGGAATGATTTAATGAAATATTCTACAGCCAAGCTACTCTGTATTTTAAGTTCAAATTAACGTTTTTGTGGCTATCTGCTCTTTCCTAGGCTCACGTCATCGAGGAACCGAGATAATAATTATTAACATATCTTATGTTAGCAATAGGGCGAAGAAGAAATATTCATCGATTATTAGTATTTTCCAAAGCGGCAAGAAATAAAACTATAGCGAAATATGAATTACTATAGTACGAATAATATCCTTAAAAAATGTATTGTACGATTCGTGTTCTCATCTTGTCACATTTCTCTATTCATTACTATTCATACGTAGTCATTGATGCACTCTACTACAAATTTCTATCCATTTAGATAAACGAAAAAGATTTCTTACATAGGAGCAATTAATCAAATCGTACCACAGAACATTAGACATGAGTTCCATAATCTAGTCCATCAAAAAGGCTACGGTGAGCGTTTCTTTCAATAATCGTTGCCGTGAACATTTTTATTTGATCGTTACGAATCATTTCTCGTTAGTTACTGTAGTTCATTTATTATTCCCTATTCAACAAATGTTTGTTTTTACTAGTGTACCACTCGACTGCTACTCTGAATGAATGATATATAAAAAGTATACTAATTCAAGATGTCAAAGCAAAAGTTTAGATCTACCTCTTTGTTGGCTAGTGATATGCGCATTCACACGAACATTTATAAAATGGTTTCAGACTTTCCCATAGTTATATACCCATAGGAGTATTATAATCTTAATCTTATTGCCTATCTATTGTTCAATATCGGATTAAATCAATTGGTATCTTGAGGATGATAGTTCAAAAGTTCTAAAAGTCATCGGTCCATTGAAAACAAGCATGCGCATCTTTTATAACTTTAATAGAATATTGTAACTTACTAAATAAATACCAACTACCGAATGAAACACTATAACAATAAGATCATGCGCTATGCAATCAATTTTGCAAGTGCTTTAGTTGATAAAATATAATAAAAAAATATCGAGACAAATATTGATTCTAGACTCTCTTTACAAAACGCATCAGAAATCAAAAAAATATTTTCTCTGTGCATCTCAAAAACAAAATGATAACTTTCACAATAGGAATATGAGTGCATAGATGATCTAAATTTTTTTCATAACTACATATCCTTAAGAATCAAATTGAACCAAAACGTTCTACTGAACAATTAAATAGCATTTAGTCTACAAAATATATATATGGAGTGTATCAAATAAGAAAAAAAAACATGATACATGACAAGCATTATTTTGCACTTCGTTCTGTTAACAAATGAAAAATAGATACAAACTCGATAGTCATTTTTTAAATATTTCCTTTAATGAAAACGACACACGATAGTATTATTATAGTTTTTCATCTATAATAAAAAATTTAGATATGATACTATTTAGTCATCTAGTAAGATAAAATAATCTGACTAAGTTGAAAATTATGTTGAATAAAAACAAATTGATGAATTTTAAGCATCATTTCAGAACGTCTGCAACATACTGTTAAAATATATTGTAAATACAAAAATGTTATTTTTACATCCGTAAATTGATTTTGAAATTTATTAAGAAGACAATTTCATCTCAGTGTCGTTGTAACCATAGTTAAAGGTTTGGATGCGGCCGTTGTCGCTATCGTTGCCGATGCTAGGGATAAAAATATCAGGTTACATGAATGTTGAATCTAATATAAAACTGTAGTACTTACTTTTATTTAATGTAAGCAGCAAAATCACACATAGAATAACACCAATAAGTACCAATAGGCCAACACTAACACCTACAGCAATGATTCGTTTTTGCTGGGTCGATAATACTGAATTAGTCACTTTTTCACTGGCGTAGAATAGTCAAGAAAAATGAATGTTTATTTCTCTGTCAAAGGCAAAACTATGATAAACAATTACCTTTCAGTAGATGGTTCTCTTGATTTTTGTTCTATCGATTCTGAAGAGACTGTACTCACTTCTGAAGCTGACGAAAAATTTGTTCGTTCTGAATCAGTAGACACTCTCGGATTGATAGGTCCTATGCGCCCACGATTAATAATTCGCGTTGGTATACTGGCCATTGCTTTTTAAATCGAAAGTATTATTGTTTTCGTCTCAAACTAAAATATTCGATAATGTTCTGATCGATAGGACTCAAGTATCGCTTAATTTCACAAGACTTTTATTTTTTCAGCGTCCAACTGACACAGAAATGAACTTACACAAATAGCAAAGCATATTTTTGGATGACAATATTTTTTCTTGCACAATGCAGTATTTCTTTTCTTTGTTTTAGGTTTTTTCTTTTGTACTCTCTTTGGTAAAAAATATATATTATTCACAGAGAATTTAATTAAATATGCTTTTATTTGGTTTCTTAAAAAAACGCATTCTTTGATAATAAATTCATAGAATAATTAAAAAAAGACTGGTCAAAGCAAAATGAAAACAAATATAATAAATAACAAAAGAATTGTTACATGAAAACGACGAATAAAAAACATGGGATCAAATTGTGTCTTGTTGCTAATCAAGAGTTTCATATGTAGAATAAAAATTCATTTGAAGATTTATCTTAATTGAAATTATTTTTGTTTTTTGAGACGAAATTACTTCCTGTGAGAGAATTTGTTTTGTTCTCTAATGAACAAATTTTCAATTTATTTTATTTTGAAATAAATACAAGAAAAGAAAAAGAATTTATTAAAATTGTTGTAAATTATATTTATTTAAAAGACCGAGTACTTCAGTCGGTAGTTGCTCTTGACTTGTTGTTAGAATTCGCCGTCCTGTTTGACTGTCAATTATTTCTGTTAATATCGCATTTTTTTGTTGTTGCTGGGATGAAAATCGATTATTAAACGAAATGGGCCGTCGATTATTATGGTTGATATGATGATGATGTTGATTACTATGCAGACTATGAAATGATGGTGAAGGTGAAGGTGGATGTGAAAAGGCGGAAGTTGCATGTAATTCATTTACTGATTGATGTCGAGATAGAGGTGATTGCATAGATTGTAATTTGGATCTTTGCTGTTGTTGTTGTTGTTGTTGTTGTTGTTGTTGTTGTTGTTGTTGTTGCTGGGAAGGCGTGTGACAAACTGAACCACGAGATAATATTGAGGATTGATAATGGGATTGTGGTTGTGATTGAGAACGTGGCACGTAATTAGGAGGTTGAAGAATTTGAGGAATTGATGGTGATCGATGATGTAAATTTTCTGTTGATTGTACTCGATTATTAGTTGTCACTGGTACAAGTCGATCGGGCATTTTTTCATAACGAACAAATTTTTCAGTCACGTAATATTCGTTTGAGGGTCCTGCTGGTCTATGACCATCAATAGAAACATTGGTTTCTTGCTGTTGTTGGTGTGCCCGATAGTGATCAATAGTTTGTAAGTATTTAGCTGATTCAATTTCAGTCCGATTATCTCGTGATAGAAACCAACGTAATGTTTGATCTGTATATGATTTTCCATTGTATTGTGGCGAAAGAATTTGTTGAGCAGTTTGGCGAATTTCTTGTTGTGTCAATGGGGGTATCACTGCACGATACGGATCATTGACAATAACTTGAGGCAGTGTTGAACCAAGTGGACGACCTTGACGAGCTTCACAATCGAGAATATAAAGTATATTCCAATATTTCAATGAATAAGGTAAATTTGCATACATGACTCCTTTATATGCATGCGTTATTTTTTCTTCAATTCTAATTGTTTCGCCAGGTATACGAATATAGCGAATTCTTGAACGTGGCCCATCTTCTTGTAAATAATCTGTCGAATATGAACGACGTAGAGAATTTGCTGCTGCTTGATTGATAAAATCATCAACACGAACAAATAGTTCTTGTTCTTTGGCTTGTCGTTGTTGTTTTTGTTCACGTTGATGAGTTTCATCATAAAAATCTTTAACGTGAATAATACGTGCGCGAACATAACGTTGTCCGCCTGTGTAAGATATTGATAATGATCGACGTGCTGGCTCATGTTTATAACGCGGTGGAGCATGTTCATGTGGACGTATTGATTCGCGAATTGAATTAATTTCACTTTCAATAAATGTACGCCGTTGAGTACCTAATATAAATAAACAAACAAAATATTTTCATTTACAATTTGCTTTCCCGTTTTCTGTTTTTTCTTTAAACTGACCGAGATAAAATTCTGCTTCGGACGGATGTCCAGGTGGCGGTGGTCCTGTATAGGTTTGTTGAGATTTATGTTTTTGTTCGATGTGTTTCTGTCGAAGATGTTGTGCAAGTATTTGTTGTTGTTGTTCAGTATCACGACGATATTTTGCATAATCAAATGGCTGTTGTTGTTGTTGTTGTTGTTCAATAGCACTATTTACTTCTCGTTTAAATATATCATGTTGTCGTTGTCGAATATCGGATATATTTGTTGGCATAGCAGATGTTGGCGAGGTTAAATCTAATATATAATATTCATCTTGTGCAATTAATATTAAATGACGTTGTTGTTCATTGGAATGTGTTAAATGTAAATGTGAACGATGTAGTTGACAAAGGCGATGTATAATGGAACGAAAACGTTGTACAAGACGTAGTGATGTTGTTACATCAATACGTGATACGCGACGTAAATCAGTTGAATTTGTTGGATTATAGTCATCACGTGATGAATAATCGACAAGATGTAAAAGTGTTGTTGGTTCAGCTAATTGTCGAGTGATTTCGTTTTCTAATTCAGGACTATTGGCCGATAGACGACCACCTGAATGTGATACAATTTCATCGACTAATTCTTTTTTAAGAGATATATTCAATTGACGACGTTCATTGTTTGTTACAGATAATACGATCAATTGAGATTTACCTAAAGTAGCGGAAAAATATTTATTATGAATCTTGTTAAAATTCTTATGAAAATAATATCAATTTCATAATAGAAATTGTAATAGACAATTTAGATTTCTATCTATTGCGTTCTTCTTTATCTAGATTTCACGGAACGATTATAATCACAAGGTTTGTAAAATGTTGGATATGGTAGTTTTCTGATTGATGAAGGTTTTGACGAAGCTATTTTGTTTCTACAAGGCTATTGTTTAAGGACAAATAATGTTGAACGAAAAGAAGAGTCTGATTATTCTCTATATAGCCTTGCCTTAAATAGTTAATAGCATTATAACAATCGGAAAAGGCGTCGTTCAATAGATTTTCTTTTGATTAATTACGTTTTTCACAATTTTTGTAATGCTATTAACTTGTTCAAGGAAGTTCTTAAGAGGTGTAGTGTCCCCCATGACTTTTCTCAAGGTAGTATAACCTTCAAAATAGCCTTTCCAATGATTTACTGGCACGAAATAACAATTTCATTAGCTATTAAAATCATTATCTAAATATCTTATACAAGTTTATACACGTATAATTAAATACATTAACTGTTCTCAGTTCGAATTTCTCTATCTCTTTGTTTATGATTGTAAAAGAAACTTGATGCAATCATCATGTGTCAACGTAGATGCTAACAAAGTTTTTATCAATCGATTGCTCCAACCTTCCTTGTCGAATGCATTTCAAAATTGTATAATATCGCAATTAAAATCTATCAATGATATTGCAAAAATAATATCTTTATGTGTTAACATACCATAATGATTGAGTTCATATTCAATTTCACATCGGATAACTAATGGTAAATGTTCAAGACGTCTACCATATTCCGTTCTTATAGGATGTCCATCTCTTGTATAATAATGTACTGATATTGATGGTTGTCGTAGTTTTTCATTTTCTTTTTCTTTTTCAAAATTATCTTTTTTACTTGCACCATAATCACGTTTAACTAATTGATAATTTTTATCCGATGTCGTAACAATAACATGTAATTCTGTTACTTTTAATTCTTCATCTGTATATGTACGTTCTATACGTTGAAGTTGTTTTTCAAAACGTGTTTCAGAGCCATATTGAGTTTTTTCTTCACTTGATACAACAACACATTTACATGCACCACGTGTATGAATTTCATAGACTTCTGATGAACGATATTCTTCTCCGTTATAATCATTTTCTTGTAAATGACGACGAACAACATGACGATTTATATCACGCAATTGATCAATACGTATACGTGATGTTATTTGACCAAATGTTGGCCGTTTCTCTGGTACGACAGGAAGATGATCGTCACTTGATGATGGACGTTTTTCACGTTTTAACTCAAAATTATCTTCGTAATCGGTTTTTTTCGTTTCATCATCAATATAAATAACAGCACCACCATCATCATCATCATCTTCACTAACACGATGACTTGAATGGCGTCGTTTTATTTCGTATCTTGTTGTTGTCGTTGTTGTTGTTGTTGTAACTGCTGTTGTTACTTTTTTATTTTCATCATCTTGACTTGCGATTGATGGTAAACGTTGTCGTTCTTTTATTGGTCGATGTAATGAATCAGTTGTTTGAGCTCCAACTGTGTGTTGTTCAACAGTTTTTTCTACTTGTGTCCCTACAGGTCGATTTGATGGTTTAAGTGTTGATGTTGGTGTCGTTGTTTGCATACCAAAATCTTGTCGTTCAGTTGGTATTGATGGCTGATTATATTCATAATCTGGTTTATGTATATGACCATTTGTTAATACACATTTTCTCTCAGATTTTTGTTCTAATATGTACAATGTTTCAACATCAACTTTAATTGGAATATTGTCATGATTGTTTCGAGATAGAATACTTGCATCGTCGAACACACGTGTACGAACATCGCGAACCATGGAAACAGATGTTTCTGTGTCCGAATGAAGACTAGGAGCATATTCGTCCATCTAAGATCAAGAAATAGAATTCAAATAAAAGTTCATATATAAATAGATGAAATCACTAACTAATACCATGTGCCGAGAGGAATCCGATACATTAAACAAATATAGAGCAATACTCATTTGTAATCTCTCTAGTTTGAACATACTTATAGTGCTTTGTTTTTATCTATTTGCTATTGTCTATTGTGTTTCTCACGCTTAAATACACGTTTTATATCTAATTATATAAATCATTATTATATTTTGTAAAGAACAGCATTATATTACGATGAGAACGATAACGATAGAATGAATCATTAGCTAAGTTAATTGATATCAATATTAATTCAATTAGAAAACGAGCATAAATATTTTTATTGTATTGCTGAATTATAAAAAATTTTACATGACGGAAGCTGTGAATATGTTTTAAAAAAATCTGCGAATCTCCGCTTGAAATTTTACATGAAGATAGATTTTAATAAGTATCGTTTCTATCGGCTAACAGATTTAATGTTCCTATATCTGGACAGAATTAATGCAAAACATCTGAAACTTCCACAATAGAACAATTTCCTAAATACATGTTTCTACACAGTAGAAATTTGAGAATTAGTATTTCAGAGAAAGCCTACGGCATTCTTCTGAATAACGTGTGATATGTAGAGTCGACCGTCAAAATTTGAAATCGATTGATGTTTTCTGACTGAGAAACAAGTCATAAAATTTTCGACAAGATACTATTCATATGAGAATCTCTACAAAACAAGCAAAAGCAAAATGGCTTACGGTTGTTCCACTAATTTTACGTCGACTTTCATTTTTGATTTCTTCTCTTTTAAGTTCAAATTTTGTTTCTTTTGGTTTTTCACTAGTAGACTTATTGTTTTGAAAAAAGACTTCATCATTGGAATCACTTTGAGTAAAACCAAAATTTTCTCCATTCGTATTACTATGTCCATTTAATATATTTCGTTCATGATAATTTCGCGGTGCAAAACGTTTGTAAGGTGGTGATGATGTAAAATAGGTTGAGCCATCAGAATTCTCATCGTGTAACGATTTTTTGATTGAAGCTTTTTTTTCTGCCTTTGTATTTATCGATGACGATGATGATGATTCAAGACGATCAATCATTTGTCGTACACGACTCGGTTCTGATGGTGTAGGAGATAGTGAACTTGCTGGATTACTCGTTGGTTTATTACGTAAACGATCTTCATTGGAACTTTCATTATAGGAGCCTAAACAAAACAAATCTAATTTTTAAGGAAACAAAAAAAAATAAAAAGCAATTCAATCTAACCATCATTCTTATTGGTTGATTTAATATCATAGAGTGCAACTGAAACAATGCCTGGATATGTTGGCGAAGAACTTCTTGCTGTATAAGCATGATCACTAAATCGATCACCTGCATTTATATTAATTTCCGCACGTGTCGATGTTGATCGTGTATCAATATTTCTTGCCATTTGTTTAACTTTACTTGTTAGACTTGAACTTGAACTTTGCATTGATAGTAGTAGTATGGGAGGTGTTGGATGGTTTATTTCAGTAACATCACGTAGTTGTTGTCCACTAGCAATTTGTATATCATCTTCTAAACTATCTTTTGAATCTAATCGTGCACGTCGCTCACGTTCACGCCATATATTGAATACATTATGGCCATTTTCATGAGTTGCTGCAATAACATTATATTTAACTGCACGTCTTGGTATACGTTCTTGAATAAATACTAATGCATGAGATTTAGTACTTAGCGGACGGTATAATTTAAGATAACGAACTATTTGTTTCAATTGGTATTTAGAAGAATTTTCTAAATGTTGAAGTTGTATTAATTCATCAGTTAACGATTGAAGAGTTTCAAAATCTCGTCGATCAAATGATTGCTTATTTGTTAAATTACGTAAACGGCCTATAATATGTATTGTTTCACTATCTATTGGTAAAAATCCTAATCGACGAGCAATATTTTCGTCGCTTTCATCGTCATGATCTTCATCGTCATCAGCATCATTATCATCGTCATTGTCATCGTCACCATCGTTTCCTTCACTACGATCATCATCCGATCTATTTACAATAGCAGATTTAATTATTTAAATTAATTTCAAATAGACCTACAACAGCTAGTTCACTTTGCGACTATTTTTCTTTTAAGCTATGCATGAGAGACTTGTTGAGGGAAGGTTTGACTCTGTACTACCCAATTATCGACATGTCGAGAGTAATACATTTTCACGAATGTACAAAAATAATGTTTTTCTATTACGATTAAAAGCATGTGTAACACTATAATTACTAATTAGAGTACGAAGAAACGAATCGTCTCGTTTGATTCTCATTTTAAAACGAAAATATGCTTTTAATATTGAAGCCTGTTATGAGTATGAAAGCAAGTAAGTATTTCCTAAGTCACTAGATAAATCATTTACTTAAATTTACTATAGTCAATAAAATAAAACTAACTATGTCATCATTCAGACACAATGAGATTGTCACAGGAAATTATTTTCTCATAGGAGAAAATTTCATTAAATTAAAATTGAACATAGTTTTTACAAGCCCATATGCTATTTTGTATAAACCATATGCCCTATCGTCTTCATCAGTTCTATCTTATGTAATAGAATTATTTATCCATCGTTTGTTATAACAATGCATAACATGGAAACTGATGACATCATAAAATCAATTTACATATTATGAAATGTTTCATGAATCAATTATGAAAACACAACCTGTACTGACAATGTATCACAATGTCAATTAGTTGAAAAAAAGGAATGTTTCACTGGATACTGTATTGCATATTTTTAAAGTAAAATTTTAAAATCTTAACATTATAGTTTAGACGTACCTTCTTGAATTATTATTATTTCTATTTGGATTTGATCTATTTCCATCGTCACTATTATTAGTATTATTATCATTATTTGATGCACCATTCGCTTGACGATTTCTTCTATAAGATTCATCATGATTATTACGATGTTGTGAATATTCATTCGTTTTCTCTGAATTGTTATCACCATTATCCATCTCGATTTCTAATGTTTGTGAATTTAGATTAAGCTTGTCCGTTTGATAAACATTTGATAATATCGAGGAGAATGTTTCATCACGAAATGATTGTTCTAATCGACCATCATTATTTTGATTTTGAACATCAAAATGATTTAAAGATATATCCATATGACTTAGACTATTTTCATAATTATCTTCGTCCTCCTCGTTTTCAGAATGAGTTTTAAACATAATATCAATATCATTTGCTGATAAAGTATTTTGTTGAATTGAATTATGATCATCAGTACTAAGCATAATATCTGTTTGATTACTATTCTGATGATCATAATCAATTAGTTTATCAACACGAATTCGATCATCTGTATTTATCCATTTATGATATCCGCTAATAAAGCGAAGACTTTCACTTGTTGTTGATATTAAATCAGTTTGTTCAAGTGAATCAAGGGATGAAGCACGTTGGCCATTCTTTTCGGGAGAAGGAGAAAAACAGTTAAATAAAAATTGTCAAATTTTATCTACTAATTTTAACTTACTGTTAAATTAGTTGCTTCTTTTTCTTCTTCATGTTCATTGTCCATTTTAATTAAATGGTAATAGAAATAATTCTAAAAACAAAGTAACAAATAAAAATATCTTCACGAAAATGATGTATCTAATTGAATTGAGTATTCTCTATCTTTTTTTTGTTGCATCTCATCTTCGTTCGATTTCTTATTTCAATGTTCATACATATATGACCATTATCTTCAAGTACGCCTTTTTATTCTCGTGCAATATTTGTCTTTAGACAATTGATTAAGCTTCGTATAAATGAGATAAATGTGACGCGAGATTGATAATTTCATATTATACAGTAAATCCCTTACATTCTTTTTTTTGTATCTCACATACCCAATCAATATTGACAAAATCTTTAGGTGCCATTTTAATCAATTGGAGTAAAGAGAAAAACAAATAGAGAACTCGTTCAACAATGTATACTTATTATTAGCATATGATCATGTCAAATAGAAAATGGATGTACATGCTTTTGTATAAATGTAGCTTTACACGTATGAAATACGTAAAGACATGTCACGGACGACTGAGTTGACAGATTAAAAAGAGATGAGAAAAAAAGTAGTAAGACGAAAAAAGATACATGATTGTCATTGAAGACATAATCGTGAAGGTCATATGGCATAAAACCTGTCAAAAGATTTTTACTTTACTCGTTCAAATACCAAGTACTTAAATGTTGCTATGTTAACTAATATATTTGTTCCAAGTCATTTGTTTTTAATAATAGCTAATAGCAAAGAAAAGAAAACATTGACTTGGAACATGCAATACAGAGATTGTTGTTACTTATGACAAGTGATGAAATAGTATGCTTCCTTACCATAATATTCGTCGCAGAGAAAAAGAAACTGTTCCTGATACGAAAAATCTTGATGCGTCAAAATTGAAGATCTTCCAATGCAATGTCTTCTGCTTTTTTCTAAAATACCTATAATAATGATACGTATTATGCGTTTGTCGTTCGCGAGTGCCTCGTTTGAACAAAGTTTTTTTCCCGTCATTTTTTTTATTCTTGGTTCTGCCTGGTTGAACATCTACATTTTTTCCTCTTTCGTTTTTGGCGATGATTATCGTACAAAATGAATGAATATGTGAAGTTGAATGCGAAAATGATCTATCATCAACGAGAAAAAAAAAGAATAGAAGGGCGTACAGCAATCAACAAGACCGACCATATCCCTAAATTGAAATACTTATTGAATGAATCGAAAGGGTATACAAGCATTTCATGCTTTTAAATGTACGATAATGGCGAGACATTTTTTTCATGCATTTTTCACTCATACACATAACTCTTCTAAACGTCATACACATTGATTCAAATGATTGCATAGATAGATGATTCAACACGTAAAATAGATCATTAGACATATAGGTCTGCATCTTCTTTTATATAACAATAATAAATAAGAACATTAAAAAGAAAATTTTTTGCCGTACATGGAATTCGAAATGTATCATATATATATCTACTAAAATAATGGTTATGACATCAAACACCTAGATGAAATGAAAATGAAACTTTTAAGTGAAAATTAATATGTTTGAATAGGAGTTCAATTGGTTGTGTGAATAATGATTTGATCTTACATATACCGTTCTATTCTCATTCTAATTAATGAAATATAGTAACACGTATCGTATTGATTTAAGGTTCTTGTTAATAAACTTGATTTAGAAACAAAAATCAACCACTTCGTCATCAATGTCAAAATTAGTTAACATCAACTAGTCGACAGCTAACGTCAAACTTTTACTAAGGTGATAATTTAGGATATATCATTCAATAACGATTTCAAATATATATCATATTCTCTTTAATGAGACCTTCGGTCATGACAAGTATCGAAGTTTTAATAAGAAAAGATCAGGTATATTGAATACGTAGATGTACAGTCCTAGAAGTGTACAGTTTAGGTTGTAGCTGAATATTAATAGTAAAATTTATTACAAGAAAGTGAAAAAGAAAAGCCATTGACAATACAAATTATCAAGTATAAACGAGAAGAAACCGTGATGAGATTCTTTTGAAAACAAAATTCCGAAGAATCTTTCAAATTCATGATCTAAAACTATCATATCGTAAGTTTACTTTTTGTTAGAGAATATTGAAAACTATTTGAATATATTGTTTTGACTATTGTATATTAATAATTTCAATGGCACATCAATAGTCAACATTATAGTTGAATTAATGACATAAACTAAATGAATACTCAATTTTATTATTATTATTTCTCGCTAACATATCAAAATAAAAGCATCATTTAATATAAAACAACTTTAGATTGTATCATGAAAATACATCAAGATGTCAAATATCGTAAAAGCAAATAAAAAGCTATTTTTACCTCAAATTACTTTTCATGCGCAATCGGTTTTATTTTCATTTTTAAATTTGCTTATTTTTCTCACAGTAGTTTACGATTAAATTTAACATTGATCTGATATATATTTACGATGTATCAAAATTCATAATCATGTATAAAAGTCTATATTCATTTGAATCCAATATGTAAGATCCAGCGATAGAGAGATGGTGTGAAAATTTTCACTTTTTTCAAAACGAAAATCGATTTGTTCATCCGAGTAGCGACAAAAAATGAATTTTTCAAATTTACGAATCACTCGTGAATTTATTATTCATTGAAGTTCTTTGTGTTTGTCTTGAGTTTACATTCTCTTCATTCGTAATATATCTAGATTACTGAATTTCTATTTGAAATGATCAAATATTTCCACGAGGTTCTATTTTATTTCATGAATCGAAAAAATTCAAAAATATTAGACACAATAAAAAAAATATGTAAGCTTTGAATAAATTTAAATAATTCTTACAACATTTATTGAATTGTTCATCTCATGAAACTAGTTTTTACTCGATCTTTTATACAGAAATCATTGTTTAGTAACTATAGATAGCAGTTGTAAAAATCCACTCAACAGGTGTCCAACTGAAGCGTCCATATTATACTAATACTGAACATAAATCGAAATTGTCTCATTAAACAGAATTTATTCAGCATAAGAGATCAAAACTTATAATGAATTTTTTGATTTATGCCTTATTATTAATTATTAAAATACTAGAAATGTATTTATTTTTAAATTACAAAAGCCACGTGCTAAATTATGTTACTATTTTACTTTCATATAATGATTATGAGCTAGGTAGCTTTTACTGTACAGAATTCATATTGCATCAATTTCAAGTATCGAGTGTTAATTAAACAAGGTGTGTTAAATTTCTCTTGAATCTATTATGTTAATCGATACAACCATCTAGATAGAGATGTTTTGTTGTTGCATTATTCTTTTAGTTAATCTTAATTCATTCGTATACTTTTTACATGCTAGATTTCGAGTACTTTTTTTTCTAAATACCATCAAAACAATTTTCCAACTCAATACAATAAATTTTATTCATTTTAATGACTCCTAATTTTTCAATCAAAAATGACGAATTAAACATTTTTTTTCTGATTCAAAATAGTGAATTCGTTTTAGCAGCGTAATATAATTATTAAATTTACTTTTACACAAACATGACATCACAGCCAAAAAATATATTATTATTTTAGAAGATTTTTTAATTTTTATTGGATGTTTTTTTAAAACAAAATATGCACAATTCATCGTATTACTGTTGTCTAAGTAATAACGGTGGCGACGTAGTCTTTCTTCTTCTCCTTTCTATGTCTATTAATACTACTAGAACTGCCACTATTATTACTGGCGCTGCTACTATTGTCGTTCTCTTTCACCACTTTATACTTCTACACTGGATTGTCGTTGTCATTTGAATCGTTGTAGCGTGCACTAACGGCAGCAGCGGGAGGAATAAGAAGGAAATCGAATCGGCTGTTACTTGCCCTGTACTCTCGTCTACAGGGCAATGAACGTTAGCCGTTGTAACCACATATATATATGCCACTCGTAAGGCAACGAGGGTAACAAGAATTTTTTCTCTCTCTTCATAGTAAGCAAGCAGCAGCATGTAGCAGAAAGGAAAGAATATATGGCTACTATATGTGCGTATGCGTGTGTGTGTGCTTGTGTTCTGCTTTGTCTATGTGTTTGTGCTTGCTCTTACACACACACGAACGACATTGCACAGCCGACGACGACATATCTACAGCGTTAAGCAAAAGGAAAGAGAAGGCAGACACACACTCGCTATTGCTCTTTCACATAAGCTCTCCTCTCTCCTTTTATATTCACCATCACCACTATTCTACGCACACACACACACACACACACATATATAGCTATTGCTGACTGACTCTCATACACTGTGCAAACGACAAGCAAGCAAGCCAGCAAGCAAGTAAGCAAAGCAGTATATTTACGATCTACACGATTAATACGACATCTACTTTTTAAAGTAAGCATATTTTTAAATAAAATCATGAGAGAATATAAATATTCTTCTACTTTGAAATCGATCGAATAGTTTAAAAAATCCGACAGAGAAAACCCTTAGAATTAAAACCAAATCTTGTAACATTATAGTTAAGCGCGAATTTAAATTTAGATATGCCTCGTGTAAGAAAATCGGAAAAAGATCCAAATGCACCAAAGCGTCCGTTATCAACATTTTTCTTATTTTCACAAGATGAACGACCAAAAATAAAAAAAGACAATCCATCATTATCAGTTGCCGATATTGCTAAACTTATTGGTGAACGATGGCGTTCAATAACTGAAGATAGAAAACGTCATTATGAAGAGCGAGCTCGAACAGAAAAGGAACGATATGACAAAGCCGTCGCCGAATATAAAAAGCAAGGTGGCGGCAAATAAAAGAAAATAATGTATACATATACTTATAACAATGATTCCGATGATTTTTTTTGAAGAAAACCAGAAGAGCATGTAGTGTGTACATATTCATCATATATTGTAGTTAGTATTACCGAAAAAAAAGAACCAGAATGTTGTTTTGTTTTGTTCGTTTTCTCTTTTTTGTTGTATTCATTTTTTTGCTTCGTCATATGGTTGTTTGTATATGTTGTGTTCACTAACTGAAAAGAAAGATAAATAAAATTGAAAAATTACCTATTTTATTCGTATCAAAGTTCGATATCAAAAGAAAATACGATTCTTACAATTATAAGTTTGATGAAAATATATTCCAGTAGTAACATTTCGAAATTGTATTGTTCAACGTCTAACTCAAACATGAAATATTGAGAATTGAGGAGAATATTTTTATTTGTTTTATCGATGAAACTCTGTATTCAAAAAAGAAATATAATCCTGCAAAAAAATAGTTTCGCACATTTCATTGAAAATTTAACTGCCTTTTTTTATCAAAGCAAGTCATTAGCTGTTTACATTTTTATAAAATTTTACTTTTTTCTTAAATTTATGGTATCTTATATTCTGTTATTCCTACAGATGTCACTTATGTATGATTGATTTGATCGGATCATATCTAGTGATTGCTATTAACATTCTTTTTAAGAATAACGGTCATAAATGAAATAATAAGAAATACAAATGTAATTTTTATTGAAGTCATCATATAAATGAAGGTTTAAACATCGCAACAAAATGGTAGTATCGTCAAGCGAATGACTTTTCTTTTCTTTCCCGATTGATGAATAAATGGGACGAAAAAAAAAGAAAGAAAGGTCACATTACTAAAAATGATCAAAGTTTCATATTTCTCACTAGTTTATTTGTATTTTTTAGATAATTTAATAATAATGTCGAATGAAGATGACGAATGTGACTCTTCGAGTCTATTTAATGTTGCCAGTCAGTCTGATGTAAATTCGTTTTTACACTCACAAGCAGCAAAGATAACAGGTATAACCGCAAGTATAAGTGATGATGAGAGTAGTTCAATGGATGGTAGTTTATTGGCACGTTTTTCTCAAGTATCAACGGAAAAAAAAGTTATATCAACATCAAATACAAATATACGTTCGCCACCTGTAAAACCTTATTTAAGTCGTTCATGTTTCGCATCATTAACATGTGCGTCACCAATAAAAAATGCGCCACAAAAAAATTATGCATCCGATGATTTAACAGAATTAAAATGGTTAAATACATTTAAATTGAAAGAATTAAAAGACGATTTAAATTCAAATGAGAATAAAGATAATAATAATGAAAAAAATTCATCAACACAACCACAACAAGAACAAAACAATAACGATGAAGATCGTCTTGCTAAATTAATAAGTGAATTAAAATCTTATGATCATGAAAGTACAAAAGTGAATACAACATCCTTCGGTATTCTTCTATTTCTTGGATTTTATTCGAAACGTGATGAAAAACATTTATCATGGTCGTTAACAATTAAGCAATTATATGAATTCGTGCAGAGTAATGCGAAACAAATAACAAATAAACGCGGATGGAAGAATCTTTTACGACAAACATTAATTACAATACCATGTTTTGTTAAAACAAAACGTGATTTACTTAAATCTCGTTCCTTGTGGACGATTGATTCGTATTATCGACCATTATTAACAAAAGCCTATTTAACAAATCCACCAACACAACCATCGATTACATCGAATAAGTAAGTGAATGAAATTTGATTTTGAAAGATTTTTTATTTGAAATTTATTTTCTTAGAACTCTCTCTGAAGCACCAACAAATCGGCATGATGATCAATTGTAAATTCAGAAAAAAAAGAATTTTTTGGTTAATTTTTAGAACCTATGATTTCAATTTAGAGATGCAAGTCGTACCTCACAATCGATTGAGAGTGGTTTTGCGCCAAAAGCAACAGTGAAAGCAAAAGGTAGATAATTATTCTAGATCTATATTGATTGTTAAATTTTTTTTTTCATATATAATCAGTGCTTCCTCGTCTTTATGAACGTCTTCGTGAAGAAAAAGCAATGGAAGATGAGGATGGAGATGAAGCTGATTCAAGTAATCTTGGCAAAAGTCATCGAAGTCTATCAACAGGTAAAACATACATATTTACTCAATGTATGCTATGTACATACACATCGGAAATAGTATTTTTGAACTCAATAATAGATTTTTTTGTTCTTTTAATCATTTCTATGAAATACAATTGACAAATATAGACATCTGCTATTTGAGAGACTTTTCATAAAGCTTAAAATATCAATTATTTTCTTCTTCAATAGTCTCATAGTCATGCGAAAGAGTCTTAATTTTTTTTTTTTATTATATAATATGTCAATGGTAAAGAGCGGATCTCCCACGAGAGAATCATTCCAGGTGATTCAAACTTTTTGCGTAGACATTTTTAACATATAGTAGGCCCAAATAAAGCAGAGAAAAGAAACGTAATAAGATAAGGACACCTGTGCCTTTCTTTCTGATTTATTAGTATCATACTGGACTTGTCACTTGTAGATAAGAGAGGTACCAAAAAGTGAGACTGCATAGTTTAACGAAGGATTTACTTTTTGTACATTTTTGCTGCTAGCTCTGTAGTAACGTCAGCGTTATTAATCTAAATAAAATGTTTCTTTCTCGATGAAAAAGGAAAGAAAGAATCTTAAAGTATTGAATGACACGAAAATTTTCTTTTCTTGATAATAAAGTATCTCAAGCGTAAGAAGTGATTGTTTGAGTTATGATTTTGAGGTCGCTACAACTACTAAAAAAAACATGTGTAGGAATAGATTGAAATCTAAATTCTTTATTTCTACTTCATGATGAATATTTCATTATCAGAGATCAATTTAACAAAATAGTTATAGTTCGACAAGAAAGATCTGGAAGTTTCTATTCGATTGAGGTTTTATTTTTTGAGCATAACTAGGTCTTACATCTGAAAAAAACATCAATATAAAAGATATTAATCACACAGGATTCTTTCTCATGAATACTTGTCACGCATTTTTGTCGCGTGAAAATGTAAAGACGCATTCCTTGTTTTAAAAAAATGCCCTTGGTTTGTTTTCTAATCTAATATTTTGTCACTCATTATATTAATATTTATCACTTGAGAAAGCATGATGAAATGCATCTGATTTATATTCATCGCTTTCAGTAAATAAATCATTTTCTCTTCCAGAGTGTATATTTTGGTTCTTAATCTCTTATTTGATTCTAAACACGAAAATATACATAAAATAATTTAATTAATTAAAAAAAAAATAGTGGAATTTTTTCATCAGCATAATGGCTCGATTATTAAAAAAATTGAGATTCTCTAGAAATATTCTAAAGCTTACCAAATATTGATTTCATCGATGACATTGATACATGGTAGGATGCATCTCGAAACGGTCAACATTATCGTTTACTTTTAAATATTGAAGATTTTAGGCCGCCCAAACGAAGTCATATTGAGAATCTCACATATATGTAAGAACTACATGGAGATAGATTTTTTATCTCTTCATAGTTATGATGAATAATGTGACTGGCAAATTATTTCATTAATGATTCTTAAAAGTACAAAACTAAATGCATATTTTAGAAAAAAAGAAGTCAATAACACATATTGAAATGTCTGGCAGAGGCATTCAACAAAATAGTTATGACTCATTTTTTTTCTAATCTACATATTCCCAACAATTTTAATGCATTATCTAATGTTGAAAAGAAGACATTAATGTGATGAGTAAGTATAACAACGCAAGATCATAGATAAAATTAAATTGTATCTTTGAAAAAGTATGTCTCATTTTACATATCATCATCCTATTCTGATATGAAAAGTGTGAAGGTATCTATTGTTTATGACTTGTCGGCTATCGTTACATCAATATAAGAACTTTAGAACAACAATTCATTAGAGAACATCTAAGAAGTGCTAATAAAATTTCATTTTTATCTTATAGTATTCGCAGAATTTCCAAATAGAGCTACACAGATTGCAAAGTAAGGTATCGATAAATACCAATGAAGATTTAAATGAAATTGATATTATTTACTGTCGGAATATGATCCAGATCGAATCCGACTTATGTGTATACGTTTACCTATATTTGTTATTTGCTATCTAAACTAAAATAAGATAAAATTCAAAGGCTCTGAGATAATTCAATCATGAAAAATTCGTAGCTATTTAGAATATTATTTTAATCATTTCCAGATGCTTTATTTTGATAACTAGCTCATGATATGATATTGATATTAGAAATTTTTAGTTATGCTTTGATATTATTGATTAATGATGAACAAATCAAATAGATGGTAAATTTGTGTGTCTCTCAACACATTCTTGTGCTCTAACACTCTAATCTGAATCTTTTGTGAATTGTGATACACTTGCGATGTAGTTGATGTTCTTCAAAATGTCTGTTCATATTTATTTGTATTTTTAAAAAGGTCGTAAACGTCCTCGTTCTTCATCGTCAGGCCAGCGACAATCAAGTAAAAGTAAAAATTTTAAATAGTTTCATTTGAATTTTAATAAATTTATAAACATAGGTAAAGATAACAAACGTCGTTCATCGACATCACCATGGACAGCTAAATTACTCAAACGACATAAGAAACGACATCACCGTCAAATCGCTGTCGAATCACTGAAAACATCCACACCAAATCGAGGGTAGGAATTTTCTCTTTTACAATACAAACATGTCTACGAAATTTAAAGTTCAATTATAAAACTTGCTAACTATCTATACAAAATTTCTTCACATTTTATCGCCTCTAATTTTTTATCTCGAGAAAAAGACAGAAAATTTTCCATACAATAATTTTGAGAACTTGTTTTTATGTTGTATAGATCTAATACTGAAACTCGGTCAACATCAGCATCAACTGTTGTTACACCTTGTCCAAGTATGGATCATACTTATTTACTTCAACCTGAAAAAACAAAACATTCACCAAGAAAACAATCACCAATGAAAAGAACCACGTCGACAGGATCCATTGAATATAGTATGTTATTCTTACTAATCTCACAGATTATTATATTGATGAAAATATGTTTAGACGATCCATCAAGTGGTGATATTGAAGATGAGGATGAACTTGATAGTAGTTCATCTGTACGTCCAGTACGTAAATCAATCATCACAACTCGTGCTCAAGCAGCTGCACGTAGTCATTCAAAAAGTCGTCGAAAAAGTTCGCCACCAAAAAAACGTTTATCTCTTCAACTACCATCTCATCGGCCGAATACACGTATAAATCGACGAAATATCGAACAAGATTTAAAATTACTACGGCAAGCTAATGTTCTACCACCATTGTCACCACCAACACATCAGCAGCCACTTGATTTGTCTCTTGGCCCAAATCGTTCATCGTCATATGAAGAAACAATGGAACAAACCACAACAAATATCGAAACAGTCAAAGAAACAATTGAAATAAAAACAACACCAATCGAGGGTGTCCTTGATTTATCTCTGTCCCGATGATAATATTAACAATATTTATTTGTTAAGTGTGTATTTAGTTTTGTACGTGTGCAATATAAACGTACCAGATAAACCTATTTATTTCACTCATTTACTCAGGCTAATTTTGCCTTTAACACCTATACTCTACATCTATGTATTCTGAAGTGTTTTCTTCTTCGTTGTCCTCATTTGTGCATTGTTTTCTTTTTCTTTTTCTGTTTGTTTATTATTTCTCACTGTATTTGTGCTTCCATTCGTTCTTCGAAATTATCGTTTTTTTTTTCTTGTTTATAAAGATTGTTGTTTAGATATACAGAAGGAAAAAAAAACGCTGTCATAATAGTCTAAAAATAGGATGTTCATTACATTACATTTTGACTGCAAGATAGCGGTGCTGTACATTGAAGCTGCTTTTATTTCTTTCATTACGATGGATAATTGTTTTTTTCTATTTGATCATACAAAGCAACGCAAATCGAATGACGCAAATGCCGTACAAAATAAAAAAGGAAGTGAGATAAAAAAAACTTGAGGGCGTGGGGAGAAAAAACGATTAAGTTTTTTCATTCGGTGTAGTGCTTTAAAGCAAAGGAAACATTTCGTTTGAAATTATGATCACAAGGGGCGAGGTGTGACGCGAAAAGAATAAGGACATTTAAAAAAATTGACATTTCAACGTAATATGACGAATTCGAGGTTCTACAAAGTTTACTAATTAGGTTTCATCGATATTATCAAAAGGATGTATATAGATTGATATGCTATTTTCTCGTTCTGTCCTTCCTTTTTTTTATACTTGTAATACTGCGATTGACCTTGATATACCCTGCTTTGTGTTTTTTTTATCGCGTGTTGTAGACAAAAATAGCCTGCAGAAAAAAGGACACTTATATTAAAGTCTAGTATATGGGAAAATGAACCAAAATACATGAAAAAACAAGTGGACTAGATAATCGAATTCTTGATTATTTTCTAGTTTATTCCAATACACTACGATTACTTCCTACGGCGGTAGAAAGGAAGAGAATGGAAGATTTGTTCTTTTCTTTTTTTTTAAAATTTTTCGTTCTCTTCTCAGCAAGAAATAAAAGCTGTGTGGCTGTCGGTTCTTCACCCTGCATTTTAACTTGAGACGTAACATGTCGAAGCGCTGGAAATGCAACGATGAGGATAGCTCCAAAACAGGTGAGATATTCGTTCAAATTTTGTTTTTTGATTGAACTTAAATATCTCGGGTAAAAGTGATGATTAATTTGAATAATTCTATTCAGTCAATTATCATATATTTTAAAATAAAAAGTATCAAAAAAAAGAAGAACTCTAATAACCTTTACACATATCTATTCGTAGATTACCAAATGTCTGTTGACGACAAAATTTTATCGTCAGATATAAATAATTATATTCAAACAACTACTGGACAAGCTTCATATCCTTATCATACGAGCGTATGCGGATCTTTATTATATACAGCACCAACTAATACACCCTCAGATATATTTTCATATCTTCGTCATGGAAATTTTGAGGCATTTCGACGTTCTTTTGATATTTATCATAATAATATTATTAAAATAAGAAATGATCATGGACAGGTAAAACTTTTTATTTGTTAATTATAACAAAAACAAAGAAATGCTTTTTTATTTTTAATTCATATTTTAGACAGTACTGCATATCCTAGTTATTCATGCGTATCAATATGTCTGGGTACGCTTACTAATGATGCGTGGATGTGATACATGCGCTCAGGACTTAGATGGATATACTGCTGCTCATTATGCCGTAGAACGTGATGATGTCGAAATGTTAAAAGCTTTGACACTTCGTTTTCATTCTCAAGCAAAGCCAATCCCTGAAGAACGTGTAACAGCAATCCATGAACAATGTTTAAAAGCTTTATCAGTGAAAAATAATGAAGGTTTAACTGTATTCATGTTAGCTTGTCATCATGAATCGATAAAATGTTTAAACTATTTAAATGATATTAACATAAATGATAGTAATTTAGAGGTAGATTATTCGTCGATCTGATTTATTCAATGAATTGATGTGTTTCTTTTCTTTTTTAGGATAAATACGGTGATACTTGTTTACATTATGCAGTTGCACGTCGTAATGAAAGTCTTGTAGAAAAATTAATCAATACACATCGAGCTGATGTTAATAGTGGAAACCAAATGAGACCAAGTGCACTGGATATATTTCAATATGATCGTGAACAACAAAAACCAACTGATCGTCGAAGAGATGAACAAATCGAACAACTTCTCTTGTTAAATAATGCAAGAAATCGTTGTACCATTCGACGTGTTACTAGTAAACGAAAAGAATCGATTGATAATGAAGAATCAATCATTTCAAATTTAGCTTGTATTTCACTTGATTTAACAACAAATGGACAGATTGAAACAGCTCGTAGTCATGCTCGAATGGCTGCAGCATTACAAGCCAAAGGCAATCTTGATGATGCTCAGGAATGTTATAAACAAGCAATGGCATTTGCACCGAATAATACTATTGATTGGGCAACATACGCATTTCATGTTGCTGTTGTACATGTACTTCACGGAGAAGCACGAATAGCACTTGAATTATTACAAAAAGCGATTGTTATTAGAAAACAATTAGAACATCATAGCCAGGAAATAGATCAACTTCAAAAAGCTATCGATAAAATTCAAGCACAGACATCTTAATTGATTTTTATAAATCTAATATAAAATATGAATATAGTTTAGCCTAGTATATTCACTTGTATTTCAAAGATATTTTTCATCTAGCATAATTTGTCCATGAAAATATTTGGATATGATGTCGATATTGTATCACGAATAGATATTCATTTATGATACGAAACAAAAATTATGGTTGACATTAAAATTTATATATGAATCACAAGTGGGCATATTTGGTGTATAAGCTATTAAATCATAGCAGTCTTTGTATTGATTATTTGACTTCTCATATATATATATATATATATATATAAAGTTCTGAACAAAAAAGTTTTCATATGTATATAATTAAATAAAACTCTTTTTTTTGTGAAATAATATGATAAAATTTTTCGCTTAAAGTTTTTTTTTTATAACTAAGAAAAAATAAGTAATCATCGATAAATAAATTGATGACAGCATGAGTATGTCGTATTGTGAAAGAAGCAGGAAAAAAAGAAAACAACAACTGCGATGTATATTTATTCTGTTACCATTGATAAATATTTATCTAAGTCATGAATCAAAATTATTTACAAGTAAATCTTCCGTTTTTGCTAAATTTTTTTATCTACAAAAATGAAATCAAAGGGAAATTTATTAAATCAACATATTGTCGAAGTATAAAATAACAACTTATGAAAATATCTATGAGTTCGATTAGATGAGTTTTTAAAGGCGAAATCAAAATGCATTGCAATGAAAATTTCGATGGCCTGTAGTTTTTGTTTTTGTATTTTGTCTATATAAATAATCAGTTTAAATTGTTTCAATGAATGTCAAGATAACTTTATTCATAATTTTTCTAGAAGAATTTCTCTATATCCTTATTTCCTTCTTTTTTTTCCTGTAAATCAGAGATCAACACAAGTAATTACTTGCATGTGGTTGTTTTTAATGAAATATTTGGATTCATAAAATTCATTCTATTCAGCATAATCATATGTGACACAGCAATTTATTTTATTTGATAAAAGCGTTCGATGAATCGAGTACTTTTTTTTATGTCAAATAAAGAAATGGTTAAATCAGTAGTATATTATATTTGTTTATGATCATGTTTAGAGCATTCAAACTGAATATACGATATTTTTAATGTCGATCAGGAGTAGAGAGTAAAGTTTTCTATGGACTTAGAATGACTAATATTTACATTCTCAATTAAAAAGTTAAACAAATATAAATGAGTCATGAGCCTGATCGCAACGAGCGTGATCACTGAGGAAATGCTGACGATTATTGTTGATAGAAGTTCGGCGAAAAAATGTCGGCTTTTTACCTGATTGTTGCTCCTTGAATCTTACAACGAATTTTCCGCCGTGTCATTGTGTACTTTACATACGACGTTTGAGTAATGATAAATATTTTTTGTCTCTCTTACTTCTAAGAATTGCCGATAGGTACTTTTATATTATATGCTGCCGCGGGTGTGATCAAAATAGTTATGAATAAAACGAAAACATAATAATGAAGAAAGAAAGAAATAGGTTAAATTGACAAAGTATATATTTATTAATACCTATTAGCTTTTCAATGAATTTATTCTGAGAAAATGTTGCATAAATAACGTCATTATTTTTTTCATTTTTGATCTGGCAATAAACAAATAGAGATGAAAGAAAATGTTGAGATTAATAAATTTATAACAGATGTTTTTTTATCTGTGGGCAAAAAAATTTCGGAAATTGATGATCGCCATTGGTTGATTCGAAGTATTTTTACTTTAAAATAAAACATTATTGTAAATTGAAGAACAGATAAACTTATCTTAGTTATTTTCATACTGAAAATATGCAAATGTTTCGTAGTAAATAGCAGCTGATAATATTCTCATCATTGATTATTATTTTGTTTTGCTTTATGCTTGATCACGATATAAATCCAAGGTAAAGCAAAGCCTACGCAGGCACAAAGTAGGATGTGGATTGAACTTCTTTTCGTATTGTCGATTTTCGGACACACGGTCTTTAGTATTGACTATCCTAAAGGTATTTATTTTGCTGTGTTGTTTATTTTTATATCGAGATTAGCTTTGACTATAACAGAGTTAAAATACTGTCTTGATGACATCGGTTACGATAGGAAATATTCAGAATATGCACTGGGCGAGAATAGAATTTTTCTAGATTTAAAACCGATGCTCACCTACGAAATTTCAGTTCTATTTTTCGACCAAATAATAGTATATTTCGCTAATAAAGTAGACTATTGTATTGTGAAAAGAGCAAACATTGCTGATGATATCTTACAGGCAACATCTGCGTTTTATTTTCTATATACAGTTGTATTTCTTCGAGCCTGTACTACTGTACTTCTCAATTATTCTGGTTCTTATCATTTCGTTTTAGAGTAATCATGTATAAGAAATTTTTCTTATGTATAACTAATAGCAGTTTTTTCTTTTAATTTTAAACAAATAATAGTCATATGGAATAACTTTCAAAACGAATGTTTAACTGTAAGTTACACTCATCGTATTATAGAAATAGATAAATATCCCTTTCCATGAGCAGGTATTCAATGAAAACCTATCGTAATAATCTTCTCCTTGTTTGCCCTATGGTGGTTTCTATTGGGATTCAATTTGATATATTTAGATACATGTGGTCTTCGCCCGTTGATCAACACTGGAGACTCGCCAGACAGAATTGTTGGCGGTACAGCATCGTTAAGGGGTGATTGGTAAGAAACAAAAATTCTAATTCTTTCAGAATTTATGCCTGTCTTCTTTTCTTTTTCAGGCCATGGATAGTAAGTTTAATATAATATCAAGAATATTTTATCCATACGCATTTACATTCGCACAATAGGTTTCTATGCAACGTAATGGAAATCATTTTTGTGGTGCATCACTTATAAATGATGAATGGCTTATTACAGCAGCTCATTGCGTTGTTGGGTGAGATATAAGGTTATTTTAAAAAAACTTCATTTTCTATTAGTCTTCTACAGAGTAACAAATCCAAGTACTATTCGCATCCTTTTCGGTCTTCATGATCGATTATCTGCAGATCCATGGGTTATTGCAAGAACAGCTAAGACTATCATTAACCATCCAAGATACACAAGCAATAATATGTCAAATGACATTTCTCTCATTCAGTTATCTGTAAGTATATTTCGTTTTTAACCTCTCAAAGAAAATTATCCTTGATGATTAGATTAAATACCTTGATAAACTCTACGTTTTTGGATGATGTCACCTATGAGTTTCTACATATACTGAGTTCGACAGAACTAAAGGCGTGTTGATAGACAATAAGGATGGTTGAAGACAATTATTTTTTTTCTATCAGACCAAATCTCTCAGAACTGTTGTAAATCAACAATGATATGATACTGATTTTCATAAAGAAATCTATTTCGAGACAATGTAATTATGTTCACAGAGGGTATTTTTGTACGTGTGATATACATATTCTTAGAGATAAACTGATCGAATAATTGAAAGTGATCTATCTATTTCACTTTATCCTTATGCCAACGAAAGGCTGCTGAAACATATCTAGATATCGAACAATTACTATCGTTCTTATAATGATGATACTTCAAATTTACAAAATTAGCTTAGTTTGAAGCTTCCTAACACGTCACTGCAAGCAGACACACATAATAAAAGTCTTTTTGTGAAGTTGAAAATATTCTGGCAGCATGGATATTTTGTTTTGCCTATAGAAATAGGACACTTTAAAATATACTTGTGTGTCGATGAATAACAAAAAAGTTAATGTTTAGATTCATACTCAATCAATGGATAGAGCTAGTCTTGCGTTAACATTATATTTTCTTTCTAGGCTAAAATTGATACATACACTGAATATTATATGCCAGTTTGTTTTCCAAGTGCCGACCAAACATTCGCTGGTCAAGTTGGACAAACCATTGGCTGGGGAGCTCCAGCTTATGGTAATAAAAACACCCCAATTATGATTCATTTTAAGATTTAACAAGTTTCTTTTTCTTTTTGCTGAATTCTAGGCGGCAGTCTACTACGTTATTTAAGTGAAGTATCTAGTTCAGTTTTAACTGATAGCGCATGCCGAGCACGTTATTCAGCAGGTATGATTAATGCAGCTACTCAAGTCTGTTCAGGTGGAAATAAAACAGGAGCTTGCCAGGTAAAAGCAGGCTATTATTTTCTCCTCGATCACATTTTAGCCTTTTCTCTACTAGGGTGACTCTGGTGGTCCATTTGTTATTCCTGATGCTACACGAGCTGGCCGATATGTTCTTGTTGGCTTAACTTCATGGGGTATCGGATGTGGTGATGGAGGTGTTTATACACGTGTTTCAGCTTATAAATCATGGGTTGAATCAATAGCCGGTGCTACGTTGTCTTAAATACGAATGAAGTTTATTAAATATAAATAAATATCAGAATATAATAACAGGAACCATTAAAAAACGAATAACTAAATAAAATTAATCTATGAACTCATTAAACCCATATGTTCAATATCTAATTGAGCTGTACGATCAGCTGCAGCTAGATATTTTTGATTTGGATCTTTGGCAGCACGTCCTGAAGCCTGAGTTGTTCGTACACCGCGACTTACAAGTGAGAATGCTGATTCTTTATGTAAATTAACTAATCCACGAGCACGACCTAGTCATGGAAATCATTGACATCTTAATAAATTACTAAAAAGAAAACAGAAACAAAATATCTTACGCATAATAACACAACCACAGATTGTTGATATCCAAATAAATAATAATAACATAAAAATACATAAAAATACTATAAACAGAAAACAGAAATCAATAGAAACTGCAGAAGAGTGCATTTTTTTAAAATTACTTGTTGTTGCACTTATACTGAGTGTCGTCGATGGTGAAATTTGATCAAATTCAGATATTTTTCTTAATGGTAGTAGCCTGAGAAATATTAAATTGAGTAAAAATATGATAGGTACACAAAACAACAAAGGTTACAAACTCGAATAATTTTGGATAATCATTATTTTCGCAAATGTGATCAGTCTCAATAAAATATTGAAATCGAGTCTTTTTATATTTATAAAAGATTAAAAATTCACAATTTGTTACATAATTTTTCTCGCATTCAATTATTAGATAATCCCCAGATTTTAAAAATGTATACGAAGATACTATTTCAACAGTAGATTCATTTCGATTTGAATTGATTGATGAATCAAGAACAGATTCCAATATGTTTCGACCTAATATGCGATAACGTAAAAAGTAAACACGCCACCATCCATTCGTAGTTTTTGGAAATAATTGTTGTATACCATACAATAAACGGGGATTATTCGATATGCGGCATGAAAAACCTTTTTTTTAAAATTGCACAATTAGTCATATAATAATAGATTTTATATTTACGTTTTCCTTCTCGACTATTTCCAACAACCATGGAGCCCATAGAAAAGTGTGGCCTTAAATAAGCATCATTGTTTGAATTTTACAATATTCTACTCAGCGATATGATCAAAGAATTTAGTATAATCTCACATGTCTATCAAAATTATTCTAACGATAATGATAATTATTAGTTCGTCACTTCTATTTTATAGTTTCCTAAATACGGAAGCTTGATTATTGTTTTTTTTTGCTTCACTCGGTTCTCACATTCTACAGTAGCTTGATACATATCGAACTAACCAATATTGAGAAAAAAAACCTATTGATATTTACAACGAAACTTACGCTACAGCTGAAATGTAAAGAATCACTCCTGACTGGTCATTAAGTGATTGCTGTTCTTCGAAATAAGTAATAGTAAGTACAATAACTTTCGATTGGCCCAATTGAAAACCAGCATCTAAGTTTAGTAATAACACAATCATGCAGTAAATCAAAATGTTTTTTTTACCATCATTGATTTGAAAAGGTGATAACGATGAATATAATGCCCATTGATAAACTAACAGTGATTCATCGCCTTTGCAATGTGATTGATCATCATACCTAAAAAAAAAGAAATTATTTTTTTTTTGAAGTATTTTCATCGTCGAAGGTTGATAGATACCCCACAGTATCTCGTTGATAACTATTAGTTGTTGCTTGACAAGAATGAACAGTTAATTTTTCGATAGCTCTATTCGATGTTCCAAAAAATGGTTCGATACCAACTAAAATATAAAAACAAAATAGATATGTAAAATCTATCTATTTTATTATGATTAGTTTTTTAATTGAAATAACACTCTAAAACGCGTAACTATTCTATTTAAAAATGATAAAAAATCGCCAATTTATCGATGATTAATCGGCGAATTTTATCGAAACGGTACACAAATTACAATTTTCCCAGGGAAAGCCACAAATTTCAGGAATTTTATCGTGATTTAGTAGTTCAATTAATTGTGATAAAATCGTCAACTTTGTCGCAATTTTAAGAACATGGGTTGTTGTTATAAAAAAGTTTCAGAACAATTTCGCAAAATTAAACTCTACACGTTTCACAATTTTATTGCACAACAAAAATGCACAATATAGTATAACGAAACAGTATATACGAAAGAAATATATTGACGTATATGAACACTTGTTTAAAAGAATTGACTATTATCCACAAAGTCAAAGTGTCCTTTCTTCGTGTCTCTGTAAGAACATGTTTCGAATTAGGTGCCCACTGAAAAATGAAGGTCATACTAGATTATCATCTAATGTTTATGCTGCGAAATCAAAATTATCATATATTGAAATCTTAAACATCACCCACAATCTGATTTTTANGGGGGGGGATATTAGTTAATTGGCATTAAATATTGTCATGCTAAACATGAAAGTATATTAGTAATAAGTAGACGTTAATTGACAGACGCGTACTTTTTATTTTTTCTACATACATGCCTGCCAATAGTATTTAATTCATTTCTCAAAAAATGACGACCTCAATTATAATGTTGACATGAGAAAAAATAGCTATTTTTTTTGCGACATTGGCCCAAAAATTTGTATTATATTCATGTCAATGCTATTGCGCAGTATTTAAAACCTTGAAAATCTATTCTCAAGTATTTTGATCGTTTGCAAAAGATTTTCGAGTAAGCACTATAGAAATGAATTCGTTACCATAGCAAACTGTGCCACTGAAAACTTCACATGTTTGCCCACAAAGACTAGACTAAAGCACTTCTGTTACAAGTGTAAGGTTTATATTCGATGAAATAAATTTTTTTTTTACCAATAGTCCATTCAATATCACTGTTCGGTAAAGTATATTTTACATGTACTGATTTCTAAAAGAAAAACACAAGAAAATAAAAGCAACGTTCAACAATATTCATACGTATGGTAGTTGTCTAAGAGTTGTTGTATTTGCTGGTATTTTAATAGTAATATTAAATTTTGCCAATGATTCAGATTTTGTTGCATATGAAAATACAATGATGAGTATGAGCAGACATAAAAACAGTCGCATGTTAACGTAATGCTTTTCACTTCAGCTCTGCAATTTTTTACCTGTCAATAACATTGTATTTGTAATTAGTAAGAAACAAAATAAGAGGAGAACGAATAGTAGTTGTAAAAGAAAGAGAACGATGTTTAGTCAGAAAATTTCCTTTTTGCTTCTTTATTACTATAAATATGCATCATTAAAATTTTTTTCTAAGAGTATACGTCTAGGCAGTCTATAAAGAATGACAACTGCTTAATACAAAATGCACCTACTGGCTGTAAAGGTGTGCAACGATATTTTTCCAGGCAGACATTACAATGATTTTAAATAACAAAAAAGTAATAAAATTTACATAAGAGAAATGATAGTTTTAGATAAAATTTTTAAATATCGATTATAATTCAAAGAAACATTCTTATCTTTACAATAATTTCTTTCTTTGAATTTTCTTGATGAATCATCGAGTCTTTTTATGTGTCATCAATAGAAAAAGAATATTCAGAATAATTGCTCATTGATGAGATGTTATAGAATTGTTGTTGATTCAATTCCTGAGATTGATGGGCCAATATATAAGAGATGTCAATAAAAAGAATTCTATAACGTCTAACAAGCAGAAGATTAATCCGAGAACCATTGATCTAAGTTTTTCAAACTTTATTAAGTGCACTTGAAATGGTGTAATATCTATTTCTGCTTGTTCCAAACGATTCTCAACTAGTCTATTTAGATATATTTATTTTCAATCTTATTATTTGACATATTTATACGCCGATTGAAAGCATGTCATTACAATAGAAAATCGAACTGAGACCACCTCTATTGAGAACTTCAAATTTCGATCTAACTTTCAATTGGTATCAAATTGATCAGTTCTTACTTTTGAAAATCGTAGTAATACCGACCTGAGAAATTTTTTTATCAACTACGTAATTTAAAACAAAAATTCAATTCAATCACGCTCTATTGCGGATTAACTAATGTCATGTTTCAAGTTCTACCGAATGTAATAAGGCAGATCTTGACTATTCAAGGGTGTCATATGTTATTTTGTGAATATATTCGTATAAAACTTACATGATTATATCATTCTTAATCTTGACGGAAGATGACTTTTACACATATTTAGGAGTTTAAATGATTCAATCTATTCGACAAGATACAATCTCGTACATATGAGAACTTTATAATGATTTCAAGTAGAGTATTGAAAAAAATCTAATCGAAATTTATATCACATTTTGAAACTAAAATATCGCGAGTTTTGATAGGCACGCTATCTTCTCGTGCGTACAACTTATGTGGTTTATCGTAGCTATATGACGCATTATTCAGAACATGCTTACCCTTGTAAGTTCCGCATTGATAACGTTTGATAGATCGATAAACTTTTCTTATCAAAGAACTCAATGAAATAAAACTAAAATAAGAGTTTTATTTTTCTTGTGTCAATACTATTTCTTTTTTTTTCTTGTTTATGGACAAACTAGCATATCGATTTCATCTTATCATAACATTTGGCATCAGCAGAGAAGTGTCAAATTATACTACAAAATGATCAAGTAAATTAGTTACGCGTGGTTTGAAGCGATTAAACTGAGAAGTAATGGCATATTTACTCAAAACATCAACACTCTCTCTGTAAAATGGAGAAATTTAAGTTAATTTCTTGTTGGTAATTTTATATCCGCAGAAAAATGACGTATTCGTAGCAGGAGAAAAGAAATTTAAATATCTGATGAATGCATTCACTTCAACCTCAAACACTGCCTTCTCTGATCTGATGTAGTCTAATAGGTTTTTTTGATCTTTCTTCTCTTATGAGTTTATACGCACAATGTGTCTCATCAGGTGTCACCTGTAAGGTCATACTATATCATGGTTACCGTCTCATCTCGCACACTGAATATACGTCTAAGATCTTTGTAACTAAGAAAATAATAGAAAATCTTGTGCTCTCTCCTTGTGTCATGCATGCGAACTATTAAACACGATAATACGAGTAATTTATACCACATCAAAACGAACTGAAACAATTGATTGTACGTCTTTTTCTTTCAATCGCAAAATCAAAGAATTGATTTAAGAAAAAAAAAAGAATTCAATGAAATTTAAAAAGAACCACGCGCTTGAAATGTGTCATGTTCATTCATACATGCTCGTTCAGTAAATTCATCTGCACAAGCCATACGAAGTCGTTCAACAGTTGCTGGTGAATTTAAAATAAAGTATCCTGAATGACCTTGTTGTTCTCTGTATGCCATACAAGCATTTTTAAGTGCAAAAAATGCCGATGCACCAAGGAAAAGTGGTGGTTCACCGACAGCTTTTGATGAATAAATTGCTCGAGGATTAGGTGCATCAGAAAGAAGTTCCACACGCATATCAATAGGAACATCATTAAATGATGGAATTTTGTATGTACCTGGACCACGAGTAAATAGGGCACCTGGTTTAGTCCATTTATATTGTTTATGATCGCCCCAAATGAGTTCTTCCATTGTAAATAAGCCAACACCTTGTACAAAAGCACCTTCGACTTGGCCGATATCAATTTGAGGATTAAGTGATGTGCCAACATCCTAAAATTCGAACAAATTTATTATATTCAAATAAAATGTATGTCTTGAAATGTTTACCATGAGAATATCAGTACGTAAAATATGCCAATCGCCTGTTAATGTATCTAATTCAACTTCACTTACTGCAGCACCTTGTGTAAAATAATTAAAGTGTGCTCGATTATTCGGGAAATCTCCACCTAATGGTTCAGGTGTTGCATAGAAACCATGTGCAGATAAATCAATACGTAAGAAATATGCTTTTCTAACGAGATCTTCCCATGAAAGATGGACATTGTCACCAACAAGAAGTTTATCTAATCGCTCACGTATTTGTTCACATGCAATACGAATAGCCATTCCGTTCAAGTCGGATGAAGCTGATGCTGCTGTTGGACTTGTATTCGCTACTTTATCTGTACTTGTTTCACTAATATGTACAAGATTAACATTGCAACGTAAAGCTTCAGCAGCTACGGATACCATTTTTGTATGAAGACCTTGTCCCATCTCGGTACCTAAATACAGAAAACAGAAACGATTTTCAAACCAATACGTCTCTATTCTTCATACCTCCATGACTGATTAATACAGAACCATCTTTATAAATAAGAACTAGAGCACCAGCCTGATTAAGAAATTTTGCTGTATATGCAATACCGAATTTTGTTGGCATCATACATATACCACGTTTTCTATATGTATGTAATTTATTGAATTCTTCAATGCTTTTTTGTCGTTGAACATAATCACTTGATTTGGTGAGTTCATCCATTAGTCGAGGTATATGCCATCTCTCTAGTGGTTGACCAAAATGTGTTATATCTCCTTCTTGATACATATTTAAACGACGAATTACAGCTGGATCAAGTTTAAGATATGTAGCAATATGATCGACAATTGTTTCACATCCAAACAGACCTTGTGGTCCACCAAAACCACGAAAAGCTAAAATAAGCAAAGATCATACAATGAAATTTTCATCCGAAAAATAACTAAACCTGTATTTGATGGTAAATGTGTTTTACATAAACGTCCACGTACTCGAACATTGACAAATCGATATGCGTTATCAATATGAAGCATGGCTCGTTCTAAAACTGCCATTGAAAGATCAAATGAATATCCAGCGTTACTCCATAAACGAGCATCAAGTGCTGTAAATTGACCTTCATTTGTAAAACCAACTTTATATTGTATTTTAAATGGATGACGTTGTCCGGTAATACTCATATCAACATCACGTTCAATATTCATACGAACAGGACGACCAACTTTCACAGCAGCTATTGCTACAGAAATACATGGAGCGATTCTATACAAAAATATAGTAAAAACAAGGTACATATGTTATCTTTATTGTTCTTTAGTTTATTTAACTTACGATCTTGATTCTTTACCACCGAATGCTCCACCCATACGTTTAACATGACATGTTACACGATTAGAAGCACAACCAACTGCTAGTGCAGTTAATTCTTGCAGTTTACTTGGATTTTGTGTTGACGAATAGATTGTTAGTTCTTGATCATCATTTGATGGTACAACCATACAGCAGTTTGTTTCCAAATAAAAATGTTCTTGACCACCAATTAATACTGTTCCTTCAAGAGTATGTTCAGCTTCCGAAAGTGCCTGTTCAACGTCTCCTTGCCAAAGACGTCTTTCATCGCCTAAATAAGAATTATGTTCGATAGCATCATCGATTGTAAACAATGTTGGTGTCAATAGTTCATATTCAATTTGTACAAGATGAGCAGCTGCATGAGCAGCTCGCTCCGTTTCACATAAAACGATTCCAATAACTGCACCCACACATGGTGTCACTGATGAAACAAATACTTCTTCGTCATGCACAACATCGCCCGTCATATTACTACCTTGAACATCATTATGATTAACGAATGAAACAAAGCCAGGCACTTTAGAAGCAGCACCAAGATCTATTTTAAAATCAACAAAAAAAGAATTCTGTTTTCTTTCTGTTAAATGAGAAATGCTAATTTTCGTACCGATATTTTTAATTCGAGCATTAGGCTGCGTGGCAAGTACGAATGCACCATAGACAGTATGAGGTAATGAAGGCATATCATCGATATATTTAGCTTCGCCTGTTGTTTGTAAATAACCTGCACGAAGAGGTAATGATGTACCAATGATTTTATGTGATGCTGGTCGCTCAGGAATTGTCTGCTGACCATGAGATATTGCTCGATGATATTTATGAGCAACGGAAAGTTCTTTCGGATCAACAGATGATTGCTGTAATTCAGAACAAACATAAATATAAAATTTGTAAAGAAACGATTGAACTAATGCTCGTCTAAAATGATCGAAATAGAAGAATTATAATTTTCTTGAACTCTTTCAATACCGATATTCTGGTTGACCACCAGGAGTAAGTTCATTTAGTGGCATTTCTTCTAATGCTAGTTCACATGCTTTTTTAATAGTTGCTCGTGTCCATGGTTGCCCGACCAATTCTTTTTGAATTTTTTTTATTAAAATCGTTGTAGGTCCCATTCCCCCAAATGAAAAACGTGTACAAACAATACGCCATTGTTGTTTATCTGTTGACTCAACAGGTTCAAGTTCAACGTGAAGGCCAGCACTAACAATGCCGATGTCATCATCTCGACGACGTGCTTGTTTATAAGAACGAAGAAATGTTTTATTTGTTGATAATTGTAGTGGAATATGAATATTGACAAGTATTTCATCATCGGCCATTGCCACACGACGATAAGCAAGAAAAAAATCAGTGATTGGTACATGCCGAACTGAATTTGTTTCTGTTCGATGTAATTCTAAAACAGCATCAGCAGCTTGAAGTATTGGATTGACATCCGAACTGAAAAAGAAAAGCAAGATATTTCGTTGTGTGTCAATGTTACTATTGATATTGACAAAAGTTTATTTACATAGGTGAAGCATTTACAATATTTCCACCAAGAGACGAAACATTTCGAATTTGTGTTGATGCAAAATATTTCAACTGATCAATAAGAGCTTGGCAAACTCCACCGTCTACTTTTGGATCATTCCATTGAGCGAGTTTAGCTTGTAAACGTGTCAATGTAACGCCAGCTCCAACAATCAATGATGTTGGTGTACGTTTCATCTGTTGAAGTTCTTCAATATTTGTTATACATATAAAACGTGGATATTTAAGACGTTTGAATTTTGTTTCAATTTGTACTTCTGTATTACCATAAACAAGTTTTGATGCACCACCAGGATACGTAGAACGTAGACGAAGTAATTCATGAAGAGTGACAGGGCGATACCATTCAATTGTTGAACCTATTTAAAACAGAATTCAATGATGTTAATATGAATTAATTATAATATAACAAACCTTTAATATACGTAAATTGAGGAATGTATTCACGTAATTCCTGAGGAAACTCTACTTTAGTGATTTCTTTATTACTTTCTTCGACAAATGAAAGACATTTGTCCAATGTTGTTGAAATTGATTTTGATGCTGATGAATCTTTACATGGTAATGTATTGATATCTGTTGCAAATGTTTTCGCAGCATCAAGAATTGGTCGATAGCCAGTACAACGACAAAGATTCCCATCGAATGCATCTTCAATATCTTGTACTGTTAACGATGTATGAGGATGATCTGATGATGTTAAAGTTCCATATAATGACATAACAATACCAGGTGTACAAAAACCACATTGAGACGCATACATTTCAGCAATACGTGATTGTGCTGGATGCATATTTGATTTAGCAACTGAACCTATTCCTTCGATTGTTACAACGTGACATCCGTCAACCGAACATAGTGGTGCGAGACAAGAATTAACTGTTCGATGCTCAAGAGCACCAGAATTTCGATCTACACATCGTGATACAAGTACGGTACATGCACCACATCCACCTTCACCACAGCCCAATTTCGATCCAGTCAAATCAAGTTCTACGTAAATGTGAACAAAGATATGAATAAAATCTGAATGAGAAAATTCTTACTATTTCTCAGGTACCAAAGAAGAGTCCAATCAGGTTCTGCATGATGTTCGATAACTTTGTTTCCATTTACATAAAACAATAGATAGTCTATTGTTGGAGTTACAGATTGTTGCACAGTTTCTTTCACCATCTTTTTCTCAAATAACTATATCAATATACGAAATAAGTTGACATATTCATACTAGATGATAAGAATAAAATTATAATATCTTATAACAAAATATCTGAGTGATAAGCATTATTTCGCATGTTGTTTTATCTTGCTTGTGTTATAGAAAAGTACTGCGATATTCTTTTTGTATTTGGCCTTGATTTTTATTTGTTTAAAAAAGAGCACTTTTAATAAAGAAAAAAGAGTAGCTGTCTAATTCGACTTCGAATATAAATGCAAAAAAAGCCACTTTCATGTTTTCACGCGACCGTCAGAAAAAGATTTAGTTTTTATGATTTATAAAAGTTATAAATTGACTTCGCTCCCATTTACAATTCAGCATGAGGATAAAAATTTAGTCATTATTAATTAGAAAATTTATAAATTGACTTGTGTGGGTGTAGACGCGTATGACTGCCTCCCAGGTCGAACAGTCCGGTCTCATCAATTCCTGTCGGAAAGCACCGGAACTTAGCAGCAATCCGCCGGAAAAGTTCGGCCGTATTTTTGACCGGAATACTGCTTCCATGTTCCCAGTAGTGTCAAACTTGAAACTTGAATTCAGTTGAAAATAGAAAATTTCAACTTTCAACTCATAGCGACATATATGCAATTTTTTTCGTTTATTTTCGAATTGTAAATGGTTATTCAGATATCGATTTATATTCGAAGTCGAGCTAGGCATCTCATGAGAAAAAAAATAAGCGAATCAAGTTGAACGATGAGCATGCTTTTTCTCTTGTCAATCGATCTATTGCTGAGATTCTGTAAGTCCTTCACAATGAATAAGATGATTGAAAAGTTTTCTGATCATTTTTATTTATCAACACTAAGAAACTCAACTAAATAAATTATTGTTTAGTATGCATAGTTCATTTAGTGCTTTTTTACGTATACCACAAAGTGACATGAATCAAACTTAACAGATAAGCAATGCAGTAAACTTTTATCTAAGTCAAATGCATTGGCAAGAAAGAATAGAAGACAATTTATCATAGAACGATATATATCTATATATATATTTTGTAACAGAAGATCGTTAAACACATTTATACCAATTAAAAAGTTTAACGAAAAAACAAACTTCACGTTTTTAAGTCTGAACTATTTGTGAGATGCTTAGACGTTAACATTCATATTCAAATATTTTCATAATTTATGTCATCAAGAATCTGTTGAGTTCACCTCTATCAACTGAAATATGAAAATTTTTGTTGCGACAAGATGTGGGATTCGAACTCTAATATAATGTGCGATCTATTTTTGTGTTCTGTTCATGATTGAAAAACTGTATGAGATTTTAAAATTATAACTATTTCACGTGAAAAAACCTCGATTCAACTAAATTTTTTTGACTCTTGTTACTACGTATTCGAAAGTAAGACTACTTTGAGTAAAAATTTTGTTTTTTTGCATCTCTAGCAAAAGTTCTTATCGAACTTCAAGCATTCTATCCAATTTTGGTGAAAGAAAAGGAATCTACTGATATTTTGAGTATCTGGAAAAATAGTAGCGCTTATTTTTTTTCACTCATTCACTTGCCGACGTGACACAGTCCCACATTACACACCCTTTAATTGCTAGCTTTATATTTTTAACAAGCTAGTTGCTAGTCAATATTTGCCGATACATCATGACACTCACGAACGAAGAAATCAGAATTTCTTTTTAAATTGCAACGAATAATTATCGAGATATACTTACTTGTAATTGCGCTATTTGTTATTAAAGTTACTTTTGATTTCAAATGCCGCAGTGTACTAAGTCGTGATCACAATATTCGATATAGCATCTGTTATGAATCTCAGACACAACTGTATGCTTACTGATAACGACAGCAATAATCATGGTGCCCACTGTCGATTGTAAATACTGTTGCATCGCATATCGCCGATATTGGTCAAATAATCACAATATGCAATAAATCAGGATTTCGGTATGAGATGTAGATATGACTATTGGAAATAGGCATAAGCCTTATTTCTAATCACTTGAAGTTTGTTTTTTTTTTTTTATAAAACTGTTCTTTGTTTTGCGAACTCAGCACATCTCATCATAATCCTGACGAGTAAAACATCAATCGATATAAACGATCAGTATATTTTCATGATTATTTAATAAAACGTTGATAGAATGAGAACTCTTGCGGCTAAACTATGTTCAAATTGTATGCTTGTTTGTCAGTAGGGGTCGATCGATCACCCATTTTTGGACGTAAACTATATTGATAATTTCAATGCAATTCTGTCTAATCTGATTTTGATAATCACATCCCTATGTATGTATATATTGTCATTAATTTACTGTAAATATCGTAAGAATTGCCTCATATTATTGAAGTCAAAATTACTTATTACTTGTCGATTATATAGATCGTAAACTTATTTTCGAATTGAAGCACATGTAATATCAACCTGATGACTTTAGTCCTGAAAAATGTCGAATGATCTATATATATGACGTTCTTGATATTGATAGTATTCTCTGAGAATATATCTATGGAAATATTTTATTTCAAACAGGTGAAAAACAACAGCAACGCCATATAATAATTATTTAAAAATTTGAATCTGATCTCCAACATGAATCATAGCATTTTCATATGTTTTCGAAAGATTCAGTAAAATTCCAAAATTAGCTCTTAATGTATTCATTTCTCTCCGTTGTGTTTGCAAAAGAGTAAAAAGATGACTTTGATTTTTTCCAGTTGATGGATCAACATTAACTACTGTACATCGTTGACATAAACCAATGACTTTCAATTCAATATCGGATTCATTTAAAATAACTAAGCGCTTCCAAGAATCTTCACTATACGCTGAAAAAGATTGATTGGCGTATTGTTTGTCAACAACTAAATTTGGTCGAAAACGCTCATGTGTAATTTTTTCATTTAAGTTCGATCGAATTTGTCTAACACTTTCTTCATTTACAAGAAGAAAAGTACCTTCATTTGCTAACGTCATTTGGCTATCATTTGTACGACGCGCTAATGTTGCATAAATACCTAAAACTTTAGTTAGCCATTGCTCAATTTCACCACCATAAACATGGCAAGTTATTCCATCATTTAAATTCACCGTTGATTTAATCATAGTTGAATCTAAAAAGAAAATTTAAAAAAACGAAGAACAAAACATATTGTCGAATCGATCTCCTACAAACCATTGTTAATTTCAATAATAAATGATGGATGATTAGTTGCATTGAGTATAAGTTGATTTTGTTCTGAGTTAATAGAAGGTTTTATTTGTGATAAAGCTGGTAAACGTTTAAGTGTTAATGGATTTAAATTTTGATCAATAATCATCCATTCGCGATCATACAAAAATGACATTGATGTTAAAGGCCATTCTTTTACTAATATTGAAGCACAAGATTTTATTGGATAAATATAAATATGAGTTAAAATTAAATTTTTCTCTTCATCACATCCATTGTCCGTTGGTACAGATGATGGTAGTTGAGGTGCAATTCCAATACCTTGTAAAATAACTTGCCGAAGAAAATGAATCCAACATTGAATATCTTCATATCGACTCATCCAACCAAGACTTAGACGAATACTACCTAATGGTTGACGACCAGAATCTAAAACATCATCACCATCCGCATTTGTACCACAAAAAAGTCCACGACGACATTCATGGTCATTTTCAAATGATTTACTTGAACCTAAAAAGAGAACGATTTTAAATGTTTAAAAATAATTTTTGTCAACAGTCTATTTTTTTTTCTCTAGCCTATAACTACTGGTGATTAGAAGATATTTTTTATTATCATAGTATGAATATCTCATGTGTCTTTTTTTTCAGAAAGACGTAAACTATAATATGTCTCATTGAAAAATGTCTTAAATTTTAATACTCGTACCAAGATAAGCTTGACTTGCACCTGGCGTACAAAATGTTCCTACTCTTAAAATGATATTATGATTAGTAGCAATTCTGTGAATTAAACGACAAGAAATAAATTGTCCATAGATATTAAACAAATTAAAATTTAGAATCGGTCCGTATGAATAACCATTTTCAATTAATAAATTACTTCGTGCATCATAAAATAAGCAAAGGCGTTGCCCATTTGAATAATTTAATTTTAGCATTTCATTTCTACAATAATCAATTAAACATTGCGTGTGTAATGATATCGACTTATATGATAGTTTATTTGTTATTAATTGAAAACCATGATGAAGAGAAAGAATTGTTGCACATGGTATCGTTCCATGAATAAATCCATTGATACCAGATTTATACTCAACACGAGAATCATCGTAGGGTGATACATATTCTACACTGCCACCGCCAAAATAAGTTTCTTTATTCAGTAATTTTAATGATTCATTTCGAATTATCAATGCACCTAAACCAGTTGGATAACCAAAGATTTTATAAAATGATAAAACAACGAAATCAACTGGATACGATGAAAGTGAAAATGGTTTTGTTGATAAATATTTTGCACAGTCTACTAATGTTAACCAATGGCATGCTTCCGATGGACTGCGATGTACTGGTATGGGAAAATCTTTCAATTGATTATCTCGTGCATTAATAAAAGGTCGTACAAGTTCGTCGAGTGGTGATCGAAGTCCATTAAAATTATTTTCTGCTGGTGTTGCAAATAGACAATAATATGGATCACTTGATTCTACATTAGGTGAAGGAGAAGATGCCGAATGGCCCATACAACGAAATGACCAATTATTATTGGAATCGTTTTCTTTATTATAAATCTGTAGAGGGTGAGAAATTATTGAAAATGAACCTCCTTTCAATTTGACTTGTTGTCGAATTCCAATAAGACTATTATGACTATCGATCATATAAGCATATTCAGATTGAGATGAAAATGGAAATAATGATGATAATAATTGGCAAGCATGAGTTGCATTCAATGTAAATATAATCGAATAATAACGACTTGATGTTTCAAATATGGATAAAATTAATTCCACACATTCTTGAATTAATAATAATGATTTAGAATCTTCTTGTTCACTATGTGGATTATTCAATGTTAATGTACGCAGTTGATGAAAATGAGCATCTAATTGAGATTGACTGTATAATGTTGTACCAGCATGATCAAGATATATTCGATCCGAAGGATAATGATTTATAAATTCATTTTGATAGATTTCATCTATTGTTCCATTATATCCATCTATTAAAATAACAAAATAAATAAATTTTGATTGAGAACATCTTTAAAACTTACATTCAGGATGAGTCTCTATAAATTCTTGCTTATCCATTGTCTCGTAAAATGTTGTATAGATGTTCAAGTGTTATGTCTTACCTTTTTCTTTGTATTGTAATATATTTAACTTTTTTTTTTGAAAATCTATCTACCTTATTTAAACATGTTAACAAGAATGAGAATAATATTATCAACTTTACTTATGCATCAAAGATATTCAAAAGACTTTTCGTTCGTTGTTATCTCGAATGACATGAAGGACAGCAACAAATGGTTATATAAGAGTGCATAAATATAAGTATAACCTTTCGAAATTATGACTTTGAAATTAATTAAACTGCGATTTTATTTGATTACCGTAGCACAAAATTAAAACTATTAATCGTAGAATATTTTAGATTGCTATCGTCTAACATGATTAGATAAAGAAGAATTTATATGTTATACAAATACTAGACAAGTTGAATGCCTATTGTATAAATAGCAAATCCAATATCAGCATTGTAACGATTTTAGTGCTTATTACACACCAGAAATTAATTTATTCTCCCTTGTCTATGCTTTCTATACTCATCGTAGAACGAGAGTAAATAATGAAAGGACAGACAACTGGAATGACATACATGAACAATCAACTGCATAAGAACGTGATAGAATAAAATAATACACAATAAATTTGTTCTTCGTTGGAAGCGATACTGAATATGCCTTATACTTTCGACTGATGGAAGATTTCGTTTAATTTCTTCCTTGACAAACTCGTCATCGTACTGAAGAGCTACGTATCGAACCACAAGCGTAAAGGAATCCGGAGTGAATTTTGGCCTACTCACAGTGATGTTGATATTACTGACTTGTGACAGCCATTTATCCGTATTTATTAATGCTGCATACGACGCTTTGTTGTTAACTTCTAATTTTAATTTATTACCCCCAGGTCGTGGACGTACGGCGGGAAACGGCCGGAAAGCACAGGAAAGCGCTGGAAACTGGAAGCAGTATTCCAGTTGGAAGTTACCGGATTTTCTTCCTGTAGATTCCGATCAACTTCCAGATGTAAAACACAGAAAACTGACCGGAAAACACAGGAAACTGACCGGAATCCACAGGAAAAAAATCCGGTAACTTCCAACTGGAATACTGCTTCCAGTTTCCAGTGCTTTCCCATGCTTTCCGGCCAGATACGGTGATTTTTCCGCATCTTTCCGGCCGGTTCCTGCAGTATCCGTCCTCCGGAATCATTGACCTGGGGGCCTACATTACCGACTAGTGAGAACGATATCGAGATTCCTTGTCGATTGAAATAATCTTCAATTACCCGTGCTGCTGATATATCCGATGGTTTATTCTTTCAGTTTTCAGCTTGTTAGTATTCAATGAAAAAGCATGGGAGATTGCTTGAAACAGCACGCTTTAACTGTTCAAAAGGGATTCGATGTTGTTGTTGTACTGATACTTTTTGTCGAGTTTGGTTCAATTGAAGATTATTATTCATTGGGTGTACAGGGCTTGGAACCTTCCATAAATTCATTTCACGAGTCTTTTTTTGTTTACCGTTCGGTAACACCCGTTGTTGTTTTGATATCTGTGTACCATCATGATCACTTGAATCTAAATTTCGTTTAGGCGTTTGAGGAGTTGATGATTGAGTTGAAGCATTCAGGTGGTGAGGAAAAGTATGGTGAGTAAGATGTTCATGAGCACCAAACGCGACATTTGGATTTTGACTAATGAAAGCGATCATTTATTCCAGATTATTGGCACCTGATGTATCAAAAGCACCAGCAGCTGTTTGTTGATTATTTTTTGGCATTTCGTTATTAGATAAATTTGGCTTCAGATTTCATGATGAATCTTTCTTATCGTGACGATAATTACCGCTAATTCCTCTCCTCATTCAACAAGATGAGGATGATGATGTCAGAGGAGAATGCAAGCAAGCGCTCGTGCATCTACTCTCGAGAGAGGAAAGAATGAAAGTGACGAAACGTGCGTTCGGAGCGCGTTGCAAACGAGACGATCAGAACGCATGAACACGTTTCGAATGCGTTCGTTCAGTGTGCGAAACGCGTTTCTGATGACACAGAACGAGAACGAGAACGAGAACGAGAAGACGAACGCTCATTCCGATTAGTTCATAGATCGAGCCAATTGTTATCTTCAGTGAATTCAAAGATATTTTTCTACTTTTAATCATTTCTGTTTATTTCTATACGAAATAATAAAAGGGCATGCGTACAAATAAAGAGAATGAGATCAGCTAAGAAAACTTACAATTATCGCATACAAGAGCAATTGTAGTTAGTTGAATAAAAAAAGGCAGAAAACACAAGCACATAAATGTGAAATAAACATGAATGCTTTTTACAGTTCTTAAATTAACACACGTTTATCAGTTTCAAATGCATATTATTGAGAAAGAAAGAGAATTTAGCTCATTATATAACAAAATATGAACTAATGTTTACATAATAAATTTCACAAGTTAAAAGAAACTACATAATAAAAAAGCTCCTATGATATAGCTGATTCAATATTTTTTAAATCTTACCTACAACAGATACTAATTCTTGGTCACTAATGTCATCTGTTAATTAATAATTAATATTTCTTTTATAAATTCAGAAAAGAAATGTTCTTGACGAGCATTCTTATCATCAATCAAAATATGATATAAATCAGAATGAAAGTGATTTGAATGCTCTTAGGATCAGCCAAGATTCATTGATTGAACACCATCACTATATAGTATTGAAACCATTAGGAATTATTAGAAATAAAATTACTGAGTTTTAAATATGTTCATGTTGTTTTTCATTATCAATTTGATGCCCAAGTTCAGTATTAAGCAACATATCAGTACTGCTTATATTTGCTATTTGAAAAAAAAACAATAATAGTAAATCTTAGATTAGCAACACACAGGGATCCCGATTAGCGGGGGGGGGGGGGGGTTTGGGGGCCCCGCCCCCCCCAAAATTTAACAAATAAANGTCTTGATTACAGTACGTTTGTGTACCGTCAATTACGATGTTTCTTTTCTAGTAAAAATGTTGATTTATGCACTCCGTTGTTAAATGAACATTTTCGTTCTGCAGTTATTCGTTTCTGTTTGTGACTCCGCTGTTTCATTTTCTATTTGTGCCAGAAAATCTGTAATTTCTACCTTTTACTTCTGTCGAAAAATCTAGCCATTCTATTTATTTCTGTCAGAAAGTCCACTCACTCTATTTATTATTTTATTTCTGTGAGAAAGTCTATTCAGTCTACTTGTAATTTCTGGCAGAAAGTCTATTCAGTATAGTTTTTACTTCTGCCAGAAAGTCTAGCCTTTCTATTTGTTACTTCTGCCAAAAATTTCACCGCCGTTGGTGGGCGTTCTGAATCTGTCTATTTGATACGCAGTCCCATGTCGTTGAAGCCGTAGATATCTGATATATTCACTATAATCACTTAGTTTCCGAATGTTGAATTTTATTAAAGATGACGCCATAAAATTAGTTGTTCGCTAATAAATAACCAACAGGAACATTAATCATACTATATTAGTTAGAGAATGCACTATGGAATACTTGTTCAATTTTTTTTGAACTGCAATGACTATGTATATACTAAACAGATTGAGTTAGAAAAAAAATATGAAAAAAAATGATAAACGTAGAGAAACCGCATCGAAGTGGTGATAACCGTTCGCTTTGACGAAAACTGAGTAGCATGAGATGATATTTATAGGTGACATCATTTCAGATTTTTTTAAATATGATTTCAAAAATAGTTCATACAACTAGTTGTACAGTAAAGTGTCCTATCGGTGGAAAATCAATGCTTCTAAAAAACTGGAAAGATCATTGTCGGCAATTTCATGCCATGTCACAAACAGCGATAGATTGCAAATATTATGAGTTGAAAAGAAATATAGAACAGTCAAATTTAAGTACAGTAACATTAGATGCAACAAAATGTAACATTACTTCTTGAATCTGATCAATTGAAACAGAAAGATGACGAGTTTTGAAAAACTTTTTTAAATATTACTTTTTATACATATGTTGTTTTTACTTATTTTTAATTAAAATGAACTTAGATCATCTAAGTTAGATGATGATATTATAAATCAAAGATTTGCTTTTTGACGTATACTGCCTGCCAAAAAAAATATAGTTTCTGCCAGAATTTAGCCCCCCTCACTTCCAAAAGTAATCGGGAACCATGGGTATTGCTCTACAGTAATCTTAATAGTAAACTTTATTGTTTCGATCAGGCTTGCCGATTAGGGGGTGGGAACGGCTGACCTCTTCCAAAAATTGAAAACCTGGCAGTCTTTCTTCAAAACAATCGACAGCCCTTGTTTCAATGAGTAGATTTCAATGTTCTCCAATTGTAAGTTTTGCTGAATGACAATCAACATTTGTTTTCTTGGCTGAACTGAGTTGCTGTCCTTGTAAACTATATTAAAAGAAGCCAGGATGCAGGCAATGCTGCTTTTCTCAAGTTAATTATCAAGACGCTGTGTGCCCTCTACAGACTGCTCTGGTGTATCTTATGACATAAGATACAATGCGCCAATGTCCCGTTGTGATCATGTGTTTTACATCGATGCATTTTCTGTAACTCATTGTTAACCAAATATTTCCATTGTCACAGATTGTTTATTTATCAATTTTCATATTGACACTAATTTAATTATTTGGCAGTATATTTAGAAATAAAAATATCTATTTTTATCGCTTTGTGAAAAATCCCTAAAATAAATGGTTGAGGATATTAATAGAATTCTATGTTGTTATCGTGAGAATGATGATCAAAATAATAGTTCGGTCAAAGGGGAACAAACTGATTTCTTATGATTTCCAGTGATTTCTATTACTGGAAATCAGTTTTTATATGATCATTGCAAACGAGCAGAAATCATTGGAAATGTTGAAAAATTAGGAGAAATCAATATTTTCTTTCACTATATAGTTCGAGCGAGAATTTCTGTGATTTGCATTTGTTTTCTTGTAAGTTCTAACAGTTGAATCGTTATTCACATCTTTAATACATGATGATTTCTAGTGATTTCTATGTCTGGAAATCAGTTTGTTCCCCCTTGAGTTCGGTGAAGATCATGTTTACTGATCATTTTTATTCTTTCTATTTGAAATCACTCTATTAACATTTAGATTTACTTGATGAGTGGTCTTATATGGGGCCTAAAATGAAAGAATTACTATCGAATACACGTAAAATACCACTTCGAGTATGTATGTGCTTTGCCTTCAATTCTATTAATAGTACGTATTTAGATTTCTGATTTGACAACACATAGTATTGAGTTTCGTCGTCTAAAACAACTATTAAATGATCTAGAAGTGACAACATCATTGTGGACAAATGCCATAAATCAATGTCGTTATGTTCTTCAACATGCTCAACAACAAATACATCGTTCACAGATTTAATTTTCTCTATTTATCATGTTCTTTTTTAAAATTCTATCCGTTACTGTTAGCTCAAATGTTGATATCAGAGTACCTTCTTTTTATACTTCTCTAATGTTTATATAATAATATGAAAATTTGTTTTGTTTCAGTATAAATAGTCTTAAGAAGTCAGTTCATTGTTTAAACTATTTTTTTATTGTTACGCATCATTGTTCAATGTTATTATAGTTTTCATAAATTCAAATGTAATTTCCAAAAATAGTTTTATAAACATTGCTGAATGAATTAATAAATTAGAAAGAAAAATAAATATCTATGTTTCAAATACAACATTATTTCAAGGATGTCACTTATTTTCTCTTCTGGAAGTATCAAGGTCGAATTAGGATATACTACTACATTCATTTGTATAATTATATCACATTGATTGAGAAAATCGTGACAATCATAAATGTTTATTGAGTGTCAAATGTTCTCAAGCGCAAGACAGGGATATGTCCCTTCCATTCCTATAGACATTTTTACATTGATATTCATTGGTTCGATCACGACAATAAACGAGCAGACATCGTTGGAGTTCGTCATGCTGATTATTATCTGAAGGCCGTTTTTGTTTTTGATATTCTAAATTGTGAAAAAACTCGGTTGTTTATGAAAACAATGGCCTAGTTATGTTTCTATATCTGCACAGCTCAAAATAATCATGAAATAATTGATGCTATCAAAGAATTCGAATACTTAGAACAATAAATGAATCAAGTTCTCTGAAGTGATGTTATAACCTTCTTAACTCTTCTAGCGTGTCTCGATTACGACCACTACTACTAGCTACTCAACCTTTCATGATGAAATACTATATATGATATTGTTGATTTAAGAATATTTCACTAGACATTGTCTGATGACTAAGACCTTCGTTGATCGAATTCTATGCTTGAACTTCAGTTGTAGACAGATCCATATGTTCTGAAAAGAATGTTTTTCTGCGTTTCAAACCTTGAGTGCAGCTGATAATCATTAAAGCTATCTATAGATTGTAGTTCAAGTCGAGATTTGATCATTGAAATTGTCAGGGATTCAACAGCCATAGAGAGAAATACTCGTCAGTTGACATGCAACGGTCTATCAAACATAACTCGGAAATTTCTAGTGATCACCATGACCAATCAAATGAAATCAGTTTGAAGAAAAAAGTGAGAAAGCGTTGTTTGAACACGTTCTCATATGAACAGTTGTAATTAAAGATTTAATACTTTTCAGCACAAAAAGAATCTACACGAGGTTTTCATGCTAATAATATTTGATATATTATTATTTTATGTTAATAGCACATACTTGTGTGTTCTTGATTATTGAAAGAATTACATCGTCGTACTGTAATATCTTCAGAAATAAAATCATTCTCATCGATAATGGACTGTTTTGAAAATGTCGAACACGTTTTTTTTATTGATATTGAAGACGATGATAATTGTCCTGATTTTTTTTTAGTTCTACTGATTTTTTCATTTTCATACGATTTTCGTTGTGCAATAATATATTTTTCCTGTTCAATTAAAAGACTAAGTGTATCAATGCAAGAATTTAGTTGATCAACTAAATCTTGAATATTTTCATTTGTCAATGTAGGGAATTCTGTTTGACAGACATTTGATCTAGTACTTGTTGATGATCGAACATGTCGTCGAACATGAGGAACTATTGTCGATGGAAAATGAGGCACTATCGAAGCAACACTTCTGCTAGATGATACATGAGGTGTCATAACAGGTAATGCTTCAAAATCCATCTGTGTACCTTATTATTAAATACGTTGAGAATCTATCATTCGTATAGTTTTTAATTTCTACCGGGCATAGTAGTAGTAGTGTGCGGAATAGCAGCATCTGGTTTAGGTTGATTGTGATCGTCAATAAGTAATTGTGTAAATGCCAATGAACAAGCAGACGAATCGTCTACATATATGTCCCTCGCTTTTCTCACACTCATGGAATTTGACATTTTCTTCTCGAGTGCTTGTTGCGAAAAGAAAATATTAGAAACAAGAATTGTCGAAGTGTCCTTATTACTAGTTGTGGTTGATGACGAGACTAATAACTTGTTTATAGACGATTGTATTGGTGGTGCCTGGAGTTTGACATGACTAAGTGATGTATCGAATTCATGAGGATAATTTTTACAGCCTTGCAATTGATTTTCTACGAGATTAGCTGATTGAATTTTCTTATTCCCTAATGTATAGATATGAAAGCAAATTACCAAAAAAAAAAGATGTCAATTTAAAAAGACACATGTATTTGTTTCTTCTAATAATAAATGATAACCGATTAAATCTACTGAATTCTAAATAATCATAGATACTCACACTTATTCGTGAGATTAATTTGTTCGTATTCCGATGAATTTTTCATAATCGTTTGTGAATTCAGCACTTCATGACAAGGTATTCGACGTACCGTAATCATATTTCGTTGATAAAACTGATTAGTTTCTAATCGTTTATGATTAGTTTTTGTTTCATTTCTATTAGATCTTCGTCGTTTTTTATCTTTTTCCCAAATTTGAAATCTTTGTCTGAAATTCTCTCTCTGTCGATCTGCCAAACTTTTGTTTGGAAATCTTGAGGATTGCAAATAGAAATTGGACGGGTACAACAATAATTCTTGTATTATTTCATTGATCTGAAGATCAGGTGGCGGATATATTTGTGTATCAACATGATAATGGGTATATAATGCTGCGAGACTATTTCTTTCCATTGGGAAATATGAATTATAATTATTATTCGTGCAAGACGAAGAAAATAACATTTAAGTTATTCATTGTATTTCAATATTTAATCGATGCCAACGTGACAATAAACAGCTTTTCTCATCGTTAAATTGATAGAGCACAAGTTTCTTTTTATAGCATAGATCTACTTGTCTAGGTTTTCAATTGCTGTTTGAAGAAGAAGAAGAAGAAGAAGAAAAATGATAATACAATGCATATTTCAATATAAAGACAAACTATAAAGTGAAAGAAATAATAAAATGACGGGAAATAGCAATTAGCTGGCGGCTAGGTTACTAAAGAGTATATAGATGCTTCTTTTTTTTTTTTTATAGAATATTAATAGTTCTTCATTTGTAATCTGATCTAAGATTTTGTACTATCTTGACATCGAAGTATGAGAACATGAAGTTAGTAATCAGTTCTTTTTTGTGTACTCAAAGAGTGAGTGCACTCTAGATTCGGCCAGTGTGTCCGTCCGGCTGTCCGTTAACACGACAACTTTTGAAAGCCTCATCTAATTGTCATGAAATTTTGTACACAGAATGATCTCATCAATATCTCAGTCGATTTCGAAGATGAAAGCAATCCGTTAAGAAATGACTCAGTATATCGAAAAAATTGTCATCTTTGATCAGACCATCCCTGAGGCGGAGTACAGGGATTTTTTCAAAAAACAAATATTTTTCTCAGAATTATCCACAACATATATAAATCGACTCAGTTTTTAACGCTGATTCCGAATCTGATATTAATCTTGAACCAAATCATAGCTTTCTAACGAAACATCGTCTGAAAAAGGTCTCAAAATGCACAAAAACTGCATCCAGAAATCAAATTGCGTAGATATGTCTCAGATGACCAGTAGTTTGGGGTTTTCCAAATGCCTGGTTTTGTAGCTAGTCAAAAGGACTATCGAAAGGTAAAAACTCGAACTCGATAGCTATTAATATTGGTGGCTTATTAGGAAAATACTGATGCCTGTATCTATCATATATCTCTTATAGATTCATGAGGTTGCTGACGATCGTAATTCCGCTAGATACAAACGCAAATCCATTCAAAAATAACTCTTCTTACCCAGTTTTCCAAGCTAAACACGAATCTGAACTCAATTTCTGTGATTTCTAAAGTTATTGTATCACTCTGAGAGTACAGTCAGTGGTCACCGGATAGGGTCGTATATAGTGTGGCTCATACTAACTTAGCATGCCTGTATTTTCTCCTTGCAATTTAGTGAAAAGGGATATATCCTGATGAGATCTATCTCTTATAGAATAAATGCGAAAACCTCGGATTTAAATTCAAGTGTTATGTGTACTTCAAACAGTGAAAAGGTATATTCACTTTGTTTTTGTTTTTTTTTAGATAGTTTGATCAAAATCAATCTGTTATCAGTTAGTTTTACTTTTTGACGTACACATAACACTCGGATTTAAATCCGATGTTTCTACATTTATTCTTTAATAAATTAAATATTTTTCTCTTTCTCTTTCTCTTAGAAAAAGCCCTTGCATGAGAATTATCACAGTGTCTCTTGTCATGTAAATTGAGTACTATTCGATATGTTTCTTCATTCTCCTAAGCTAAACTTGTTTTGACAAGAAGAAAAGAGAACGACTAACCGTCTATTATAGGATATCATAAGAATTACATGTTATTATAGAATAAGAAGTAGCAAATGTCTGTGGAGATTATAATGAAGATGAAAGAAAAACATATCAGAGAGTAGTGATACAAATACGATCGATGAATATTGTATATGGAGCAGATTTTTTTCGTCTTTTCGCGAACATCACGTAAACAATAGATACATACTGTATCGACATAGAAATATGAGAATAGATATAATTTGTACATTCTTCTTTGTTTTTTTTTCTATTAAATTTTCCTTCTTTTAATTATAAAGTATCAGTAGAAAATTATCTCTATTATTGTTAAAAATAACTAATCGGACTTGGATAGGTTGGAATTCATTTTGACGTCATCATCGTATTATGACGTATTGTTTTTGTTCATCGAAAAGGCATCTAAAATAAACTATATCTCTTGATAGTTATTTGTTTGACCGTGAGACGCCAAGAATCTATTATAAATATTCTAAGCACATGCGTGCAACAAGAGACAAATTATAAACTCAGTATAGGCAGAGTAACCTTATATTTAACTTTATGTTAATAATACAACAGTTCTTATTGAATCCAGGAAACAAACATTGACCAAATATGTTGTTCTAATGATACTCTCTCGTGTCGATATTTAGAACAATATTTTTGATTTTCTACTAGACTGTACGAACTTTCTTTTCATTATATTCGTATTTTTTATCATCGTCTATAGTAAAAGATGACTACTTTCAATTATTGCATCTAGCTATTAATATTATTCTCTAGGATCATTTTAATTAACAAAATACTATTCTTATAGAATATTCATGAAAACATGTTAAATTTAGAATTTTCTGACATTGCTTGATATATTCTAAGACCGACGGCAACAACAAGAATAATGAAAAACTAGATTTGCTCTTTACAATTCTTTCACTGTCTCGTTTTGGAAACAAGACAATACAATCTTTAGTACTTGAATTTTTGTGAATGAAAGTAAGATTTTAATGAGTATATATATATAGATATCCTTCATTGTCTCTTCTATTAAATATTCTAGGCCCCGTAGACAAAAACTGGGAAATGTTAGATAATACTTCATTCAAGTTAGCACGTATATACTCTTAAGAAATAGGGAGAAAAAAAAGAAACAGCATAAAAGGGAAAATTTATGAAAAACTAGTCGCTACATTCTAACTATTGAGTGAAATAAGATAGTTGCATGCAGTTTTTGTGTTCTTTTGTATCAATCTTTCTGTCTATCTGTCAGTCAAATCATTCATTATTAGTAAGAAGCAGATCATATCTTATAAAAACTAAAGGTAAGAAAGCTAACATCAAGCTAAGTATTAACATTAGCTGCAGCACTTTCTTTTCGTCTCATTACTAATATCTTCTTTGCCCCCGACTTTTGCTATTATGAAACATTTTTTGCATAGTGTCACACAAAAAAGCAAGTTTTGCAGATAAGGTGCGGGTAATTCAAAATTACAGCATCTCTTCTTTTCTGCTTAAACATGCACCATCAGATTCCCATTTTTACGCTGATTACGAATATCTACTTAGTTTTTCGATTTGACAAAACATTCGTGGAGAAAAACGCAAGATACTGAGTGGGTCTAAAAATCAGCAAAAGAATTGATTTACAACAAACACCGCGTATTTCTATAATGTTACACCTTTCACTCTCACCAAGATGCTTTTCGAATTCCTCATGGAAAAACGAGTCTAACAGCGATATAATTATATCGCTGTTAGACTCGTTTTTCCATGAGGAATTCGAAAAGCATCTTGGTGAGAGTGAAAGGTGTAACATTATAGAAATACGCGGTGTTTGTTGTAAATCAATTCTTTTGCTGATTTTTAGACCCACTCAGTATCTTGCGTTTTTCTCCACGAATGTTTTGTCAAATCGAAAAACTAAGTAGATATTCGTAATCAGCGTAAAAATGGGAATCTGATGGTGCATGTTTAAGCAGAAAAGAAGAGATGCTGTAATTTTGAATTACCCGCACCTTAATTTTTAACAACTTGAATTTCTGAATAAATCTTCTTGTTTTTATTCATATGCACAATTTTTTGTGTCTTTCTGACGTAAGAAATAGACACCAAATAATGTTTTTCTTTTTGTTGTTCGGAAGCGCTTAAGTCAACATTGAAATAATCAATATACTATCACAACACAATTCCGATAGACGTATCTTTTAAATGTAATATAAAGCTACGTTATTATGAATTAGTTAGAAGGTCAATATTTTCAAATGAAACAAAAAATATATAAATTCTCTAGATTTAGACATTAACATAGCGATTGATTTACTGCAAAAAGAACAATCATGAGCATCGATTGTAAAAATATGAGATGACTTAGGAGCTCAAATTCCTTCACGTCAGAAAAATAATGTTGTACCAGAGGAATATTTAATCGAATTTTTTGCCGACGATGTGGTGAAGGTCGTATTGGCATTCCGACATTCTTGAATGCATCGTGATTCAGATGCATTTAAACGTTCGTGAACAATGTTAAAGGTAATTTATTTTATTCCAAGTTAGCATGGAGCAGGAAACTTATTTTTATATTCATGTGTGAGGTAATTAGTGAATTCATTCGTTCAGAAACGCAATTAGAAAGTACTTCACTGATATAACGCTACGGGATTTTGATATCAGACTTATCATCGTATTTCAACAACATGTCTCATAATCTGAGTGTAAATGGTTGGAATTTTTATGTTTATACTTTAATACTTTTCTTAGATCCTGTTTCCAAAAGTAAACCAAAACCTAAGTAATAAAACGTAACTGTAGTAAGCAAGAATATACTACAACATACATTTATTCTAAAGTATTCGTTACATTTTGGATTTGAAACAGAAACATATCTGTATTAAATACAAATAACTTCATAGGTTTTGTTTTAAAGAAAAATAAGTAAGCCATATGGCACATCTGTTTTTGTATGTGTCGGCTTACATAAGTAGAAGGTTGTGCAAAACGTTTTGTGTGACGGAAATATATATACATATATATATATATATATACATATATATATATATATATATATATGTAAGAATTTTCTTTTTCCTTTCTTCTTTCAGTAATCAACACGTTTGATTATAGTCTTGTGACATAAACGATTAGTAAGAGATTATATCGAATTGAACAATTAGTAGGACAACGAGAAAAGATTTCATCGGGATTGCCAGTGAATATCTAGTTGTTTTTTATTTTATTAAAAGAAACAAGTCACGTGGAAAAAACAATGTTAGTTACATCAGTATTGAAGTATGATGCACTATATATCATTCTCGTATACCAATTAACTTATGTTCGAAAAGTGACTATTAAATTGAGTATGTAAATATCATGATCAGTGCACCATATCAGATGCTATAGAGTAAATTTAATGAATTAACAACAAATATCACGATAAAATATATTTAAAAAATATGAAACTATTTAAGTCACAGTCATAAAGTTCAATGTATTCGATTCAATATTAGATAGGACGTATAGCGATACCGTATTGAAATTTTTCAAAATATTCTTTTTACTATTGCATCTGAATAAAATATTTTAGTATTTTTTTAAACTATTCTCTTCCTTGCATTAGAAGTTAATGTTTTCCTTTTTTTTGCCTTCAGCAACATTTCCAGACCAGGGGCGGCGGAGTGTCATTAAGCTAGGTGAGGCTCATAATGTTTTTTCCTAACGTGGAATTTTATGAAAGCATTAAGCAGAAAATAAGTCTTCTTTTTATTGAACTTCAGTAACAACTAAAATGGTCAGTATAAAAAAGAAGATTGGAAAATACCAAAATATACTTTTCTTTGCTCCTACTTTGATGCAAGAATAAAAATAGCAATAATCAGTGCAAGGCTGAGCCTCATCTTGCGAAATCTAGGTGAAGCTCAAGCATCATGGATCTCAGTGGCTCCGCCGCCACTGTTCTAGACTGATGTTGTCTTGATTAGACTATTTTATTTTATTTTATTTTAATTTTGTAAAATTTTATTGATAAACATGCACGGGCACGTATTTTTCTTTTACACTGAAATTCAAATCATGATTGTGGGACCGATAAAGATATAGTCGCAAACTCTACCAGTTTTATTGTCTTGCCGTCAGACAATCACGATTTTAATTTAAACGTCAAAGAAAAATACGTGTCCGTGAGTGTTTATCTATAAAATTTTACAAACTTAAGATATAACAAAATAGTCTACCAGAGGCAACATCGGTCTCGAAACGTTAGTGAAGGGAAAAAGAAAAATATTAACAGCTAATACAAGGAGGAGGATGATTAAACAAAATACTAAATCATGATGACGTTTCTTTAAATCAAAATCAAAGAAAATATATTTACAAATTGAACTCATTCATACTTTCATTGAATGTCTTTAGTTCTTTTTGTTTTATAAATTGATTAGATTTTTGGTCGAAATAAAACTATATATTCTTAACGGATGATCAGAAGAGAAAAAAAGAAGGAACTCTCCTGATACTATATTCAATATAATTAACTCTGTGAATTGGCAGAAAATATGATACGTTAAAATGTCATTAAATCTAATAAGTATTCATTTGTCTTCCTTTTTATGGCTATTGCGGAATTCATATAAATCTATTATGTAATCTCTTTATGCAAAGTATTTATAGATTTGTCTTTTAGATCATTTTCTTTTCTTCTTAGTGATTAGTTTCGATGGAAATATTTCACATTATTAATCTACTCTCGTTCTATTACAGTCATAGTTACATAAGCACAATATTCAGTTTTTTACGAATTAATTATAAACCTTCTTAGGGTTTCTCTTGCCTATAGATCTATTTATATTGTCTTTAATAATGATGAGTACGGTCACTTTTTGGCCTCTTCGATTTATTGACTAATAGTGAATATGTTTGTCGGTAAGTTTATTTTTATCTTGGTAAACTAACTTTTGTTTTTGTCTTATATTTGAACACAGTGTATTTGAGTGTATTCATGGACAAAAATGACTGTGCCTCTGGCATGTCATGTATGCCCAGAAGAATCAAATTAAATTCAAAAAAATAGATGCTATGTTTTATAAAATTGCGTAAAAGCGAAAGCGGAGGCAATATATTTACATAAAAAAATCTGTTGTCATTGACATAGTAGCAAGGTTAAAGGATTAACAGCATCGTTTATCGATGAGATATCTGTGAAATAACACTCGTTTTGTTCATTGTGAATGAGTGTGTTAAACACTGATGTGTAGAATTGAACAAGGACATATACATATGCATGATGTTTCCATCTGTCTATTTTTTCTGGTCAGTAATATAAGAATTAGCCATGACAAGCAAGAATAGAAACATGTGCATGCCTGCAAATGTAGATTAAACAGACAAGAAGCAATGTTCTCTCTCTTTCTCTCTCTTTCTCTCTCTCCCCCCACTCTCTCTCTCTTTCTCTCTCTCCCCCACTCTCTCTCTCTCTTTCTCTCTCTCTCTCTCTCTCTCTTTCTCCCCTCCCACCCTCTCCCTCTCTGGCGCGCACATTCGTCAGAGATATTTTCCATTTTTTTCTTTTCTTGTCCCCTCTGTTTTCGAGAGAAGAGAGCATAAAAAATGGTCTCAGGTTTTATTAATTTTTGCTATGTTTAGTATGTGCATGGTTTACTATATTAGGACAAAAGAAAACGGTTGAAACTGGCAAGAAACTTCTATTTGATGAGAAAAGACAAAGAGCAAGAGATCACTTGTTTGTAATATCCGGCTCTCATTCGAAAGCACTATTCGCTAAGAAAAACAAAGTGAGTACGATGTTGATGTTAAAACTCTTTCCGATTTCCGTTTTCCCTTTTCTTCTTTTATCATTATTATTGCCTATTTATGTATATGTATATATATATATATAAATTCGCTTAATAATCCTCATTTTCTCGATTTCTACAAGAACATGTTCACAATAACTACTCTGAGACTTTATACTTCTTCACTCAATCATTGTCTTATTTGACTTTTCTAGTTTTTGTATTTAGCAGTAAGTTTTGTTGTTCATCAGCAAGTGCAAAACTGTTAGATTTAACTATATCTCCTAATACTTGAGAGAACAGTATTGGAAAACAAGTGTTTTTATAGTTCTCTGAAACATGAAATTGATATATAGAGAAGAGGTCATTTAAAAATGACTTCCTTTTTGTCGAAAGTGCTAACAATCTAAGACTTTAAGAAAAATACGTGTTTTTTTAATCTGATAAAATACTACTGTATTTTTCTTCGAATTCTAAATAAAGACGATAATAACCACTAATTTAGAAATTATTTAGCTTAAATAATGAAAATAGTCTGTCAATCTCATCGATAGTAGACATGTGGAAAATGAGTTTTCCTTCTTGTCAATTAAATATTCACATGTAACAGAATATATCTAAATATAAATATAAATATAAATACACCTTCTTATTTAAAGAAATTTCCTTTCTCATCGATGGATATTCCATTAACCATAGAGGATTTCGAATATCTCAAGGGATATTTTAAAAGTAAATATTTACATATAAATAGATTTTGATCGTAATTTTCGCATCATTTGATAAAACGTTCATTAATTGACAGCGGTATACTATTTTTTTCTGCATGAATAACTTTGTTTCACAGACTCTAGGAATTCTGAATGTCATGTGAGAATTTATTGTGAAACTAATTTATTGCTTGATAAAATTCCAACAATGAGACGTACGTGATAATTTAATAAAAAAAAAGAAACCTAACAATATTTCTTCATAAAGCTTCTTTTGTTTGTTTTTAGTAAGAATTATATACGAAAGAAAATCTATTGAAATATTTTTATTGAACTGCGTCTATTACTCTCAAGTGATAATCACAAGAGAAATCTAACGAAAATAAAATAAGAATAGACTGTTCCTTGTCTTTTTAAGATCAATAAAATCATTTTTTATGATCATTATTATTTGAAAACAACCATGCAGAATACATTTGTAATTGCAATATTCGTTACAATTATTGGTCTAACATTTCTTGGAACTATCATACTTAATCTTCTAGCTATTGTTTATATATTATCAACACGAGATAAAACAACGTTTTCCATGCTTGTTGTCAATTTAGCTGTAGCTGATATTATTCACGCGGGTATGCCAAATTTTAATTCCTATCGTCTGCGTAAAAAATAGATGTTCTACTTTTTCTTTAGTGGGTATCATCTTTTTCACTAGTACTCTATTTACACGCAGTTGGATATTCGGTGAATTTGGTTGTAAATTTAGTTTAACAATCGATGTACTTTGTACGGTGGTAAGTAGGACGCTGATAAAATAGAAAAATGTTAACATTCACATACTTGCAATTCGTTTCAAACAATTTTTAATCGTTCATCAACGTGATTGATATATAGGAAATCTTATAGTGAGATAAAATGATCTTTATTCTTGTCCTTTAAAAATAAAAATAGAAACTTATCAATCGAACATCTTAAGTATTCTATAAAGACATCTCTTAGAAACGCTTTTTCATCTATTGATCGTATAATAATTCATGATTAACTTTCTTTTTTCTTTGTTTGTAAATTAGTTGTCACTACAGGTCAGAGTCTGGTACTTCAGATTTCGTATTTCAATCTACTTTAATAATTTAAAAAGGTCACGATAGTATAGACTGTCTCTAGGGACACTTCAGTTTTTTTTCTTGTTGAAAAAATTCTGCATATATTACTTTATTCACATGCAAGCTTTTGTGCTTTATACTTTAGTTTGATTAAACTTATTCTCGCTATTTTATTCTTTATAAGAATACACACTTCGACCGAACATAAAATCTCCTTAAATTCTACAAATATCATATATTACTAATTGTTTGCGATTCAGTGTAGATGCACACTCGATCAAGTCTTATTTTTTTAACAAGATTAGTAGATTGACAAGTATATTAATGTAATATATTTACAGTCAACTTAATTAGGAGCTAGACCTAGCAAAAATACAGGAAGATACATATGCCAACAATAATTATACGGACTTCATGATTACATACAAAGATAAAATACCTTGTTGAAATTCTAAATTATGCCTGCGAGACGATTCCTTATTCTCTGGAACCATTAGGATATTGCGTGGGGACTTTTAAGAAGAGATATTGTTGTATAGAAATTTTTCAGAACGTTTCAAACGATAATAAAAACAAACCAAAAAGTGCTTTATGATATATAAAATAGCAGAGCCATAAATAGTTTCATGGATAAAACTGTCGATTAAGAAAATAAAATTCTTGATTCCTAATCTCTCTTTTCTATGTCCAGGTCATTGTTTATACAGTGGCAGCGTTAAGTATTGAACGTTATATTGATGCACGTTCAATTTTACCAGCAAAATTTCGTTCAATTATTACAGTCGGTCTATTAGTTCTTATATGGACACTCGGTCTTCTATTGCCATATCCATTTATTTTTTATACTCACCTTTCTGAAGCTGCCGATATTTTTAATTATAATGCGAGTAAAACTTCTACAAAGGCAATACTAGTCTATTCATGTCAATCGTATTTAACAGAAAAAGAATTGCTTGTTCATGAAATACTTCTATATATCACTGCTTTTATAATTCCATATTCAGTAATTGTTGCATTTTCATTGAAATTACTCAAGTTTTTACGTGTTTGGGTAAAACGCAAAGAACAATTAACTCGTGCAAGTGTAACAAGAAAACGAACGCGCGGTGTTAAACTTGTTTTATGCATTATTTTATCGTTTCTCATATGTTTTACACCATTTTGGACATTTAAATTTTATACACGTTTTATTGTTGATGAAAATGTTGTACGACGGCCATTATTACAACGTATTTTATCCTATTTACATTTACTTGTTGTTTTAATTAATCATTTCGAAGGAATACTTAATCCATTATTTTTTATTGTACTAACTGAACGTTTTTGTTTAACATTTTCAAAACGTCGAGAACGAAATTCAAGATTAATAGAAACGCGATCATCTGTTCGTGTAACTAATGGAAGAAAAAAACCAGCAAAACTGTCATTAACGTCAACAAGAACGGCACAAAATAAGCAACTCAATGGGCTTCTACTATTGAATAATAATAATAATCATTCGGAAAATAGCAGTGGAACTCCAGTAATGCCTGAACCGCTATGATGATGATGATTTAATTTAATTTAGATCTCATAAACAACAACAACAACAACAACAACAGCAAACAAACAATCATAAAGTTATTTATTCAAGGCTTGAAAATAATTCTTGATAAGCGAACTAAAACTATAGATCTCGGCTAGTAAATATAATTATGTGAACGAATATGTAAAGCATTCCAATCAAAAAATCAAAAATATTTGAAATAGACTGATATTAACTGTATTGATATGTATATTTAGAGTTTGTTTATATTGTCGTTCCATGTTAATGGCATATATTATTGAATTGAAAAGTGTCTTTTGTTATTCATGAAAGTTTTCCGCATTTGAATTGAAAAATACTTAAACAAATACATATAAATAAAAACAGTGTTGTTGATATGTCGTAAACAGTTTTACAAGAAATAAATGTGGAAACTTCGGATTTCATCCGAGAGTTATGTGTACTGCAAAAAGTGCATGGGATATATGAGTCATTCTAGAATGTCTGAACACCAAAATTATCATGAGAAATTAGGCAATTTGATTTCTGGATGCAGTTTTTGTGCATTTTGAGACGCTTTTCAGGCGATGTTTCGTTAGAAAGCTACGATTTAGTTCAAAACTAATATCAGATTCGGAATCAGCGTTAAAAGCTGAGTCGATTTATATATATTGTGAATAATTCTGAGAAAGATTTATTTTTT